TTCTACGCTTAACCTAGTACTAGGTTAATTAGAGTTCTATATATTACTATAACCCCCTATTATAAGTATAAACTACTATTAAACTTACGCTTTTTAGCTAACTTTATAATATTATAAATCTACCTCTCTAAGATATAAGTCCGGCGAGCTACCTCTTTATTAGTTAGGCTAGTAGTCTTAAGAGCCGCCGTAGCTACCTTTATAGTAACTAGATATATATTAGTCTAGCTATTTTATCGATTCTAAAAATCCTCGGCGTACGTTTAGACTACTTTATAGATACTACTATTAGCTAGCTCTCTATATCGCTAAGGCACTCGATTAGTAATCTAAAAGGCTAGCTTTCGTACTATAAGTATAGTAGTAGTTACTATAGAAGTAGAGTAATTTATAGTTAACGGCGGTATCTATTTAAAAATAGTATAGCTTTAGTAATAGCTATAATTAACACCTTTACAGTAGAATGAAGTTAAAGGATTACAAAGTCTATTACTGATATGGCTAGTCTATCCGTTGCGGCCGGCAAGGGGGTGGCAAGGACTTTTGGTACCACCCTCCGTACATTGCGTGTCGTGCTGTGTAGATCGATGTCGGATTAGGGAGGCGGTTGTCGTTTCGCTTTTCGCTCTGCCGAGGCAGGTTGAACTCTGTTTTTGCTATCACCACTTCACCCTTTTTGCTATACGTACCATCGACTTCTTTCTCACCTCATCACCAACACGTCCTGTGAAGGCAGTGGCGAACCTGACTCACTCTAGCAGCCCAGGCCCCATGGAGATGCAGGTGTGGCTTGCAATCAGGCTGGGGTCGGAGAGCGCCTACAGAAGCAGCACTGACGGCTCCGGAGATGCCTTGACAATACCTTCAATGATTTCCTGAACGCCGCCTCGATCGATGCAAATGGCGTCAATTTCTCCTCAACACACGCTCGGCTTTGTTCGGATCTTGTAATCACAGGCCAGAAACCTCCACGGCTTGTCCGCTCCTCAGCTTGAGAGACAAGTCGTAGAAAAGAATGCCCCTGGTTACACAGCAGCATGTCGCTCGCTTCGAGCCCAGAACACGTTGTCGGAACACGTCCGCGGTGCAATCTACTGCAAGCCTTTACCCACCCGATCTAGATTGCCAGTCTATTTCTTGCCATCGGCAAGTGAGTAACTGCCTATCTCGGAACGGTTGGTGGGTCCTCCATCGACTTCACCTGTTGCCTCGTGGTATATCTCAGCCATATGGAAGTGCTCCGTGTGCCCTCGGGTCTAGATATCACGACGAGATCGCAGATTGTAGGACTCAGTCTCGTTCTACCGCTTTTCAGCTATGTTAGGACTTGCCCATGTGCTTTGAAGCTCAAAGGGAAGACCTACTTGCAAATGCAATTGTTTCTCTGCTGTATAGATGTTGCCATCCTCAGCTTCTTCCTGTCGACGGACCCATCACTTCGTCATATGGAGGCTCTACCAAGTCAGCAGGAGCAAATTTCAAAGCGGTTTATGGCGAGAATCACCTGCTCGAAGGTTAGCCGCGCCTTTGATTGCTCTGTTCGGCACGAGAAGGCTACCATGGGCAATGCGACCTCGTGAAATACCGTGAATCGGGCCAAAGAGGCATTCAATGGCTCGGCAATGCCGAAGCATCATACAAATACCGCAAGAAATCAGCTAGTCCTGCAAACATAGACATACACTGAAGTCACAGCAAAGACATGCCACTCACCAACAAGGCCCTCTCGATCATCGACAACCAACTCCAACAGTACCTACAATCAACTCCATCCAACAACTTCGACCGCGAGATATGGAAGAACCTCAGGATCCTCTCGACGTCCGCCAATAGCTCCGGCAGAACCACCAACGTCCACTTCTCCGTCGTCATCCCTGAGAATTGTGGCAATACCTTCGGCATCGCGGCTGGAGGCGCTGTGGCGACGCTGTTTGACGGTGTGACAGGTAAGGCCGCCGCGAGGGGTGGTACTAGAATCAGCTGCTAACGTGTAGGCACAGGCGCTGCGATTTGTGCCGTGGACAAGGATGGGACCTGGAACGGAAGTGAAGTCTCTCGGTCGCTGTCGATGACCTACTACCGACCAATTGCCCTTGGGGAGGAGGTCAACATCGACTGCGAGGTGGTCGACGTCGGGAAGCGGCTTGCGACCGTGAGAGGCGTCATGACCAGAGCAAGCGACGGTCGCGTGTTGGCTACTTGCCAGCATGAGAAAGTTTGCTTGGCGGGAACGGCGAAGTTGTGAGGACTGTGTTCCTCTCAGCGAGGGACGGGGAGCCTGGAGATTCCTTTTCGGCATCATTGATGTGCTCATTGGTATGCATGAGGGGAGGATTCAACAAGGAGCCAGAGAATTGGAAGGCTGGACATATATCTGGATCACCGGAGCTTGGCATCAGAGGCCTTGTGTATTGTGCCTTTAGCGTCCATGTGAGCTATGATCTCAAGGCACTGGTGTTCGTTAGCAAAATTGGTAACAATGGTCTAAATGAAGGAATAATGTTTCTGTCAGTGATTTCGTGATATGTGAAGGTTCTATGATCGCTACTACAACCGTCAATATGAAGACCGTTCATCAAACATGTACTACTGACATTGAGATGAACTGTCACACCGCGCTGGACTCAAGACGAGCAAGTCGCGCTCGTAGACTTGCATACTCGCTCCCTTGACCCTTCTTCGTACCAGTAGTATCAGTATAGCAATTCAGATCCATGAAGCTCGACTTCTTCGACATGACCGCTGCCGCGAACGCCGGTGAGCAGACGACATCGCCTGTTCGTGCATTAGTGACCATCGTCGTCACACGTCATGGAGACTTGCCAGTCGGTGTGCTAGGCGCTGAAGGCGTCTTTCTCGAACGGATCTCTTGGTTGAGTCGCTCGGCGGCGCTCAGGGCACCCTGTCGGCACTTGGTCTCGAGCTCGGCGTTGTAGGCGGTGGAGGGGCCGTCGGAGAGCCACGAGGAGCGCTTGTCGGGCTGTGGTTGTTTAGCAATGTCTTCGAGGCCTGTCAGGAAGTGGTGGCGGAAGCCTACCGACATGGTTGTTTTGGTTGTTGAGATGCACCTTGTTAGATCAGGTAGTGTTGCTGGGTAGTTGTTTCTTTCTCGAGCGGGTGAAGCGAGCGCTGCTCAACTTGTTTCTGAGGTCGAGAGTGTGAATTGCGAAGAAGCGAAATGTTCAGAAACCGATAGATGAGAGGTAACGACCGTGTGTTATATAATAGATCAGAAATCAATGTTCAATGGCATTGTCCCCTCCAAAGGAACGAACAAAGAATCTGAAACAACGAAACGACAGTGCTGTCTTTATGACAAGCCGTATCAGTAGTGAGGGCCGTGCTGGCGGCACAGGAGGTGATGAACGCCGATGTTCGCCGTCTATTATAGGCCTTGTCAGGAGGCGTGAAGCCTGAAGCCATGTATTCTGTGTCCAGCCAATGGGATAAGAGCCATTCATTCACCCATGCATAGCAACCTATAACGCAACAAACTCAAACAAATCGTTAGTGTACTCACCTGTCAAGTGCCTCTAAAGGCCGTTCAGCGATCCGTTTTGTAGGTGGGAGAATAGAAGTCCGTCTTTGAAATGTGGAGACCCTGACCTAGCCTGCGAAGCAATGAATCGGCGAGAGGTCAACACTCAGGTAATCGTCAGGTCGAGTGAGCCAATGCCAGCGAGAGCAGTGCGCCGTTGGGGTTCAAGTAAAATTTGTCTTGCGGTATGATTGCGATGCTGTATTCATAGGAGTCAAGACGCTCACTTACTCGGCTCTATACACTGGCTCCAAGCTTAGCCAATAGTCTATCCTCTACACCATCGAGAATATAGCGATGGTCGATAACTTCCAAGTTCTCAATTTCGCTGTTGAAGATCTTGTCGGGATCTTCTTGGCCGCCCATCGGATTTTGGCCCATCTGCGCCTGGGCCATTTGCTGTGTCGCCATAGAGGCAGCTGGATACTGTCAGTAAACGCCTTCGTTCATAGAAAGTACCTCGACAGTGAAGTGAACGCACCATTGTTGTTGCCCAGGATGAAGTTGTATACTGGCTGCAATCCGAACAAAGTAAGGAAGTACCAACTCAGACTGGACACCCATCTGACGTCCAGATCTCTGGTTCCAACACCAGCTTGCAGCATCTGCTTGAACTGCGGTGTCAAGGGAAAGGGAAGTTTCACTGCAGAGGTTTCAGCAGGCCGCAGTCTTCATGATCTTCATACACCACATACTGATCACGTATCCCGAAAAGAAGGCATTGATCCAGCCCATGATCAAGCTCTGAGGCACCATCATGGCAACATTTCCCTTCATCATGCCCATCATGCCCTCCATCATAGCAGGATCAGACATCGGGTTCGCTCTTGGCTTCCCCCTGTTCTCTGGGTCGGCGAGAAACTTGCCCTCCTTCACTCCTTCGATGAACACCTCTTTGCGTCTCTCGAAAGATGCCTTGGAAATCTGCTGGTGGTTGCCGCGGAGGTTCTGTGCGCGTAGCAGCGACCGCTGCTCCCGGATCTTGGCGAGAGCCTGCTTCTTCGGAGTCGTCTGGAGCAGAGTGCTGAGGTAGTGCCGCAATACACCGGTGAGGATCATGACTACGGTGATGGGAAGGAGAATCCAGTAGCTGGGAAATGTTAGCGACTTCTGAATGGTGTTTGGAGCGATCGCGTCGCGTACAAGAGAGCAGGATCCCTGTGGATCTGCTGTTCCTCTGGGCCTGCCATGGTGGTAGTCCAGTATCTGTATCGAGCTGGTCGCGGTGGGAAGAGGACGAGAAGGTCGACGTCAACCTGACCTTCACATGTCGCGGAGCTTGGAACGCCAAGGCCGATGCGGCTCAGAGTGAGGACAGCTGGAAGTAGCTTCACTTTAATTGAACCGTCAACTTTCTTGTTCTGCACTGAACAGAATGCTATAAGAACGACTAGAAACACATCCTCGACCCAAACGCCAAGTGAAAGTGCTTCAGAATGGCGGATAGCCGCGTCTCCCCTTACTCCCTGAACGACCTCAAAAACACCACCGACGACGCGCTTGGGAACTACCTTCGAGGACTCTCCTTTAAGCAAGACAACTCGAAACTCGATGTGCGACTGGCTCTGGGATATGTGGCGGTGATCATTGCAGGGGCAACATTCGCTGCCGATTACAAGTTAGGATGGGAGGCCACGAAGTACTGGACGGCTGTTGCAGTTGCGGCTTATGCAGTGCTCAACACCGGCCTCACATACTGGATGTACATGGTTGAGAAGGGACTCGTATTCGAGGGTGATCGAAGCGGCAGCAAGGTGAGCGGTGCACGTAGAAGTTGGAAAGGTGTTGTGTGCTGACCGTGATGACAGGTCTCGATCGCTTCCAAGACCAAGAAACACGATCCAACCTACTACCTCACCGTGACAGTCACCAAGCAAAACGAGACACCGAGCACATGGCAGATCAAAGCCCCCTTTACGACCTGGTTCACGGCAGATGGCTTCTTCGTTGCAAAACCATTTCAACAGTGGTTGGCTACCAGTATTGAAGCGGTAGGCGACGCCGACGCAAAGAACGCGAGCAGGGATGAGAGGGACGAGCTGGCTTCTCCGACAGCGAAAGTACAGGTGCAGCAGCAGAACGACGGGCACGTGGACTCGACGGGAGCTGACAAGGGCAAGGGGAGCAAGAGAACGAAGAGAAAGGGATAGTAGCCCGCATCTGTTAGGAGTAAAGGAGCCTTGAACATGTCAATCTCAAAAGCCCGGTCATGATAACAAACATGCATATCACCCATGAGCTTGCGTCGAATGATGTGCTGGGCTCACTATGCATAGTAAATCCGAGGATGCCAGTCTGATGAGGTGGCCACATCATGAACCGCCCCGGCAATCATTACTACGAGAATAGCTCCTGCCGCACATGAACAAGAGGAACTCCTGGACCACGTTCCTATCCGCCTTTTCGAAGTCGTCTTCATGTCAGGTGCGGAGTAGATGAGATCTTTGGCAGAACAGATTCTGGACTCGAAAATCGTAACTCGAGCTCGTGGCTGGTCTATGGACGTACGAACTCCATATCGAATGCTAGTAGGCATTGAGAATTGCCGCAAGAGCGGTCCTTAGATTTATGATCGAGCTCTAAGCCGTCACGAGACTATCAACCCACGACAGTTTCAAAAGCCTTTGGCCATGATCGAGGCATCATTGACGTGGCGTCTGGCTTCCGCCTTGTTTTTTTAAACGAATGAGTATCAAGTAACATGCCAACCTTCGAACGAAAGATTTATTCACTGGTCACGTGCCTCAAATCCACCTCTAAACTTTTTGCTCCATTCATCACCACCTCGGCTTTGCCCTCTACAACTCCATCGACTTTCTCAATCGAACCTGCTTCCTGCATTGTTTTTGTTTGGCAGTGTGTGACAGTAGCTGCACCTATCACAATCTTGCATTTACAAGGCGTTTGGTGTCGAGTTGAATCAACATATTGCAATTGGACCTTTTCGTGAATCGAGCATCAACACAGAAAAGCAAGCACAGAATGGCTTCCCTACGACCGAGAGTACCTCGCATGACATGGCCATCACCGAGTCCGAAACTCGTACCAAATATCGCCCAGCGACGATGGTATGCGAACACGAACGACATCGAGGGCATGCTGAATGAGAAGTCACTCTGGGAAACGATCGATCCATCCATTCGAAAGCTCGCCGTGTTCAGTGAGCACGCGAGGGCCCACAACTACCAAATCCCAATGCTTTCCAAGTCGCAGCATGGAACCTTCGACCAAGCCAGAGCTTACCAAGTTGCGGCCGCCATTCGACAGCTACGAGAGATGAACGGCGATGTGGTTGCGGGGAGGAAGTTGGGCTTTACTAACAAGCAGTTGTGGCCCGAATACGGCGTGGACGAGAGCAATTGGTCCTATGTCTATGAGAACACGGTGCTTGATCTTCCAGAGAAAGGCGAACTCAGCGAGGGCAAGGTGGTGCTTGCCGATATCAGCCACTTATCCGCAGTCGAACCCAAAATCGAGCCGGAGATTGTCTTCGGTCTGAAAGAAACGATTGACCCTTCTATGAGCGACCTGCAGCTTTTGGAATGTATCGATTGGCTCGCCCACGGTTTTGAGATCGTTATATCAATCTATCCGCATTGGAGGTTCACGGCTGCTGATGCGACTGCTGCGTTCGCTCTTCATGGCCTATTGCTCGTAGGGCCCAGGAAATGGCTTCAGAAAGAGGGGCCGCCGAACGAGCAACTTGTTGAAAGTCTCAAGAAATTCACTGTAGAGCTACATCAGAATGGCGAGAAGGTTGACACTGGGAGCGGAACGAATGTGCTAGGCAGTCCCATCAACGCACTTCGGCATCTGGCTGAGATGTTAGCCAAAGACGAAGTCAACAAACCTCTGGAGGCTGGCGAGGTTGTGACGACTGGAACGCTGACGAGGGCCCTGACGATCAACAACAATGATCACTGGTCTACAAAGATTGATGGCATCGACCTGCCGGGTCTGGATGTGACTTTCAAACTGCATTGAACGGGGTCAAACTGGATTCGATGGAGGACGACAACAAAATTGCCTTCATCCTGACAGACTGATTGGCCACACGAGCATTATTTCCACTGAGGCTATTCATCGATGTCGAAATACACGACTCTGGAGTCTAGTTCAATGTGAGAGTCTCGTCGTCCGCGTTCTCGTGGAGTTCGAACTCGATGCGCCCAATGCACAGCTCCCACGGCTTCCTCTCCTGCGTATACGCCGAGATTTCCACCACATTCACATCCTCTCCCCAGCCCGGGAAAAATTTGGGGAAGTCTCCCACGATGGGATTAGCGTGACCTTTGCCTCCCCAAACTGCAAAGACATTGTACACTTTCAGAGCGGTCCCATTCGCAATCCTCCACGCATGGACCTCTGCGACGGTGAAAGGCTGGAGCGGGCCCACAGGTTTCATTGTGAGGCCCTTGAAGTTGAAGAATTGGGAGACGTTGTAGTCAACGGGTACCTCGGAGTCGAACGTCATGCGCGATGGAGAATTATACTTGTTGGGGACTGTCACGATCGTGTTCGTGCCCCTTACTGCGCAGTCTGTGTCGTTCTCGGAGATCACACCCTGCTCAACCGCTAGAGAGGTGTTCATGACGTTCATCCGGAGAAAGTCGAGCGGGAAGTGGTGGTCAAGAGGTTTGACCGGCTTCTCTGTTAGGTCGATGTCGCCAAACTGTATGCTGGTCTTAGCAGGCGACAAGCGAGTCAGGCTGGAGTACTTGCCGTCAGGTTATAATGCAAGCGAGGTTTCGAAAGTTGTGCAACGCCATCGACGAACGTTTCCTCACCGAGGCTGAGGATGGTCTGGTCGAAATATCTCAAAGGCGATGCTGTGGTTGTGCCCACGGCGCAGAGAACGGCGGACAGTTGCCAGAGATTGAGACGCATATTCGGAGATTACGACGTTAGCCAGAAGAAGCAGCGACAGAAAGATTGAACAACAGCTACGCGTTGGGTCTTTCTAATTGAAAGCAGGACATTCATGCACAATGTGCCGCAGGCCAGCATTGTAGTTGCCTACTCACCCCGCTCAACTTCGTATTGGCAAAGGATTGGGATGGAGGTAGAGTTTCGAGCCTATGCGAGATGAGAGACTTGAGACCCGATTGATCCTATAAGGACCTTGACCTGCACTTCGTGTGTGCGGTGTCCCTCAATTGGCAATCTAGGATAGTGTGCCTTAGGCATTGTGATGTGGCGGAGCAGCTGTCTCTTCGTTGTGAGTTTGTCTCGGGAGTTGATGGAGGGTTGAGTACGCCTCTCTCGGCTGTGACGTTGATCAGATAGATAGTATGATGCCATACAAAGCCTTGTCAACGGTACGATTGATGTGTGGAAACCAGGTGAAGTGAAGTGAAGTGAATGGGTCTGGAATGGAGGGAAGGAGACGGCCAGAAGTCGCTATCAAAAACACGACTTTTGCAAGCGAGAGAGACGGGAGCTCCCTATCTTATCGGCCTTCAACCCGACATTCACAAGGCAGTCTGGCAGTGACGGAGGGTGTACTGTAAGGCCACACTTTCATGTGATTGCACGACGCTCGTCTCGTCTCGTCACAAGCCAGCCAGCCAGCCAGCAACCATGCCCGCCGACGCCGAAGGCGACAGCCAAATGGTGTCTTCACCAGAAGCCTCCGACAACGACATCACCACCCCGCGAGACCAAACCATCGCCGGCAACATCCACTCCCCACCAGATTCACAACACCGCTCATCAGAAGCACGAGGCATGCCGACATCCGCATCCGGCTCCTCCATCGCGAATTCGAACGGAAAGCGTCCCATCCAAACGATTAGTAACGGGAACGACGACGTTGAAGGTGGGTTTATAATAACAGCACTTGATTGGGTTGGGTAGAATGATATGTTGATTGATGATGGAGTAGAGCTCGCGGCCATGGCGAACGGCAAGGCAAGACAGGACATTCCGGCGAAGACGCACCAGGCTAGTGGGTATAGCTGGACGCGTGCGGAGGACGAGCCGGGCTATTCGTGGTCGAACAAGAAGGCGCAGGATGAGTACGCGAGGGCTTGGGAGGGTCTTCAGCACAAGGACGCTATGGTTAAGAGTGAGTACAACGAGGACGATGCGTTGATGTCTTGGAAGGGCTACTGACGTGAATAGACCGGTACGGCGACCCTTTCGAGGCTGTCGAGCGCGAACAGGCAATTCTCGCTAGTCTGAAGCAACAGTAGACGAAGAGATGAAGGACGACGGAATGCATTACATGAGGACTTTTGCATTGCATGGTGTAGTGAGGAGCTCAAGGTCGAGCAAAAGCATAACGATACCCAATGAAGAACGAAGACTGAACTGCGTTGCGAATGAACCCTCTATCCATAATTCCTCAAGTTGCCTCGCTGGACACACTCGCCTCCGAATCTTGAACCTTGGAATCATTCCTTTCACGGCCTGTCAACAGTCGAAAGTCCTTGTCGGCATCCCCCGTCGTCCTTCGAAGTTCCGCGATCCTATCCAGGCCGATGGCATCAGGTTTCGAGGCCAAGACGGTGTAGTGAATGCTTTGGTCCTTCTTCACCACCCAATGTGGCATCACCAACACCTCTTTGAGATTCTCTGGCGGGCCTACCACCATGTGACACACCAGCTCTTCGTCCGGCGACTGACTCCCCGCTTGGTGAAGAGGGTGAGGGCCCAAAATACCCTCCTTGAAACGGTCCATCGCGAAATCAACTAGTTTGAGGGCCAGGCCAGTCTTCGACTTCACAGGCTTCAAGCACATCATCGCCTTGCTCGTCTCAATGAATTCTCTCGCAAACTTTTTGGCAAGTCCATCGTTGTAGGAAATGTTGGCTTTGTTAGGTTCTTGGCCGACAGGGGAAGTAGCGGAAAATGTCGTCGTATGCCCTGTGCCGACCCAGCTCGGCCTCCTATTCCCGAACGAGGTCTGCCTTCAGCGACATTTGGTCGAGTAGAGTGCTGTCACACGCACCGGGGCATCTGCAGAAGTTCAACGTGCCACGGAGTGGGCAATGTTCCGAGCAGTTCTTGGAGCCTCTGACGTCCAGCGCACGGAAGACCTTATAGTCGGACTGGACGAGGCGCTGTCTTCTGGTGATCGGCAGCATCTGTGTCTCGCGTGGAACGCTGCTCCCGGCTTCTGATGGTCTCCCCTCAGGGGCTCGTTCCTCCGGCGCCACGCTGACCTCCATGTGCCTGAGATGTGAGTCGATACCAAATGCGTCGCGCTCTTCTGGCTGCTCCTCTTGTGCGGTCGCATACGATGCTTCGGTGCTGGTAGCGGTCGTATATGATGCTTCGGTGCTGGTCGATGCGGCCTTTGGAGCTACGTTCTCGTTCGCCTCGTTTGCGGCAAGCTCTGCGGCGACGTACTCTGCAGCTATAGTCTGTCAGTGACATGGGCTTGCAAGAGGATGTGCGGAGAAACTAACGGTGGTCCATCGTGATCACCTAATCTCTCTGACGTGTTTGGAAATTGTGCCCGGAAAGTTGTACTCGCACGAAAGAATAAAGTTAGTCTGCGACTGAGTACGACGACAATGCTGCGATGTGGTCGTGTTTGATATGGCTTTGATTGGGAGCAACTTGTGCATGCTAGCTACTTCATCTCTTCGTGAGTTGAGCTTGCCCTTACTGCTGCAGTAACTGCGATCCAATGTCACCATGGCAGCGACCCAGCGCTATCTTCTCCTTCCTTGTCTCACTCAGCTACAGCAAGAGCAATCCTTGCGCCAACGACAGCAGTGATACTCTGGCCGCTTCTCCTCAACGACGAATCTTCGCCATCTGATCGAACTTATCGCGAACATCATCCGGATGCACACGACGACCAGTCTTATCGAGGAAACGACTTGCAACCGCCAGCCAGGACTGGCCAGGATCCCTCATGATGATCTCCGAGAGCAGCTGAAGCTCATCAAAGGTGAACAACTCATCCCCCTGCAAGGCTTTCCACTCCTCGATGGTGAACCGCGCCTCACTGCGGTGGCTGCGGTGGGATGGTGCGTTGCTCGCGGCTTTCTTGGGCTCGTCCTTCTTGGATTTCTCCTTGTCTTTCTTATTCTCGTTCTTCCCACCGCCGTCTCCGTCTTTCTTCTTCTCCTTGTCCTTGCTGCCACCCTCGTCCTTCTTCTTGTCGCCGCCGCCTTCGGCTTTGATCTTGGCGATCTCGTCCTTGAGAGGCTGATCGACTCTGGCCCGGCCCAGAGCTTCTGCGATTTGCTTGTAGCCGGTGCCCGACTCAAGCAGCTCTTTGATCTTCTGCTTGTCTTTCTTGGAGAAGTCGTCGTCGTTCTTCTTGTCGCCCTTGTCACCCTTGTCGTTCTTGGCATTGTCGCCACCGGTCTCGGCTTTGAGCTTGTTGATATGATCCTTGAGGAGACCGTCCAGGTTCCGACCGAGAGCCTGAGCGATCTTCTTGAAGCCAGTGTTGGAGGCCAACATCTCCTTGATCTTGTCATCATCTTCCTTGGAAAAGTCACCTCCGCCGTCTTTCTGGTCGTTGCCGTCCGCTTTGTTGTCCTTTCCACCACCGTCGTTCTTCTTCTGGTCGCCACCAGTGTCGGGCTTGCCTTCGATCTCCTTCCAGCGCGCTTTGAGCTCGTGCTGTGCACGACTCATCTCCGCAGCGATGTTCTTCCAGGTGGTGTTGCTCTCCTTGAACTCCTTGAGCTTCGCATCCTCCTCTGCGGTAAAGGCAGCGCCATCGCCACCCGTATCCTTGCCTCCATCGTTGTCGTTCTTGTTCTTCTTGGCGTTCTTGACCGCGACGTTGTTGTTGCCATTGACTACGCTGTCGTTCTTGGAGCGATGACGGACCATTACCATCTTGCCATCCTTGTCTTTCTTGATGTCGGTGTGGATGCTGCCAGGTGGCATCTGTACGTACGGATCTAAAGGCTGTTGAGTGTTAGAATCGAGTAGGGAGACTTTGATCTTCGGCACGAAGAGGCCGATGAATGGGTGCCACCACATGGCTTGGGCGTGGTGCGGGCAGCGGCTTGTTAGTACGGCAGATGGCTGGCTGTTGCGGGTGTTGATGAGTGGTGGGTGGTGGGTGGTGGGTGGTAGATGGTGCTGGTCGATGGCATGAAGGTGAAAGCCATCGTGGGGAAAGTGAAGCAGGTGAAGCAAGTGAAGTGCGCGATGTGACGTGTTTCGAGTAATATTGAAGTGAAGTGACACACTCACATTTTTCTTACTCGCGCTTGACATGCTCCAGATTCGAGGAAGCAATGCATCAATAAGGGACACAGATGGCAACTTATCTGCTGGAGGCATGTTGTCTGCGAAAGCAGCCGTCGCGGCGATGTGTTTGGCCAGCCGACCCATTGTTGGCGATGGGAGTGAACAGAGGCGGTGTTGCGACGAGGTTGGCGATGGTTGAGCTTCGGGAATATGTGATTCATCCGATAGTGAGTGAAAGTTCTTGCGAAGTGTCGAAATGTAAAAATCGAAGTTGGTCGAAGGAAGTGCACTGGGTGATTGAGTCGAGTGCAATTCGTAAGCTGTCGCGAGCGCAGCATAAACATCGTCGTGTTGTTGCCAAAAAGCTAAAAGCATTGTCGGAAACTCGCAAACAAAAGCAGCGTCTTGCGCGTGAAGTGAAAGTCATGTCCAAAAGAAATGCAGGTTAAATTATGATCAAAAGCCTTGACGATAATGCGACCTGCTCACCTCGTCTTCTAAACATGCGACCTAACTGATAAAATTGAAAAAGACTCAACTGTGAAGGGGGTTCGAACGCGGGCCCAAGCGATTGAATCCCCAAAAAGCAAAAGTCCAACCCCTCGCCGCGCTACGCCACTGACCGGTCTGGCCCGTTAGGGAGTACGACCTCACCAGCTTTGCCTGCTTTGAGTGATTGGACGAGGTAGCTAATTCAAAAATTAACATGTAGTTTAATGCCGACTTGCCGAAGTTGAAGCTTTTAAGTTTCTGACTGGGACTTGATTAATAGCGAGGATCTCAGGGAACAACCTAATTCATTTGGCGGAGGTGCAAGGTTTATAGCGAGTTGTAAGGGCGCATTCGGCTTGCGCGCATTCTTGTGTCATCGGAATGGCGGCGGGCAATTTGACGTTCGAGATTCCTCGTGTATGGACGATTGAAGCCCCCATTCGGCTTGCTCTACACTGAAAGTTAGTCCCATGCTACCTTTAATGATATCCCGCATCTAACTGGGTTACTTGATGTGAATCATAGTAAGATCTCATTGCGATAAAGGCCTACATGAATTCTTGCTTGCTAATATGCCATGTTCGAGGAGCTACCTTGCCTAGCAACGATATCGCAGGTACTTCAGCCACCAGTCTGAATCAGTAAAATGTCTTCAAATGCATTTTCAGGAAACACGATGTTCAAGTCGAGCATGTGAAAGACGAAGACGAAGCAAGCAGAGGTGAAGTCGGCTGGCGTCCCAGTGCCAAGGCGCTAGCGCATCACCCCTGCCCGTGAAGCTTCAGGGTCGTGAAGTCGCGTTGCGGCCACGAAAGCGTTTCTTGACTTCTCCATCGGCGGCGACGACACCTGCTCCCATTGACCACCAAATTCGATTCTACCAGCATTGAGCCCAACATGGCGCTCCTGTTCGGCCTGCTGCTGTCTTTCCTCTCCCTGTTCACCCTCGGCGATGCACACAACATCCTCCTCCGTGCTCACTCCCGCGAGTGCTTCCACGAAGCCCTGCACAAGGACGACCGAATGACTGTCACATTTCAAGTTGGCGATAGGGAATTTGGCGGGAGTGGGAATCTGGACATCGACTTCTGGGTATGCACCCCCCAATCAATCGTAGCCTTGCGCACGTGAGCATCTTTAAAGGAGACTTGCGAAGAGAAGGGATCATGGGCTGTCAGGAGCATTTGGACTTGGCTTACAGGCTCAATGCAGATTCAAGCGCCCGCTGGCAACAACCTTATTGACCAACGAACCGTGAGCTCAGGCGATCACTCCTTCGAGGCGAAAGAGGACGGCAAATATACATACTGCTTCAGCAACGAGCACTGGTCAGCAAATACAAAGGAGGTCAGCTTCAATGTGCACGGCATAGTGTATGTTCCCGAGAGCGAGGCTCCGTCAGACCCACTCGAGAAGGAAGGTTCGTAATAGCACAAGTTACGCAAGGTATGAGAGCGTGGATGGCTGACATGTGACAGTGCGTTCAATGTCGGAACTCCTGGCACAGGTCAAGGACGAGCAAGGATACATTGTCGTCCGAGAACGTACGCACCGCAACACCGCCGAGAGCACCAACTCTCGAGTCAAGTGGTGGAGCATCTTCCAACTCGGCGTTCTTATCGGCGAGGGTGTCTTCCAAGTGTGGTGGTTGAGGAGATTCTTTGAGGTCAAGTCGCCCGGTAGACCTACATTCAACAGGGGTGCACTAGGCTAACCTGAGTGAAACAACAGGTTAAGCATGTAGTATAGATACACCAAAAGCGATACGTCAGCGATGAATGCAACGAGTTCTGGACGGACGATGTCATTCATTCATTTGTCTTTGCAGAGGCCAATTTCAACTGCGGTCCAATTCTTCGCCGCGCAAGTTTTCAGCTGAGTGGCCTGGAATATGTCCATACCCCTACAACGTACCCAAAACACCATGTCATGGTTAACTCATCCTTCTTTCTTGTCTGCCAGATGCTATGAACCAGAACCATGTTCTGGTGGCTAATGATCTCCGAGCAGAGTCTAGATCTTACTAACAACTTCGTACGAAAGTGGTCCTGGGTGGCCTATTCTATCCGGGACGAAATCAACCGAGACTTATACACATGGCCAGTTCCGGCAATAAGCTCTTAGAGCGGGAATCGGTGATGCTGATCCTTCGCTCGTCCTAACACAACTTCAGCTTGTACCCGCCGACGACTCAAGCGAGCACCTCGCAATACATTCTTGACTTGGACTCCGACATTGGACAGGGGTTGTATATCAGCTCCAACTATCCGGCCGTAAGTGCCTCGGACCCGCCTGCGAGAGCTGAAGCGCATTTTGAAGGACTTGCGCGGATACGATTCTCACTGGTACATTGTAATAAATACCCCTCTCACCCGTGTACGCTTGAAAACATCAGAAGCAGAGCAAGAGGGCACGATGGCGTCGACACAGACTAAGGCAGATCTCTCAAACTGGCGGGAAGCCCCGTACAATCAATGGGCATTCGTTAATGTTGATCAAGTCGTCGGCACCCACGAGATCAAGAGAGGACCATCAGTCCACCAGCTGGAGACTAGTGAGCGGCAACTCGACGAGTTCAGCATCCAATTGAAGGACAAAGCCCTGGATCTCCCGAAGTTCATCTCCGCGTCCGACACGGACGGCCTCATCGTCCTGCAACATGGCAAGATCGTGCACGAACAATACGTACGAGAGAATGACCAGAAGTCCAAACATATCATGATGTCCATGACCAAGTCGGTCACTGGTCTGCTTGTGGGCATTCTCCAGAGCCAAGGCAAGCTCAAGGAGACCGATTTGGTCGCGAAGTATGTGCCGGAAGTTTCGGGCTCCTTTTACAAGGACGTCACTATCCGACAGTGTATCGACATGCGCTCTGGTGCTGTTTACCCCGATGGACAACATGAATATCGATGCGCTGCTGGATGGAACCCTGAGAATGGAAGTGAAAAGTATACAACTCTCCACGGCCTCATCACTCACTTTGAGCCAGAGTTAGCTAAAGACGATCGCTTCGAGTACGTTAGCGTGAACACAGACTTGATGGGCTGGGTCATTGAACGAGCGACGGGGAAGACGTTCGCAGAGGTCATCTCAGAACTGCTTTGGCAGCCTCTGGGAGCGGAAAGCGATGCATTAATCACAGTCGACAAAGAAGGCAGCGCTCGTGCCGCAGGAGGGATGTGCGCCACACTCCGGGACATCGCCCGCATCGGCCAGCTCATCGTCGAAGGCGGCAAGGGCATCATCCCCTCAGCCTGGCTAGACGACATCGTCAACGGCGGCAGCAAAGAAGCCTTCGCGCAAGGCGCCTGGGCAGCAGGCTTCGCCGAGGATTTCTCAGGGCTCGCGTATAGATCTCACTGGCTTTCTGATGCGCCGACTGATGTCACGATGGCGTTGGGGATCCACGGACAGATGTTGTTTGCGGATCGCAAGAATGGGATTGTGGTGGCGAAGACGGGGTCGCAGCCGGATGCGATTGATTTTGGGAAGATCAAGATGACGGTGTTGGCTTTTAAAGAGATTGAGAGGATTTTGTTGTCGTAGTGGTATGGAGCTGCAGGCTTGTCTTCTGATCTACTGTTGCTGGCTACTTTATCGAACCCAAAAGTCTGCAGATTAGACGAGGAGCAGGGGTGACGCTCTCTTACAACCCAGTCTCCTTGACATTCGACATGTTCTCCTTTTCCAGCTTGTTCAGCGATTCCATGGCCCCGCCATCCCCGTCACTCGTTGGTGACAGCCCTTCGATCACATCCGAATCACTCCCTCGAATCTGCTCAACCTGGCCTTCATGGCCATGCATGACGTGCTCCAGATTGACCCGCGGTCCCTTGAACCACTTCCTCGCAGAAACAAACCACCAAACAACAACCGCAAGCATTGGGCCGCCATACACCACCGCCGTCCAATTCATGCCATCCGCAGTCAAGTCCTTCCCCGTCGTACTCGGCAAGCAAAGAATAGGAACCATCAGCGCCACAAAAGCACTAGCAATCGTCCCAATAGGCATCGAGAACTTTCCCAAATTCCACGGGCCGGGACGAAACCGATTGCCCACGAAGAAGACGCGAATGAAGATCGGCGTCGTGAACGCCACGAACGCCGCGCAGGCTCCAATGCTGAAGATCGCGCCGATGGTGACGGATCCGCCGAAGATGAGCAGGAGGAGACAGCAGCCGATGGCGCAGTTGATCCAGACGGCGTTGACGGGCGTTTGCGTGTGTTTGTTCACGCGCTTCCAGAGGTTCGAGAGGGGGAAGCAGTCGTCGCGGGCGTAGGCGAATGTGACTCGCGAGGCGGCGATCATGCAGCCTTGTCCCATTGCAAAGCCCGCAATAATTGTGAGGGAGAGGACGGCGAGGACGGCCTTTTCGGGGAGGACTTGAATGAGGCTGTAGGGTGTCAGCGTTTGTTGAAGGGGATGGGGTTGGGGGCAACGCCTACTATGCTGCGAACGGCTGGCCAAGGTCTGAGTCTAGACACGATCCGATATCGACCACGGTATATGCAACGACCAGTTGCAAGAACCATCCAAACGTCCCGCCGACAGCGCTTGTGAGAAAGATTGCGCGTGGTGCGGCAATGTTCGCATTGCTGCACTCCTCAGCCTGATTCGAACGTCAGCAACATTTCTGGGGGTATGCCTCTCCGAAACTCAAAGGCCTTCTAAATTCTTGGTTGTAGTTCAAACTGCTTGGACAGTTGGCGAGCACGGGGGATGGATGTTCAATTAAGAGGGGGGTGATGACCTACCAAATGAAACGGACTATCATAGCCACTCATCGTCCAAATCACGCCGATGAACGACATGAGGACGGCAACGCCGTCAGGGTAGTCCGTCCCCTTGTATATCGTCCCCCAGACCTCACTCGACGGCGAAAACTTTGGTAGGCCTTGAGATTCGCGGTTCGTGCCAGCCGGGATGAGAATGATGACGACGACGAGCGCTATGATGTTGAACGTGCTGCCGGCGCTGTTGATGCGGGCGATCCATCGGGTTGGGGCTGAGGCCATGCAGGCGTGGACGATCTGGGGAGATATATGTTAGATATTCGTTGCACGCATTGACGTTGGCAAGATTACCACTCACCATGATAAACACAGTCAAGAGGAACGTCTGATAATTCGTTGGAGTATAGCTTGGGTTTTGAATCGATGCCGCCGCGAGGATCATGGCAGCAGTGCCGTAGTTGACAGAAGGAGCGCCTGTGATTTGACCGAACCAGTTACTCCAGCCTTTCAAGGGTGGTTAGCAAGATGCGCTTTATCTCGAGTGACATGATGATAAGCAGTACCCGTGATCCAAGCAGCAAAGGGACCCCAGCCTGGAGGCGCCAGCACTGCTGCTGCATAGTAAAGTCCTCCTAATGTACTTGTAAGCAGCTGCTCAAACCCATTGTGATCAATAGCTTACCAGACGTCGGCATGGACGAGCACAGCTCAGCCATCGACGCCGCAACGGACTGAATACCAACCATAGCAACCACCCATCCCCAAGTCATGCCAGCCGTACCAGCATAGCCCATACCATAGTACAACGTCGTCGCGAAAGACGGCAGTAGCCCCAAGACCGCAAAGCTCACGCAGAACGTCGTCCACAGCGAGAACTCTCGTCTGAACTCGGGCTTGTAGCCAAGAGCTGCGAGGACCTCCTCGTCGGGGTTCCATTCAACGCCCGAGTCGTTGATGGGGATGTCTCCGCCTTTCAGGACTGATGTGACGGGCTCCTCGGCGACGCTCCGTTTTCGTGCGCCTTCGGAGGCGAGGCTGGCGTTCCGGTCAGCCATGTTTGCTGTATCGCTGCGAGTCGATAAGGCTGCGCAGTTCTGCGTACAGTGACGAGGATAGTCCCGGCTGCGCAAGTCTTATGAGGAACAAGTAAATCGATACAGCACGGTCAAGAAAAAGAACAACGTAGATCAATGCATACCTTATCTGCCCTTCCGACACAGACCCCGGAACGTCATGTCCACACTCCCATGTGGCAGTCGATGCAGATCGCTTAGACGAGGCCCAAAAGCGTAAGTATAAGCAGTGAAGGCGCACCTACAAACAAGTACTTGCAGGTCTCGATCAAGTTGTTGGGTCTCGTTTCTGTTCCACAACGTCGACGTTGATCTTTGCGATCTTTGAGAACGACTCCAACGTTTCGCAGTTCCGGCAATGAGTTCATGCGCTTGGCATCTCTTCACTTCGAACACAACCTCCAAGGCAGTGTGTGAGAGTACGTAGCCATTCAGGGCGTTAGCCACGAGGGAGGGGTTCGTGAAACACTACTGTTCGCCCGGGACGGACCCTCCTGCCCAGGTGGATGTTTGTTTGGCCATTGATCGCGTGCCCAGAGCCGCCTACGAGTACATCGATAGCTTATCTTCTGTAGCCAGAGATTGTCGGCTGCAACTGCTGGTTAGCAGGAGTTCGAGACCCCCAGCTGCACGGAAGGGAGAGGTACGTAATTCGATAGATAAGGCTTTCCGCGTGGGGTCTGCAGGAGGTCTCAGAGCAGAGTGCATCTCTGCTGCAGTGAATGCATCTGGGCAGGAGGAATTCATTGCAAGACTGACAAGACATCTCACAAGCGGCAGAGTGACGAAGCTGGTCTGTGAAAGAATCAGAACTGACGTTGAAATAGAGTCTTGAAGCTCGATCCTTGCATGGCGAGGACTTCGGGTTCGCACGCGCGCGACGCGAACACCGGATGCCTCCATGCATTGCTTATGAAGAACCAACTACGCCTCTCAGTAGTAACTGGTGCTGGGTGTACTCCGTCCGTACTCCTCAGCAGTGCCTGGGAAAGCACCAACCGGTTCGCTCCTTCCAGCAAAGCCATCTTCACCACCGCTGTCCTCCTCCTCGCCTCTAAACACCGCTTCCTCAGGTTCTGGCGGTGCTCGCATGCTGGCAAAGACATCGGGAGAAAGTGTGGGCGGATTGTACGGTTGTGGCGAGTGGTACTCTCTTCCAGAAGGCATGCTGGCAATCAGAGGCTCAAACGGAGGCACCAGCTGGATGTTCATCGTGCTGTTCTCCTTGTCCCATTTGCCCTCCAGCATTTCCACGACTCTGGCTTCTTCGTAACGACCACCGTCCATGCCCCACTCACCACACTTTTCGATCTTGCGGTCCTCACGCCGTTCCTGCCAGCTCTGCTTGAGGCCTTTGAAGCCTTTCCGTTTGCCGTCGTCGAGTTCCACGGACAATCCAAGCTCCTTTCTCGCACCCTTGAGCCATGCCAGACCTTCGCCAGTCTTTCCAGAAAGCTCAGTATCGATAGCCAGGAAGCGTGCTGCCTTGCCTCGTGCGGTGCGCCTAAGGTCGTTTGCGTACTTGACCAAGTCCTCGTCGATCCGTCCGGTACCACTTCGTGCCAGAAGCCCACTGGCGTTGGTTGCATGCTCTGCCGCGGCAAGACATATTCGCGCAAACAAGTGAGCCCTGACTTTTGGAATCGTGGGAGCCTTGAACATCCAGTCTTTGTTACTGTCATTCCTGTCTTCCGCAACAGCCGCCGTGTAAGGATCGTCTTTGGCCACCACAATAATCGTAGCCTCAGCCAGTGCCAGTGACGCCAGCGCAGAAACCGTAGATGGCTGGATGTCGATCGGTGCGTCCTTAGCCGCCGATATTGATGGCAGAGAAAGCAAGTAGTTGTGAATGCTATGCGCCTCAAGCAAATGCTTCATCGCACCGGCAATCGTACTCGCTCGCTGGTCTGCAGAAAGTGTCGCGGTGCCATACAGAATCCGCAACTGTGATCTGGCAAGCAGCGAATGCGTGTATGCCAGCGTGGACAACGTGAAAGCAATCTCGTGATGAAGGCCCACCAGCTTGGGCCGTGGAGGCTCACGGCCGGGGAGAGCAACAGAAAGCGTGCTCCGCCATTCCACCTCGACCGGTTGCTTCACTTCCACGTCCAGTTTCTCAGGTCCAACATCTCGATATCCGGATCCTGTATTGAGCGCGAGTAGATAGGGAACGTAGCTGGTCGCTGCATCTTGTACGGTTGGCAAGTTGCTGTCCCGCTGCTGGGGCGACAGCCGTTTGTGCTTCTTCAATGCATCTTTCAGTACACTGCGCCGAGTGGTCGCGGTCAATGGCAGCGATGGGTGTGTTACGCTGTCAAAGAAGTCTGATAAGAGCACTGAGCTGGTAGTTGGGAGAGCGAAGGGGAAGGGCATGGTTGAAGATCGATATTCAGAGGATGACGTGCGGTAGATTCGAGATTGGATCTTCAAACGTCACCTTGGCAGTGGTGAGAGCTTCACATCAACTGGATTCATCTGGAAAAAGGGCACTGCTTGTTGGGAACAAATGCTATTTGCGTACGCCATGCTTAAAACGTTCAATCTCCTCGTTCATACACCCGTAATGCATACCAGGATTGCCAGGCATGCTATGGGTATCAATCAATCTTTCCTAGCACAATAACCCTCACCAACACTCTCATTCAAGAAGTCGCATCCTGACAACATCAGCATCAATCCAGCCACCGATCCTGGACGTGGCCTCAACAAATGCAGCAGCGCGCGAATTGACAGGATCTCTCTTTCTTGCCAGTCTTCTGCCCAGGCTGCTAGCCGTCTGGGATCTCACCGAGAAGGACTTCAGAACTCAAGTTCGTCAGCACCGGCTTGCGCTTGCGCGCGAGATCTGGCGGTGCTGCGAACGGCGGCGTCAGCCTCTTTCTCTTCATCTCCAAAACTCCAAGTTCGGCCACCCTTGCGCGATCCCATACCATCGCCAGCAGTCTTGTAGATCTTCTTCTCTTGGATGGGGCTTCCGAATCCCCAGTTTGCATTGAGGTCAGCACGGGCAGCATGCTTGTTCTGCGCGACCTTAGCCCCAGCCGGAGAATCGTCCGCCATGGCGTAATGAGCGCTGAAGTCATCACCGCGGCGCGTGTTATTGGTCGAGGTGGTTGCCGATGACTTGGTTCCGTTTGCGGTTCGCTCATCGTCCTGGAGCGGATCTTGGTACAGACCCATGCCTTTCTGGCGTTGGAAAGACTTGACCTTGGTAGGGTTGGGCGACTCGTCCGTCATGTCCCATTGAGGCGCAGCATCTTTGCGAGCGGCATGCACGATAGGACGCTTAGGTGGTGAGCTTGGATCGTCCTGTTATCGTGTCAGCAGTCTTCAACCCTGTCCAGACGATTTGGGTAGTACCTCATCGACACCAGCGCCCCAATGGCGCTCGTAATCTGGTCTCATCTTCTCAACGTGCTTTGGTGGTGTGGTGAAGTCCTCGAAGCTAAAAGTGGCTGCGTTTTGCGACTTGCCCTTGTTGCTAATCGGCCTGTTCTCTTTTGGTGCGTCCTCGCCATTGCCAAAAGCGAAGTGCTCATACTTCTGACCATAAGTCTTCTTGCGTTCAGGCGATCTTGATGGCGATGCATCAGGCTGGTCGTCAAAGAGGCGGTTGGTATTGAAGTTCTTGCCGGCTCCAGCTTTCAGAATCGTGCCGTCAGCTTTGTGCGGCGATGGGCTCCTAACCGATGACGCAGCAGCAACTGAGGCAGACTCCTCGTCGACGAAGAGCTCACCGAGATCACGAGGTCCTGGCTTGGCGGATTTGGTCCTCGCATAGTTGGGACCTGAGTAAGTACGGCCGTCGTCGTTTGGATCACGTTCGGCAAAGAGTGAGAGGCTGGCATGTGGATCGCGAGTTGCTGAAATGCTGTCGCGCTTGGAGTGCTCACGAATAACCACCTCGTTCGGGTTGCGCCCTCCAGATGACCTGCCGTAGTTGGGGGCAGCTGGAGCTCCGCCGGACTTGATGCTACCAGTCACGGCTTCGATCTGTGCTTTCCCGTCGCGAATTGGCCAGTTGCGGCCTGTCTTGCCAATAGCCTCAACCTGCTTGAGCAGAGTGCCCTGGTCCCAGTAAAGGCGGATTTGCTGGATCTTGCCCTCGCTGGAGTAGCTCACAACATGAGTAAGTGGGAAGGTGACCTCGCGCTCATCCAGCATGTTTGAGTCCATTCCTGGCAGGAAGGCACCGCCGCCCAGGCGGAACTGCAGTGTAGTGGCTGTCTCGACGCAGCAGCCATTGTCGCTCTCGATTGTGAAGACGATCTTCTCCTCCTTCTTCTCGACCTGCTTGGCTTGAGCGCTGAGGTGCTTCAGGATCGCGGTCGGCTCGGTGATAGTGGTAGTCGTGGTAATGTAGTGGATCGATGCATCACTGGCAAGTTCGCCAGTGCTGGGAGACTGCAAGAAGCGCAGGTAGCTACCCAACTGGCCCGCCATGGTCGTCGAGTCGCGGGGGTTCAGTCGGCAGCGTGGTGGGGTCGGTTCGGACTGTCTGCTGCGGAGGGGGAGTTGTTGTTTGTTGCGAGGGAGGAGGTCGCGGCTCAGACAGAAACAAACACCAGATGTCCGCGGCGGCCTTGACAGGGGCTGGCTCGCGCTCCTGCATGAACAGAGGCCGCGCTTGCTCAAGTAAACATTGACATGGATTGTGGTCCTGAAACAGCCATTGCCAGGGTCGTCGGTGAAACGTGAAACTCTAAATTCGAACCTCACCTTTCACATGCCTACTTCACTTCATTCATAATCCCACAAATCTCAGCCTCATCGACACCTCACTCTCTGGCGAATCTGCTTAGCTCCACATGCTCTTGTTTCGTCGCGCCTCGTTGTCGGCGCATTGTTCCTGACAGTTGAACGTGCACCCGTTTCTAATGCAGGAACCCGCGAGGCGCATGATGCAGGCTACTCAAAGCGCCGTGCATCGTCAAAATGCCCGCCTCCGAGGCATTGGCAAGTCAATCCTCTAGGAGACTGCAGCAACCGTTGTGGAGACTCTCCGAGCCTTCGACAATCCAAGGCCATCAGCTGGACCTCGTCGACATCGCACTGTTGGAAGCAGCGCCCCTCATCTCATATGCAAGCGCCCACTTGAAGGCGCTAGGTTGGACTATTCGCTCCTACCCGGGTCTAGTCCGTCTCTAGAGATCCCATATACCAGGCTGGAGGACAGTATCGCTTTCAAATCTACGCTTGTCAGGCAAGTCAAGTCTTACCACCCATTCCAGATTCACTCTCATCTATATCTACATACATCTCCTTCGTCACATCTCCCAACGGCATAAGACAGAACTCACTACCCCTATACCTAGCCTCAACCATCCTCTCCGCAAGCGCAATATTCTCCTCAGGGAAACCCTCGTCCCTCAAACTCTGATAGTACGCCGCGACCAATGCCTTTCCCATCTGGTCGTCTCGCAGCTCTAAAGCAACGCCTGGATTCCCACGAAGCGCCCAGACATACGTGAGCGGCGGCTCCCCTATTTCCAGACCTGACTGTACATGTGCACTCAGGATGCGATGGTCAGCGATTCGACGAAGCATGAGAGCCACGCTGCCGCTTTTCGAATGGATCTTCGTCCTCTCGGCCGCCGTTGCCCGCTTGTCGGCGCTGGAGCCATGAACAGGAGGCTCCGTCTCGAAGAGCGTGAAAGGCACCGCGATGTCTTCATTCCCTCTCCTTTTCGCAGCATCCGCCATAGCAACAGCCAAAGTCAACGTATGCATAAGCTCGCTCAAATCCTGTCGACGATTCTCAGGTCGAACATAGACATACTGCAAATACGGAACAGCATGCCTCCCATCTTTCAGAAACAGAACCGAGAACTGAGCACCTCCAGCGACACGACCGGCTGGATCTCGGATCCCAATGATGCGGTAAGGCGCGAGATCCTCTCTCAAACCATTGGCATCGTCCTGCAAACGAGTCACGATCAAGTCTGAACGTTCGCGTTCGCCGCCATGGAAGTTCGATCTGTAGAGCTCGTCGTAGGATGTTGCAAAGGCCTCGCTTGAAACGAGCTCGATCGAACCAATGTTGGGTAGGGCTGTCTTTTTTATTCTGCTCGCGGGGATGCGGGAGATTGATGTCAGGTTGATTTTTGTGATGTGTGAACGAAGTCGTTGGTCTAACTTGGACTCCAGGAGTTGTGCGAGGTCATCCATGTCGCCCGCCTCGAGGAGCAGCAGGGCGTGGTGAAAGCTGCGATGGTCCAGCGAAAAGAGTTTGCAGGTCGGTCACAGCTTGCCGAGAGCTTGCCCTCAAAATATGGAAGCTCCCAAGAAAGGAAACAATTTTGAAGCGAAGTGCGCAGAGATATGATGTTATATTACATTTTGCTGTCTTTTGGTCCCTACTGTATCTTCTTCCCTTTCAACTCGGGCGGCTGCCCTACTACAACACCTCGATACAGCGCATCGGCAACACCCTTCCGTATCCCTTCGTCAAGCTTCACCAATGGCCGATATCCCAGCCTTCTCTTCGCTTTGTCAATGTTGTAGTACCTCGTCATGCACGTATATCTCACTTCCCGTCTGGTCAAGTTCGGCTTGCCTAGTCTGAACAAGAAGAAGATCCACTCCATCAGCGTCGCGATGAACAGACCAAAGTCCTTGCTCAAAACCCAGACTTGAGCTGGTGTTGTCTTGTCCCCTGCTGCTGCCCAGCACATACGCGCAAAGTCGAAGAAGTAGACTGGAGCATCGTTGGTGATGAAGAAGGCTTCACCATCGACCTTCTCGTGGTTAAGCGGTGCTGCGAGGCCGCCGTCTTCTCGCTCTCTGGTAGCCATCAATGCTGCAAGGGCAAGGTGATGGGCGTGAGCTACGTTGGTGATTTCGGTGAAGTCGAACAGGTTCTCGTTGTCCCCGATCTGGAACTTTGTCTGTCCTCGATAGTATGCACTCAGACCTGGTGGAATGAGCTGGACATCGCCTTCTCCAAACATCGCAGAGGGTCGAATAGCCGTTGTGAGGAGCTTGGGGTGGGATGGAGAGCGGTTCGACGCAAGCACGTGCATCTCTGCCTGGGCCTTGGTGGTAGTATAGTACTCTGGCTGCTCCTTGCCCATGATCAGAGGATATGTCTCATTCGCATTGATCAGATCGCTCGTAGTGTCGTGGATCACACTGGCCGAGCTAGTGTAAACAAATGCCTTGACGCCCGTCTCTTGCGCAACGCGAATCATGTTCTTCGTGCCCTCCACATTCACTTTGTATGCTAGATCCCTGTTGCTGCTCGCCGTCATGAGCGGGCTTGCGGTGTGAATGACTCCATCGAACTTGTGCTTGCCAAAGAACTTGAGCATCGCAACGTAGTCGGTCAAGTCGCCTTGCTCGTAGTTGACTCCAGCGACGGGCTTCGCAGGCGGTTTCAGGTCCAAGACTGTGAGCTTCGAGCATGCCTTCCGCGAGGACAGTAGCGAGACAATGTGGTGTCCCAGGAAACCTGAGCCGCCGGTGACCAGTACGTGGCCCAAGGACCTGATCTGCTTCTCGCTGTCGGCCATCGTTGCTAGTGGGAGTCGTTGTCGTGGATGTGATTTCGAGGTCAACGTGCTGAGGTGGGAGAAAGAGGACCTGAGAGACTTCTGCCGCGCACTTGGAGGCAGGCTGTCGTCGTCGTGGTCGTCCTGGAAGTGGAGCCGTGCCTGCACTCACGCGGATTCAAATCCTCCTCCTTCTGGCAGCCATTTGGCGATGCCAATGCTTTCTCCGCAAAATCGAACCATGACCACGATTTCTGGCAAATGTCCACGCGACTTGGCGACTTCACCTCGCCGATCTCTTCATTATTCGCCAACCACCTCACTCAAACATGACCATCCATCTGTACGCGGAGCATCTCGTCAACATCCGCACTCTATCCCTACAAGCCTCGCTGTCTACGATCTCCAGTCACCAGACCAAGGCGACACTCTCCGCAGATGGCAACACACTGACGCTGTCTCATGAAGGCGAGGTCGCGAGCATCAAACTGCCTATTCAAGTACCAGGCGGACACAATGACGCTACGTTGACCATACCTGCAGCGCCAACGAAAGACCTGAGCTTCCGCGTCTCGCTCCAGGAGAAGTCGGGTGCGGATGGTCTGCTAACAAACGGCGCTCATGAAGACACCCATGTAATTCCCTGGACAGCCACCGCCCTGACTCCAGAAACCGAAATAGCTTGCAAGTCTTGCAATGCGATCATCATACGCCGCGGTCGGGTCAAAATATGGAAAGACTTGCCATCGGAGAATTGGGCTGAGATGATGGACTTTTGGCATTGCCATCGACCTCACGTGCCTCACGACCATGGCAAAGAACCGCCGCAGAAGGGCTACTCTGCTGACAGCAGACTTGCTCTCAAGTCTGGAGTCGGCATGGTGGATCCTGTCGACTTTGTGTTGGCAGCTGAGGACTGCGAGAACATCACGGTAGGTGCTGCTCCACACCCTTTCCCTTGCTCTTGTTCTTCGACTTGATATGCGGACAAAAAAGAACCGGCTCTTCCAGGCCGCAAGGTCAGTATACGGGGGAGGATCGGGATACAATTGTCCAAGATTGAAAGACATGCTACGGAAGCCAGCACTAACCCTCGTGCGTTTGTCTGGCGGATGAGTACTGTCGCCGTCTTGCGTTTCACGGCCACGTTTAGGAGCTCATGGACCTGGCTGGATTTATGCACCGACACATGCCATTGCAGAAATACGTTTACATTAGTCTAAGTTCCCAATTCAATGCTGATTACTATCTACTTCAGACATCCACATCCTATGGTGAGGATGAAGCTCTCCAATGTTCGTCTTGTCATCACCTCCTTGGTCAAATGCACACCTCAAGCGGTGGTCACAAACTGCGCAAGGCGCATCTATCTCTATCACGAAAAGCACAGTCGCCATTCGTATCTTACGGCGCCGAAAAGTGGCTTTCGTGCCATTTGCTTTCTTCCATCGACAGTCAAGGCGTTCGCAAATTCACCATAACAAGCACCAGTCCCGACGACACCGCGTTGAAAATCTGGATCTTCACTCCAGACATCAACGTCTCCTCCTCGGAAGCCAAAGACGACGGACCCATGCGCGCTATCAAGATCCTCTGGCTGGAGAGCACAGTCTCGCCCGAAGCATCTGGCTCCCTCAATCGACAAGCTCTGTCCGAAGGAGAGCTGGAACTTCCTCCTAGCGAAATGGAGCTGCTGCGTAGAACTCTCCTTCAAAGCGCCAAGCTCCTCCCAGACAGCGCGAAGAAGTTCCAATCTTGGAACGTCGCACTGTTGTCTCGCTTCAAGAGCGATGAGGTCGAATCGGTCTCGACTGCTGCTTCAAGTCCACCAGTCGTACTGGAAGAGGTTCCGGACTTTCAGAACATGGAGATCTTGTCGGCTCTCACAACATGACAGGAGCTTGCTGCATCGACGTGCCTATGATGCCAGCGACTCGAGCCAAATCAGCTCCAAAGGTGACTCTTGATCGCTCCTCTTCTTGCTCAACGGTAGCGACACTCGGCCTGGGCTCTCGTGGTTGCGAAGCCTGTCGGCCTCTGAAGAAGGACCACATCGTGCTGTTCTTGCGTTTGTTTGAACTGATCGGCTCTTCCTTCGAGTGGTTATGCTGGTCCGGGCGACCTTGCAGACTCTCTTCTACAGCTGGAGGCGACGCAACAGCAGGCTCCAGAACAGTACCACCCTCCTCGCCATCAAATCTTCGAGCAATCCTCTCAGGATCAAACCTCCCAAGCTTCTTCGCGTGCTCCACATGATGCGCAAGAGTATACCCCGTCTCGACCAACGACTCGCCCCTTGGCTTGGCCTCCTTCGGCGTCTGAAGATCACCAATTCCATCAACGCCGGCATCCTCCCCTTGCAAGACTGCCCCCTCCTCCCTCTCTAAAAGCCTCGTCCTCGCCGTCCGAAAGCTCTCATTCGTCATCGACCTACTCAGACTGTCACCCTCCACACCAAGCAACCCAGCCGTCGACCTCGCATCAACCGTACACGGCGTCCAATGCCCACTCGTGCGACTCGACTGCGCCGCCGCCGCGGCCCTCGCATCCAAAAACCACGACCTTGAAGGATACGGGTTATTCTCCTGCCTCGCAGCCGCAGGCCCCGCGGCGCCCAGAACAGGCGGCCTATCACGCCGCTCCTCAGCTTGCTCCCGCCACTGTCCGCCCTCGAGGGACATCCAGCGCGAATCTTTCCTCTTCCTATCGCCATCACCACCCCTGTTGGACCAAAGCGACGACACCCTCCTCTTCATCGTCCGCCCAAACCCAACCACCGACTCAAACGTCGTGCTCATCCGCTGCGACGCCTTCCTTTTCCCCTGCTGCTTCTCACCCTCCCCATCACCAACGCCTGGTACCTCCTCGATCCGCTCCACCGTTCCATGCCCCTGCCCACCCCCGCGAAAATCCGGCCGTCGAAACAAAGGAACATCCTCCCCCTCCGCCAGCTCGATTTCAATACATGTTCCGAGGAACGACGCCGCGTCGTGGTAGGGTTGCGAGGCGAGAGAGGTGTTCGAGGGGCCGACGAGGAGTTCGTCGACGCCGCTGCGGTGGTGGAGGGCTTGTGCTGGTGGGGAGAGGTGGTGCGGACGATGGGTGTTGGATGGTGATGAGGAGGAGGATGCTCTTTTTGCTTCGACAGAGGGCGGGAGGGCGTGGCGCTCGTCTTGGAGGGGAGAGGGAGGGTCAGAGGGGGAGGTGGGTTTGCTGGAGGGCATGTTGGATGTTGGATGGATAGTAGTGACGGTGATGTTGATACTCCTGGATGGCGAAAGTGACAATACAACTCGACGTCAACAATAACGAAACGGGGAGGAAGAAGAGACAGACGTCCAAGACAGCGATGAATGCATGATATTCACGGTGCGAGAGACGTAAAGAATCTCCACATCCCAGCACCATGGTTCCATAACTTCACCCACAAGTCGAACTTCACGCAAGTAAGCAAGAAAGCGGAGTAGAAAGTGGAAATAGAGTTCTTCAGCAGCAGCAAAAACCATCCATGATCTCATTCAATCAAAGGCCCATCTAAGGCCGCGTATCGTGCTCGCTCTCCCTTCTATGGTACATCAAGCCTCTCCACAATCTGGTATGAAGGAGTCAAGTCAAAAAAGCAATTCAAATCCATTCCTTGCCCTGTGCTGTCCTCCATCGCCGGTGAAAAGCAGGGGGTGTCAAGCCAAAAGCATCATTCTCTTATTTTCATCATGCATGCCGGGGATCTCGATTGTGAAATCGCATCTCTTCCGTTCTGTCGTAATCAAACATCCTCTTCTTCAAGTCGTAAAAAGTCCTCCGCTTAGCGCTGGTTCTTCAGCTCTGGAAACAACTCCTCCAGGGTAGAGTTTCCGGTCGTGAGGGCTGGAGCGGTGGTCTGCGCATCAAAGTGCGATCCGAAGTTGGAGCCCATGTTGTCCAAGTTGCCCCAGCTGCCTTCAGCGGGCAACGACGGAAACATGTCTCCGCTCGTAGCCGGAGCAGTAGCACCGAAGAGGGTGAAGTCTTGGTTCGGGCCGCTGCTGTAGTCGTTGTAGTTGGTGTCGTAGACGCCGTCGACGTTCATGGCATCGTTGGTGAACGTCTGGTCCATCTGAGCACCTGGCGAAGCCTGAGGAGCTGCATTGGAGCTGGGACCAGCGATGCTTGAGTTTGGCGTGTACGAGCTGAAGTCGAAGTTGCCAAAGTTGAAGTTGTCGAACATGAAGTCATCTGGAGTGCCGTTGTCGAATGAGCTTGCGTCGAACATCGCACCGGAGTGAGAAGACAGCGATGCCGAAGCTCGTCGATCATCGCTCGTAGCTGGTGTGATTGGGAAGGCCGGGTAGTTGGCCATGTCGTTGAAATCGAAGTTCATGTTGTTCATATTGAAGTGACCAGCAAAGTCGGGCGATGGGTGCGTGAAGGCTGGGGTGCCGTAGTTGCTGGGGCCTACACTCGGTGGTGCCATCGAGCCACGGCGCGAGGCCTCCGACATGGAGTTGGTGGAAGGAGAAGGCGCGATCGGGGTGAGTGGCGTGAGCATCGCCGACGCTGGTGACGGCGGGACTGAGCCTTGCTGCAGGCGCATCGCATTGCTGGCATGACCCTTACCGTTGCTCTTGGAACGGACGTAGTTCCAGCCATGTGCCTTCTCCATGTGTTGCTTGCAATTCGACTCACGCTTGGATGTGTATGGGCATGGCTTGTAGAGGCAGTGATAGAGCGACGGCGTCGACGAATGCTTATCGTTGACGTGACGATCGCGCTCCTTCTCAGTTGGCCAGCCGTACTCGTAGTACTTGCAGTCCTCGTTGGGACACTTCCATGGACGCTCATGCGTCTTGACATGCTTGGTCAGATCACATGGTCGCTTGAACTCCTTCTGGCAGAGCTCGCAGGTATGGATCTCGGGCTTCGCATTCTTCTTGCGTCGGGCCATAGATCGGAGGGCGTCATCTTCGTCGATTTCGTCTGCTGGTCTCTTCTGCATGGGACCGGCAGAGGAAGATGCGATCTCTTCTTCAGAGAGAGGCTGGCCGGTAGTGACTGATATAACTTTGCCGTCTGCCGTGTGACGAACAAGCTCAGCCGGCTTGCCATTGTGACTCATGCCTCCGTGGATTGAGACACGCTCATCCCTGCAGGATCCGTTAGCGTCAGGTTCACCGGTTTCTTTGATGCTGCACGGCATGTCTCTGGCGGCGACGGCAGCGAGCAACGTTAGTACGGCGAGTGGTTGTTGTTTTGTCTGAAGTTGGCGATGTTGTCGATGCGATGGAAGAAGTGTGAATGGCCATTAGGCAGCCACTCAGTGAATGAGGGCGCGTGAAACAGCAACAATAGAAAGGGCCCTATTGTCGCTCATGCGGCGGTGCCTGAGGCGCAGACCCATCTTCAACCAATACGCAATCGCCATTGGAGACATGCAGCGACTAAGTGCATCCTGCGCGTCACCAGAGCATACAGTCATAGCCAGGAAATGGCTTGGCAGAGGAAATGGGGAAACTTACTCAGTGACATCCATCGGGCCCAACTTCTCACCCTTTGCTTGCTTTGCTCTGGTAGCAGCCAGGATAGTGGCGTATCTACGGATCTGTGCGAAAATGTTAATAAGCTTCACGGCGCCGCGAGGCGTCAGAAACCCAGCACGAACCTGCTCAACCAATTCAAAAAAGTAGCCTTGCGTGTACGGTCGATCGGTCGGCGCTCGCTGGTCGGACTCGTGGAGGGTCGTAACAGTCGTATGCAGCACGCGAATCGTTCGCTCGCAGAAGCGGAGGTATTTCGAAGGAGAACGCGAATAGTTCTTTACGCCAAAAAACCCATAAGCAAATGCGCCATCCGAATCATCACGGATGCGTGGACTTACCGGTGCAAGGAAAATGAGTGTCTTTTCAAGTTCACGGAGATTCTTAATCTCTTTGTCGCCGATGCGGGATGGGACGCTCTTGATAAGACCGTGGAACTCCTTGAGTGACTCCTCGTCCAAAATGGGCTGGACGATGTGCTTGTGGATCTGATCGGCAGCGTACTTGCTCAAGCCGCGCTCCTCGTCGGAAGCATTAGAGATGGTGGAGAGTGACTGTCTCCCTGGGGTGCCGGTGGCTTTAATACAGTTAGCATAGTTCATGTGGTGTTGAGATATGTAGTTACCGGTATGAGTGGAGTTCTTAGCGGTGGATGTCGACGATGATTCCGTAGATTCAGTAGAGTCAGCGACCGAGGAGCCAAGGCCACTGTCAGAGGAGTGGCTGTGATGGCGGGTGCGAGTCTTCTGAGCTGACTCTGGAGTGTCGACCATGAAAGTGGGTACGGGAAGTACCTCGGGCTCGCTCAGGACATTGCTCAGGGCGACTTTGGACTGGGCGGCAATGGCCTTGTCCACGCGGTCGAGCAAGTTGGCGACACGACGCTCGCCAGCTCCAATGAGAAGGTCCTCCAGAGCTTGGGGGGAGGTGGTGGAGCGGGTCACAGTCATGGACGAGGAGGCTGACTCAAGAGGATCCCAGAAGCTGCTCTTGCTGGTGTTGGTCTGAGGATGAAAGGTGTCTCCTTTGCGGATGGACATGTTCTGAAAGGAGTCGACGAGGGAGGGAGTCACATCGGGGTCGCTGGGCCTGGCGGCACGGCGGCGAGGGTTGGGGGCAGCCGACGACATATTGGCGGCGGCGGATCGAGGGCGAGGTGCCGTATCGTGGAGGATCGGAGAGGGCGGTCACCTGAGGGGGGTTAGCTCACGCATATGTGTACACAAGACGGCCGTGACTCACGTTCTGATCGGGTGTTTCGAGGCCGTCCAAGACTGGCCGGATGGAGGGCGTCGTCAATGTCGCGAGGGCGCGCGATGGGGAGGCCACGTGGAGATGGGTGGTTGCTTCAATCTGGGGCGGCCTGAGGTTGAGTTTGGGAAGTTGGCAGATGTTTGGACGGTTTTGGGAGGGGAACGAGGTGGAAGAGAGGTGATGAAGGCAGCGAAGCGGCGGCATGTCGTCCAGAGGCGCAGTAGCACGCTATCGTCTGGCTGGCGAGGCGCTGCTGCCTGCGCTGTGCCTGAGGCCTTACCTAATCCGCGGGACCGGTGAAGCGTCCTCGCTGAGTCGCCGAAGCCTGCAGGGATACGCATCCTGTGTTTATGCTGCATCGCTTCGCCCTTGCCACTCGTGTTCCTCTCTTGCTGCCGACAACAAACATCGCATTGGCCTGGAATGCTTGAAAGACCCACTAGCAATTGGAACTACACAGGTGAGAAGGACCACGCAGCGACAGTCCACTTCATGATCGACCGAACATTTGACGTCGGAGATCGGAAGCTTTCGCTAGCCCGCCCCGAAAAGCTTGGCGCGCTCTTTCCGGGAAAGTTGGATGTGTCAGCCGACTCGCACCTTCCATGCGTCAAAAACAACACCTGTACGAGCCTCGCATCTGTGATTGATCGATTGATGAAATTCGGCGGCCTGAAGAATTGACGCTCTCGACGTCCTCGACGTCCCGTCGTGGTACGAGTCGAGCAAAGTGCGATGAGTAAACAAACGTCGAGCAACCACGCAATGGCATACGCACACCCATACCGTGCGGTTGGGTTGGACATGTCTCTTTGGGACCCATCTGACGCTGCACGTGCTGCGGTCGACAAATATGGTACCGAAATTTGCAGCTGAGCCTCAGCCATTGGACTGGGTGAACGACGAACACCACTTCGCACGTCTCTATGTCAACATCCATGGCCGATTCGTCGCCTTCGATCAGGTACTAGGACGGCAACCTTCTGTCGACCGATATGACCGTACCCTTCATCCGGAGGAGAGCTAGGAGACCCAAAGTCCGCACTGGCTGCCGCACGTGTCGCGCCAGACATGTGAAATGTGGAGAGGAGAAGCCAACATGTTGGAATTGCGCCAGGACGGGTAGAGAATGTGCGGGTTATGATTTTGTCAAAACACCCGAGAGAAGCTCACAACTACACATGTTGCAACCCAAGGATGCGTCGGTCGCTCTCGTTCCAGCAGTCACCCATGGCCTACCTTCCTTTCCGGACGGAATCCACTCGACAACCGGCTACGAGTATTTCTTCTGCAAGGCATTTCAGGACCTCCCTGGGAGTAGCTGGGCCTTGGCATGGGACCGTCTCATCCTTCCATTCTGTCATTCAGAACCAGCCATTCTATACGGCGCTATGGCGATCGGGTCGCTGCAGCATCATAGGCTCGCTTGCAGCGACGACCTTGACGTGAGCTCAGTGCAACCTACGACCGCACTTGCGCAGTACGGAAAGTCTGCTGGCATCATCCGAAACGCCATTGAAAAGTACAGACAGAAGACTACTAGCATGAATGACATTGAGACGATTCTTACGGCCTCGCTATTGTGGTTCTGCTTTGAGATTCTGCATGACCAAGACGACATGGCAAACATGCACCTCTCTAACGGACTCAGAATCTTGCATGAGCACGTCGGCCGTAAAGGACTCACGAATGCTATAAAAAATCCAGGACATGAAAGGCCCATAGAGCTTAGCGTCGGTGCTTGCTCGAGGATGGACCTCCTGATTCAGACCTTTGTACGACTGGATGCGGATATGACTCCACTGATTGAAGATACAACCTTTCTTTCGCCCATTTGTAGACAGCCGGTGCCCTCTTCGTTTTCATCCCTCGACGAAGCCATGATCTTCATCGATGTTGTGCAGAGTCAAGTATTCAATATTGGCCGTGAGCTCGATATCTTGGCTGAGGAATTTCTCGAGGCGACATATCCAAACTTCAGCTTTCTCGACGAGACCGTCCAGGAGATGCTCGTCCTCGCAAAATCTCGCACCGTCGCGGCACCCATCGATCTCATCATACGTATGGAAGAAGCGACAGAGGTGTTAAAGACGCTCATGGTAGCCTTGACGGCTCTTCCCTCCTCAGACCCACCAGATGCTCGCAGGATGCTGGTGGAGCTGCATTTGTTCATTGTCTGGTTCGATGCCTCTATCTGGAAGGATGCTGACGAGATGGAAGTGGATCGTTTCGACCAGCAGTTCGACCACATTATGGCTATCGCCGAGCAGTACTTTGCCGCCAACGAGGCCGAAGCAACGAATTCAACTCAGGAGGTCACTTCGCGAATACCAGCCTCCAAAACCCGTGCTGCCTTCCAAATCGGAAGCAGCACACTCAACACCGTCTGCACAATCATCGAGAAGTCTCGCAATTCTACGATCCGTCGACGGGGCATCAAGCTCATTGCACAAATGGACATGCGCGGTGTCTTTGACGCAGCCTTTCTGGCCGCCTACTATCAAAGCGTGGTGGATATGGAGGAGGATGAAGCAAGGAGACTTCTGGGACTGCCGCCTACTTATATGTTTCATCTGAACGAGATCCCAGCAGAAGCACGATTGACAGAAGTGGAAGTGACAGGGGCGGATGATGATAGTACCGACGACGGACACAACATTATGTTCTACCACCGGCAAATGGGTCGGATGGTGTACGCCTATTCGGCGAATGGACAACTGCGACATGGGGAGTGCTTGTTTCGAGTCCATCGGCCTTTTCTGGCCACTTGAAGATGACCTATCTACCAGATGGAGACTCCATCTCATTCGAGAACGCAGGGAAACGTATAAAGAACTCTGGATGATATTACTGCTGGAAGCCGATCAAAAGTTTACACCACCAGCAGGACCTCGACAGCACGCGACAGCTACAAACCAGTCACTCAATCCTTCACAACTTCCCTCAATCCTCAACTCCCCTTCAAATCCTCCTCAACATACGCCTTCAACGCATCCGCCATGGCCTGATTATACCGCATCAACGTCTCCCCCATCTGCCACTTGACAACATACGCCAACGGCCCCGCCTGCGTCTCATAATTCTGATACAAACACTCCCCATCCCCCTTGGGCGTCACCTTGTGCACCTTCTCCGCAAACAACAAAAACACCGGGATCCCCATCGCACGACCCTGCCAGCAAAACGTGTACTCCGCGTCGTTGATCGCGGTGATGTCGCAGGGGACGTCCAGCAGTTTGTCTTCTACCTTGGCGCGGTAGGCGAGCGTCACCGTGTCTCCTACTTTGATGGTGTTGTCGCCCGAGGGCGTAGTGACGGTGGGGGTGTACTTGTTCCATTTGGGGTATGATTGAAAGTCGCGGATGGCTTTGTAGACGACATCTGCGGGCGCTTTGATGGTGGCTTCGGCGTAGAATGTGAAGACGCCTTGGCGGCCTTTGAGCGAGGGCGTCGCGAGGCTGCTGGATTGTCAGTCACCGTCTGTAGTGGTGCGAGAGTTGATGGGGGCTTACATTTCTTTGTGCACCATTTCGACGAATTCGGCAAAAACTTCACAGATCTGACTCTCAGAACTGGCTGGGCGAGAGACGCTTCTAAATACTCGGACGTATTCGCGACCGCGATGGGATGGATGGATCTACGTGCCCTAAGTTTGACTGCCGGACATCCAGTGACCTCCAGCACTTCCTGTTCGGCTCATCGTACAAATCCCTCGACCATCTTATCGACAATCAATTCCTACAGAGACATCAACCTGACCTTTCTCTTCAAGTAGCTGTACAGAACAGGTACTACTGAATTGACGTAGCGAGGCACACTTCGATTACTCAGACCCCATCCGAAACCAAACCCTTCCTGTGCAACACCAACACCACAAACACCCCTCGCGAAACCCTCGCGAACACCAGTCTTGGCCTCTCCCTCAGCCGCCCGTACGCTCTACTCCATGCAGCCAGCCGTGCGAGCGTGTATGAGCGTCAAATGTCTTCTCCATTTCTCTCGACTCTGATTGGCCAGGCCCCTGTTTCGGATCAAAGACACGAACTCTCAGACCTCACCTCTTCTTCCAATTCTTCTCCGCTGCTTCTCCGCTGCTTCAGTCTCGCAGAGCAAACATTGTCTTCTTGGCTGTACTTCCTCTTTGCCTAGAAACACGGGGCGTCTTGTGAGAGGTATGCCAAGGTGGAGGATGCTGACCTTGCTGCTGGCCTGATTTTATTTACGGCTTGTCATCCCTTCATCTCTTTCCTCGCTTTCTTCACTGCTGTCGTTGTTGGTTTTGTTGTCTTACTTTCGCTCTCTCGCTCGCGCTTTTCACGGCTCTGGTAGTCGTGTTTTTCAAGAGAACAAAGAGGAGCTTCACTGCGTGTTGAGTGTTCTTCTTTGTTGGTTTCTATCTCTGCGAGAGACAAACGCTTTGTTCTCTGCTGTGTTTTTGGCTTCCTTAAGACTACAGCCTCGCATTCTATCCTATCCTATCTACCTGCCTGCTTCGGACTTTGGACAAACCTGAACTTCAGCGCTTCGACTTCCAGAACACCTCACAACTCGACCGCTATCAACCACCTACACCAAACCCACAAACCGTACCACCAACCGACCAAGATGCTCTCATCCACCCTCCTAACCCTCCTCGCCCTCACATCCGCCACCCCCCTCGCCCGCTCCACAACCCTCACCGCCCAAAACCTCCTCACCATCGCCCCCTCAACCTCCACCTGCGACCCCACCGCCGACTTCGCCACCGAATGCCGCCCCGCCACCGTCGCCGCCCCCGCCATCGCCAAATCCTTCACCACCTACACCATCACCACCTTCGGCGCCCAAGCCGCCCTCGTAAGCATAATCCTCTTTGAATCCGGCAACTTCAAATACTCCCAAAACCACTTCCCCGCCCCGGGGAACCCGGGCCAGGGGACCCGCAACATGCAATCGCCCGCGTTCAACGCCAAGTACGCGGACGACCTCGCAGCGAAGGGCGTGTGTGGGTTGACGACGGAGAAGGTCGCGGCGGCGAAGGCGCAGGGTCCCGAGAAGGTGCTGGAGTTGGTGAACACGGATTCGTTGGGGTTTGCTTCTGCGGCGTGGTTTTTGAGGACGCAGTGTGGCGAGGGGGTGGAGGAGGGGTTGGCCGGGGCGACGGAGGAGGGGTATGTGGCTTATTTGACGGAGTGTGTGGGGACGACGGCGACGGAGGAGAGGATTGCGGGGTGGAAGGCTGTTGTGGCGTTGGGGCAGTGGTGAGGGAATGCTGGTGAGGTTTGGGCATCGGGGCGTTGGTTTGACGTTTATCGACTCTTGCGCGCTTTCGCGTGTATGCATTGGGCATGGAGGATCGGCTTGAGCATGATCTGATGGATGCTTCGATGTTGGGCTGGTAGACAGTGCCACGGCATCGAGCACAGAAAAGAGTGATGAAACAAGCCTCCCGTCACGAACCTCATCTCGTTATTAACTCGTATTTCTTCCGATATGGTGTGGTCACGCTCCCTCGAGGTCCGTGTAGAACCCAAGGAATTACCAACTCCTTGCGAGTCCCAGCAATTACACCCCTCACCGCAGCTCGAAGATGTTAAAACAGTCGCAAAGAATTGGAGATAAGCACGAGATTCGATAGATCGTCAAACAATGCACATTAGATTATTCCAACTCATCATCGTGCTCTGTATCGCACTTCCTTCCAATCTGTCGTCATGCAAATGCAATATGTACAATCTTTCGTTATGATGTTCGTGATCCATGTCGTCAGGCAATCTTCTCATTGCCTTAGTCGTCCTTCGTTCATATTTAGGCCGTCTTGGTGGCCTGTACTTGACCATCATTCGCCTGGTTGACGGGCGAGCCGGTCTGCTGCTGTACCTGACCATCGGCTCGAGGGGAGTTAGCTACGTACCGTGTGATGTGTTGGGAGGAGGGAACTGACAGATTTGCTGGACTGGCTTGCCTGTTGGTTGCTGCACTTGACCTTGTTTCCAACGTTAGTCTCTCCTACAATCGAAAGTGAAGTGGACTTATGTACCGTCGCTGATCTGCTGGACCGGAGAGCCGGTTGGTTGCTGAATTTGCCCGTCACTAATCTGCTGGATGGGCTTGCCGGTTGGCTGTTGAACTTGGCCCATGTGGCTATCAGTCTGTGCTGCTACCCACAATGGATTCAAGTGACTTACCATCGCTAATCTGTTGGACTGGAGAGCCAGTCGGCTGTTGTACCTGCCCTGTTTTCCCCCGATATCAGTCTTTGCTACTAAAACCAAGGAAGAAGCAAGGGAACTTACCATCACTGATCTGCTGTACTGGAGAGCCCGTTGGCTGTTGCACCTGCCCGTCAGAAATCTGCTGGATTGGCTTGCCGGTTGGCTGCTGCACTTGTCTGCCACGACATTAGTGACTACCGCTAACGACCCGCTTCCAGATACATACCCATCACTGATCTGCTGGACAGGCTTTCCGGTAGGCTGCTGAACTTGCCTAGATTGGAGCATTAGGGACTACTGCCAACGACCTTCAACTGAGCACATACCCATCACTGATCTGCTGAACGGGAGATCCAGTGGGCTGTTGAACCTGTCTACAAAAGATGTTTAGTCTCCATTGTGAGCCATCTAGTGCCTGTGACATACCCATCGCTAATCTGCTGAACTGGCTTGCCAGTTGGCTGCTGAACTTGCCTAGATTGGAACATTAGGGACTACTGCCAACAACCTGCAACTGAGCACATACCCATCACTGATCTGCTGAACGGGGGATCCAGTGGGCTGTTGAACCTGTCCTAAATTCGACATCAGCCGCGATCTTCCAGTCCTCCAGCATAGGCACATCACGTACCGTCACTGATCTGCTGGATCGGCTTGCCAGTGGGATTCTGAACCTGTCTACAGAAGATCGTCAGTCTCCATTGTGGGCCATCTAGAGCCTGTGACATACCCATCGCTAATCTGCTGAACTGGGCTGCCTGTCGGGGCTTGAACTTGTCTGACAAGACCGTTAATGACTACTGCCAACGACCCTTTTCCAGAGACATACCCATCGCTAATCTGCTGGATCGGCTTGCCTGTTGGGGCTTGAACTTGTCTAATAAGATCATTAGTAACTACCATTGATAACCCACTGCCAGTGACAAACCCATCACTGATCTGCTGAAGTGGCGACCCTGTTGGATTTTGGACTTGGCTTCGGGATTGTTAGTCACTACTGTCAACCATTGCTTGTAACATACCCATCGCTAATCTGCTGGATTGGCTTGCCTGTTGGGGCTTGCACTTGTCTGAGATTATTAGTGACTGCCATTGATGGACCACTGCGAGCAACTTACCCATCGCTAATCTGTTGGACTGGCGAGCCAGTTGGATTTTGGATCTGACTAGACGACTGTTAGTCACAGTACTATCAACTCTCTGATGCTTGTAACCTACCCGTCGCTAATCTGTTGGATTGGCTTGCCCGTCGGGTTCTGGACTTGGCTACAAGACACCATTAGTCACTATTGTAAGTCGTCTCAATTGGTAGCGTACCCATCGCTAATTTGTTGGATTGGCTTGCCCGTAGGGTTCTGGACTTGACTGCACACACGTTAGTCGCTGCGGTCGACGGTCAATCTTGCAATGCCGACGACGTACCCATCACTGATCTGCTGGATTGGCTTGCCAGTGGGGTTCTGGATCTGACCTGTTTTCATTAGCTCTGCGACGTGCAGACACACGAAGCGGACGTACCATCACTGATCTGCTGGACTGGCTTGCCAGTTGGCACCTGCGGCTGTCCTGTGTGACGAGTTAGTCTGCGCTTTTGATTTTCGCTGGAGAGCAGCATACCATCGTCAATCTGGGTCACAGCATTGCCACCAGCACCAGCGGCGCTGGTGCCCCAGTTGCCGCCCATGCCTCCTGGAGGCTTGCCAGCAGGTGGCTGTGCTTGGCTGCTCTTGCCAGAACCGCTAGCAGCGAGACCGTTCTGCTCGAAGAAGCTGAGGATATCGTTGTAGGTGGTTGTGTGAGTGTACTGGTAGTTCAAGCCGTGGCCCGCGCCCTTGACGATGTCGACCTGGAAGGGCGAGGCGTTGGGCAGGTATTGCTTGGAGGTCTCGGGGATGCTGTTGTAGCCGGTTGGGGCCGCAAGGCAGTTTCCACCGCAGTATGGGACGTCGTATTCGCCCGTTATGATCAAGACTGGACCCTTGAACAGGTTCTTGGAGCCGGTGGATCCTCCAATGGTGAGCAGCTCACCAATGGTCACTGGCTGGCCGGTCTGGGTCGCGAATGTGAGGATGTTGGGGTCAAACTATAGCACTGTTAGCTTCTGGCATAATTGGAGGTGCTCGGTATCAAACAGCACTTACATCACCAGGAGCAAAGAAGTTGGTCTGCACAGCACTGGCATCTGCAGGAGCCAGGTATCCGTTAACATAGGTCGCCAGAGCCGGGTTCTTGTTCGCCTGCACAAAGTTGCCGCCCAGGAGGAAGTAAGGGAGGAAAGTTCCATTCTGGGAGAAACCAGTGAGACCGATGCCGTCGGAGATGGTAGGGTACATGTGCGCGAACACGTGAGTTTAGCAAACACGCGAGGGTCGTTGAAGCTCTTCTGCATGTGCAAAACTTACATAGCAGTCAGAGCGTATGTTTGCGCGGAGCCAAAAGAGTGTCCAATATGAAGGACCTTGCCATACTTTGGCACGCCCTGAATAGAACCTTCTCTGATCTTGTCGGTCAACGACTTCAAAGCAGCAACTTCCAAGAGAACCTGGATCTCATTGACTGGCTCGCCGTGAGACGAGTGGCCGATACCGAGGCGGTCGAAAGCAAAGGTTGCGTAGCCTCGAGAGGTGGCTTGGTTGACATAGGAGTAGTTTCCATTTGCGTAGGGACTGTCCCAGTAGCTACGATCAAAGCCAATGCCGTGTGTCAAGACTGTTCATGGGTTAGCCTGAAGTCCCTATGGTGTTCCTCCTTGCCTGGCTCGATAGCATTCAAAGAGTGTCTCCGCGGTTTGCTCGGTCTCCCCTGCCCGAGAACCGAACACAAAGAACTCATGTGCCTTGAACTCTCGCCAGACGACGCTCTTCTTCACTGACCTTGAACGGTGCTAGCAGATCCACTGTCAGGAGCACAGTAGGTCGCAGCGATGTTGTATGTGCCGGACACGGTTTGGTACTGAGCAGAATGCCCGTCAGTGACATGCTTTTTCACCTGGAGCTAGCAAAAACCTACACCCTCCAAAGCTGTTTGAGAGTAGTTGGTGCCCTGGCGAGACTGGAGCAGGATGAAGTTGGTAACATCGATGTTGGTCTGAGGCGTCAACTTCGCCTGGTCGTATTTGCCGTTCCTGGCAGAGATGGTGACCGGCACTGTCAATTCCTGGCAGTGCTTGGCCGAAGCCAGACCTGCAAAGGCCGCAACTGCGGCCGCTGTCGTGAAGCTCTTCATGATTGCTGTATGTCCAGTAAAAAAGGAACAAACACACGGAAAGCAATGTGAGTGAGGAGAGGGACTGCAGGATTGAAGTATGAATCCATTCGGTCTACCGGAGTCTGAAGAATGACGTCCAAAGTTGCCTACCGTAATGTCGCTTGGTTTGGTGGTGTGAGTTTGCTCGTCTCATGGCTATTTGGAAGGGCTCGAGATCTCAGCGCAGAAGAGCAAGAAGCCATCGTCTCGGATCCATTGCCGGTCGTCAAGAAGACCACGTTGAACGCTCTTGGACGAGCGCACAACGTCCCTCTCTGCGGCCTGCGGTCGATGACATTGCAGAAATGCAGGGCCCAGGTCCGAGATCGAGAAAATGTTCCATGGCGAGAAGCTTGGAGTGCTGTAAGCTCTCGATGAGCTTCGAGCTCCTTGCCACATGTAGAAGAGCCTCACGTCCAGGAAGGGAAAGGCGTAGGATGATCTAGTGAAGGTTCGCTAGATCAGGTACTGATGTCATGTTGCTCCGTTAAGGTCGCGCATCAGTGTGGAGAACGATACAAAGGAGAGAGGATGAAGAGTTTCGGACATGTTGTTTCCGGGGAAGGAGAGTTGTCTGGATCGCAACGTTGTAGCTGGGTCATGTGTTGACGAACTCCTCATTTGAGCCCCGGAGTCGAAGGGTTGACAACAGCCCCAACAGCATCTGAACAATAAAGGCACGTCTTCAAGATGCGGAGGCTGCATATTCCAATATCTAGGAGGATGAACGCTTCGCTAGCTTCTCGTATTTCTTCATGCCGTCAGACCGGATGCTGCTGATATAGCAGTCGAAGCCAATCGTGCTAGGAGGATGCAGTTCTTTTAGCAGTCTTGTTTGGCGAGTAATGGCTAACAGCGATCCCGTTCATCCCGTTCAGGCCTGGGTTGGCCGGAAAGAGATGTGTAAGTACTCGAGACGGGATGACCTCGAAGCTCTTCCCAACTGCTCTCTTTTATGTAGTTATAGATATTTTCTACTCCTCAAAATGATCGTTTTCTCAAAACGGATCGCAATCCCGTCTATTGCTGTCGATGTTGAACTCGCTTCAGCTAAATGTCATGAAAGAGTGATAATCGTGTACCCCTATTCCTTTCCCCCATTTCTATCCACGCACCTGGTTCTACACCCCAACCGAGCAAATGAGACCGGCGCCAGTAGCAAAGTAGTAGTCTTGGCCGCAGTCGGGGAAAATGCAGTAGTTGTTGTCGTTATAGGTGCCTTGCTGGAAGAAAGCATCGATTTGATCCTGACTGGTGGCGTAGGGACCTTCCTGGTTGATGCCTGTGTTCAACGTTAGCTGACGCTATATTTGTCGAGCACAGCAGTGAAGGTTCGCACAGTTCACTCCCTGCTGATCTGGACAATTGATGCCATTGCCATAGAGGTCTTCGTATTCGCCAATCAGTTGATAGTCGTTGCTAGGCACACATCCTACAGAATTGGAATATCCATCGACGAGTGAGATGTCGCAGTTTGCCGTGCCCGCGCTCGGGAAATAGCATTCCAGTTTCGTGTTTCCAGGGCCAGTGTCCTGTGTTTAGGCCATTTCGTTAGTGTATGCGAGGCAATATTACATATACCGAGTTCTCTTACCCCTGCGGAGATGTACATCGCACCACCTGCCCCGCCTGGCGCCGTCGTGGGAACACAGATTGTGCCGCTGGTTCCACGGTATCCATTGGGGGCCGAGCCATCGGTTGGGGCCCATACTCCACTCAGGAGATAGAAGAATCCAGGAAGCCCGCCGTATGTGTTGAAAGAGAAGCAGATCTGAGAGACATCGTCGACTTTGGGGCTCGTTACGTCCGCCATCCACACAAAGTTCTTGTGCGTAACGTTCGCAGCCGTACTGAGGGAGGCCATGGCCAAGATCATTGAGGTTGCGAAGGTCTTCATGGCACTGGCTTGATTTTTTGATGAGACTTGGAAATTGTCTTTGCGTGTGACCAGACATTCAACTCATCGTACGCTCGGTTTATATACCCTCGAACTGGAACGTATTCTCCAAGTTGAAACTCGGAAGCCCTCCGTGGACAATGTACTTGCGCGATGTAACAACGATCGGGTCGTAGAAAGCCCTTATTGGAAGTTCCTCTCATACAACTGCGCGTGGATGGATTTCTCGAACACTGTCGACGTGGCATCGCTCGCGGACGCAGCGAGGTGGAGTTCACTCTTTCCGTACAGATGAAAGTTGTATCTGCATTGCAGTCGCACTGGGTCATACTTTGACATATCTAGCACGTGGATCAGTGAGACGCGCAGCCTTGTCTGCCAAGTAAGGCGATGACATTGGAGCGATGTCACCATGCGGATGTAGGTAGACTGTGGTTCCCATGGTCCTCGGGGTGGTTCGACTTCAACTCAGTTTCGCTGGTCATCTTCGTCGGATGCGCAAGACGTGGTCTCCATCAGGATGCGAAGAGTAGACTGTCTGAAGCCAAATCAGCCTACAACGTCGAGGAACGACGAGGTGGACCAGCTGGTGTTGCGCCTAGTAGTAAACACGATTACGACTGCAACAAGGAATGCGTAGCGTCTTGATTTGCGTTGCTTAAGTTGTTAAGGAAGAACCATGATGCCCTCGAGTGTCAGAGTGTTATGAGGAATGTCCAAGGGCAGCCGACCTGACTGAGGTATGTCGCTAAGCCAGAGACGTTGTGTAATTGGCCAAACGGATTTCAGAGTATCTGGTCTTGAGCTTCTGCGGAAACCCCAGGACTGTGTGAGGAAGAGCCATTTCATATCTCGGATTGCAAGACATTCGACAAAAGCTGGGTAGTCGCTGCTCTCACTTTACGCCAAAGCCGGACTATTGTTGCAGCCCGCGATGCTCCATCAGCCATAGAACTAGCGGAAACTCCAACAACACCGAAGTGAAATGTTCCTAATGCGGCAACACTACGAATACGAGTATTGCACGCAACGCTCTTGGTCGGACACCTCAGCTCCGGGAGTGAGAGACACAAGGTGAAGGACACTGCTGTGTTTATCGCTCTGCCGTGTATGCAGAGTGTGCGTGCGACTTGCTGGTTGTTATGATCGTCCGTAATCTGCGTGCACCCGTTTTTCCGACACCCGCCGGGTAGGCACGCTTTTTGCGCTGACAACATCAGCATCAGCGCAGAGATTCCAAGAACAACATAGTGAATTTATTCTCCAGAATAACCGTCTCCCTCAGCGGTGATCTGGAACGAGTGAGCGCCACTGTCAGGAGTCGTGCTTGCAGCCAAGAGTTTCCATCAGGTTCTGGCACGAAGGGGGGCGAGAAAACGTAGATAGTTGGGGTTTGGACGGGTTTGAGGGTCGATGTAGCACTTGGGGATTGAGTTGACGTTCCGGTTGGAGGGAAGTCCGTCGAAGACGAAGTCAAAGCCGTAGAGATGGAGATTGTGTTGGTAGGTACAGTTCATGTACGGGCATGACACTATGCCATCGGTCGAAATGGCAGCCGCGGCTCCGCTGCAAATGCAGTATGCAAAGCTTACCAATATGTATCTGCAGCTATGCCCGAGCTCGCAAGTGGTTTGTTGTTCTTTCTTCGCCCGCACTTGGGATGTAGTGTGGCCGTCCCTCGCGCCATCAAGGAGCATCTCTCGTATATGCCATCACATTGGAAGCGGTAGTCGAGTCCCGTGACATTAATGACCTGTGTTTTTAATTCCGGGGAGCGAATCTGCAGCAACGAGTTGAATGCCCTTGGTTGGCAGGCGAGCATATGATGTTGGAGTTAGGAGTTTGTGAGTGAATGGAAAGCGGGAGGTTCGCACGGGCCGCGCCCGCATCGGCCAAGTGGGCTGTGGGTTTCCCTCAGCACATTTCGAGTGGGCTTGCACGACCTTCTGGACTTCACAATGTGCCATGTCACCCGCTTCTTACTCCCACACAAGGCGCGTGCACTAACAACCGCTGTCATACCGCGATAATCAGCGCCAACGCTACCATCGCGGTCATATTCCACCAAAATGAGCGGCAAAGGAAGTGTCCCCGATGCCTGGGACGACGATTGGGTCAATGTCGCCGATGTATGGGCTGCAGTAACGTGATTCGACATCTTCAAGACTGACAGGGCGAACCCAGAAACCAGAGGAGAAGACGACTGCCCCCGAACCAGCGCCAAAGCTTACCAAGGCAGAGCGCCGAGCGCAACACGTTGAGCAGCAGAAGCAGTTATGGGACTCTGCAGAAAACCCCGGCAGAAACTTGTGGTTGGAGGCGCAAGGCGTCGCCCCAATGAAGCAGGAGTTCAAGCCCACGTTACTCAGCCGCAAGCCGCCGACTATCGCAAAGAAAGGTGCCGTGGATGGCATGGGCAAGCTGAGCCTGGAAGATGACGAGGACAGCGAAGAGGAGAGGCGCAAGGCACAAGAGGCAAACTTCGAGGAACGCCAGCGTAAAGCAAAGATCGAGCGGGAAGAGAAGCAGAGACGATATGCTGAGGCGAGAGAGCGAATTATGGGCTCATCGAACGCCTCTCCTGCAGCCAATTCCAGGGAGAGCTCCCAAGGACGAGACAACAACCGACGCGGACGCGGCAACAGAATGAATGGCAGCAGACGAAGTCAGCCAGACACTCCGGCAGATAGATCTCCGGTGAGAGCCGCACAGCCTCGGACTGGAGACAACCAGCTTTTCGATCCAGAGGACATGAGCAGGAGACTTGCGCCTAAGCGCGAGACGCCTCAATCTCCTCGAGAAGATCAACCTCTGAGACAGCCTCGTGGACCTGACAACAGCGGTAGAGGTGGTTTCGGATTTGCTAGTCGAGGCGGATCAACCTACACGTGAAGCATCGTCCATGCGATATTCTGGTTATCTACCACCATCTCTTGCAACGAGCGACTCTGTAGCAGGTCTTCGAAGGTGCGATTCGTCCTTCTCTGGTGTACGCACTACGAGGCAACCGGAGCAACCATCTTGGAGATAGCATCGCTCTTGTACTTCGGCATATGGCTGGTTACCGACACGATTTCTGCCAAGCCGTCCACGAGCCGGATTGCTTTCCGCACCCGCTGCCGACCGATGTCTCGGATCATGAGGCTTGCACCAACCACAGCCATTACTACACTGGCGGAGTGCCAACTCATTACAGTGTTCTCGCGACTGACCGTGCGTGTTGCAAGAAACGCCGCTTTGCAGCTCACCACAGCACGAATCGAGAGTCGGAGAAAGTCCTGTTTCGGCCCAGCGCCATCAGCAGGGTCAAAGTGCAGCGCGATCGACAGCTCGCAGCTCCAAAAGTCCAATGAGCACCTCGGATGTGCGCATGATTTTGCGGTAGCTCTTTTGATCGGCAACCCTCCAGGAACAAGAACATCACTTGATCCCGAGAAAGTGCAAGATTGCCAGCCCTTGGCTGGTCCTCCGCCTGTGGCTGGCTGCTGGACCCTCGAGTTAACGCTGCAGAGGCTCGACAAAGACCTGCCGCCGGACCGCGGCGTACAGGTTTAACCACACCTCGTCAATATATGTGCCAGCGTGCCAGGCTCTTGCAAATTGAGTAGGTAGGATAATCTATTATATTGCATGCCGACCTCCATGTGCCGCTGCTACGCCTGACCATCCGTCCCATCTTTCGAAGTCAGGTTGGCGGCTGGACCACTCACTGGGTTGGCCTAACTTTGTGAACAGTACAAGTCACTGTGTCCTTAACCTTTCAATTCGACATCCAGGAGAAGGCCAATACAATCCAAAATGCGCCCATCAACGTTCCTCCTCTCCCTCTCCACGACAACACTCACCACAGCCTCCTTCCTCCGCCCCCGCCAACAACCCCAACTCTGCAACGGCCGCGCCGACTTCTGCAACCGCATCTACTCCAACGTCTCCTGGATAGGCACGCACAACTCCCCCTTCATCGGCACTGCCGACCCTCCGGACCCACGCGTAAACCAACAAAAAACCGTCCCCGAACAACTCGACGCCGGAATCCGCTTCCTCCAAGGCCAGACGCAAGTCTTAATCAACGGCGCCGAAGATGCCGGTCCCTTTTCAGAACTCTACATGTGCCACACCGACTGCGCGATCTACAATGGCGGATCTTTACGACAATACCTCACGACCGTCAAGACCTGGGTGGACGCGCACCCCGACGAGGTCGTGACGATGTTGTTGACGAATGGGGATAATGTGGATATCTCAGAATTCGACGCTGCGTTTAATGATACGGGGATGAAGGAGTTGGCGTTCGTGCCGAGTACCTCTCCGCAGATGCTGCCGATGGGAGAGTGGCCGACGTATGGACAGATTATCGAGGGGGAGAAGAGGGTTGTGGTATTCCTCGATTACGGCGCGGATGAGTCGAAAGTACCGTATATCCTCGGTAAGTGCATCCACCCCCAAAAAACCCCTGTCATTATGAAGTACTGATTGATATAAATCTAGATGAATTCACCTACTACTTCGAAACCCCCTTCTCCCAAACCGACCCCACCTTCTCCCAATGCCGTCTCGACCGGCCCCCCAACGCCTCCCCGGACGGCCGCATGTACCTCGTCAACCATGTCCTCGACAAAGAGATCCCTCTCACAGATATCTTGGTCCCGGACCACGAGGCGGATTTCACGACGAATGCCGCGCAGGGGAATGGGAGTATCGGGGCGCAGGTCGAGTTGTGTGAGGGGATGTGGGGGAGGGTGCCGAATGTCGTGTTGGTGGATATGTTTGATCGCGGGGAGGTTTTCGTTGCGCAGGATGCGTTGAATGGGGTGTCGTGATGTGATGTGAACAGGGAGGGTTTGATGTGTTGGATGGAGTTGTGTGTGATGAGATATCAAGACAACATAGATAGATTCAGTCTGATGCTTGCTTGCTTGCATAATAGAAGATGCTCAAGATGAAGCCAATGCCAGAAGAATGTAAATGCTTTTTCGTCTCCGCCGCTCCCAATAAGTCTCAACCAACATAGTTGCCTTTGCCTGCCCAAGCACCTGGTATCATTCATGTAAAACATCATTCGCCACCCAATCCCCTTCTATTGACAAAAGCACCCGTCGTGCTGATTATCCCACAGATTCGAAACAAGCGCGAGCATTAGCATTCATGTACGTTATCTCATCCCGTCAAAAGATCCCGCACGCTCATGCCGGTGCTGGCACGGCTAGTGTCAGGCTCATGGGCCGCACGGAAGTTTCGTCGGTCGTGGTTGAGCATCAACAATGCCGCGGTGGCTTCTTGATCGAGCTCCTGCTCACTACGCCCACTCTTGGCCGCTTGACGTTGCTTTTCCGACAACTCGGTCGCGCCCTCTGCGATGTGTCGGAGCTGAGAGGCAGAGTCGACGGGTTTGAGGGCGGGACTGCCAAGACCGAATTGGCTGCCAAAGGGTGGTGCGGTCGAGACGTGGTGGAGTTGAGGACCGAAAGCTGGAGAGGCCTGGTTCGAGTGGAAGTATGGGGAGTAGCTGCTGGCTGCTGAGGATATCGAGTAATGCCGACCAGCACCCGACGAGAAGATCGAGGGCGATGTTGTGGTGGTCGTGGTTATTTGTGAGAGGGAAGGCAGAGAGATGCCAGAGTTCGATTTGGCGGGTGCAGCAGTGTTGGGTGTGGACGTTCCAGCGTCTTCTTGGTCGTCCTCCATCTCCTCGTCTTCATCCTCATCCTCCTCGTCCTCGGCGGGTCTGGTTGAAGTTGGGGGAGGTTGTGGGCGGGGTGAGTTGTTGTTCGCCTGCAGGTCCGAGACGCATTGTTCCAAGTACCGCAGATACTCAATGCTTGCCTATGCAGCAGTTAGCGCCATGCCATGTTGTCTACTAGGAGTGTTTAGCCCCACCTGCAGAATAGCGAGCTTGTGCATCTCTTGGCCCTTGCAGGCCGGTATCATGTCTTTCAACACGCCAAATTCTTCGTTCATTTTCGATCTCCTCCTCCTCTCGATCAGGCTGTGCGCAGTCTTGCGAGCGATCTTCCTTCCAGCTGCCGTAGTGCCCGCATTGTTCTGCTTGCGCTTGCTACCCGATTGAGCGGGTTGCGCCTTCCCCGCCGGTTGTTGCTGCGAGGCAGGTACGGGTACGGGCTCTTGCTGTTCACTTTCCCTGGGCTTCATCTGAATGATCTTGCGAGTCCTGGTGGGTGGAGGGGGCAGGCTGAAGTCGTCTTTGGTAATGACAGGTCCAGCCTGGGTAGCAGCCCTCTTCCTCGACACATCGGCGGGCGAGCTTGGGGAGACAGGACGGTAGGAAGAGTCGGAGCCATTGGCAGAAGGTGTCGCAGAGCTCGTGCTTGCCCGATCTGGCTCCTGAAACGCAGTGGGAGGCAGATTGAAGGCAGGAGCGCCCGGGGGCCCTTCCTTGCCGCGAATATCGCTTGACGAGCCCGGGGTGGGCGGAGGATTCGGTCGAGGCATGGTGGTGGAATGGTAGAGAGGGTCAGGCTGGGGACGACGGGCGTGGAAGACGTGCTCGCTGTACGTCGTCGCGGGGGGCGGGCAGCGGGCGGAGGAGGTATTCATGTACGGCGGGCGGTGGAGGGATTCTGCGTGTCGCCGAAGTTGAGGCTGGGGTCGCTTCTGCTGCAGACGATGGGACGACGACGACGACGGGCATAGCGCACGCAGCGCAGCAGCACATAGCGAGACTGAGAGAGCAGCGTCGTCCCCCGTGGGCGCTCCATTCGCTGCTGCTGTCGCGTGCTCTGTTCGCGCTCTCTTCCAATCAAAGCGTCCAACGCCCGCACACGTGCGTCAATTTACGCTCTCGTGATGATCGCCAGCCCATCTATCAGGGCACGTGCCCCCTCCCAACACCACACCTTTCTCTTATCACCCCCAAGACACCACTCTATTGGCACATTCACCGCTATGCTTTGCATGCCACTGCGTCTGCTGATCAACAGAAACCCGCTCATTCCGCGCTTGACGAAGACCGGACGGGAAGAAGCCTTTCATCAGATAACGAGCGAATATCAGCCTCTACAACAACCACCCAATTCCCACCTCAAGGTTCAGGAATACGCATGCACTCCGGTCCGTCTATCGGCTTGCCTGGAGATACATGTACTGCACTGCTCGCCGACATGACGACGACCCCGAGGAAGGAATCGTCAGATGCCCACGTCGAGAGTGCAGGTGACCGCTCGTGATGACAGTCTGATGGCCCCTTAGTAGCCTCTCTCGATGGGCGACAGGAAGTACCTCCGCATGTTCAGTCGCAGGCGCCTGAGCCGTCTGTCCTCTAAAGGAGTGCCGTTTTCGTCCGAGTTGACCGCTTCTGGTCGAGTTGCATTCCGGCGACTACACCCGGACTTGGCAGAATTAGATCTGATATCGACATCTTGGGCTGTCCTGGGATCGCTCACGATCGTGTGTGAGGTGACAGGTCGTAATTCTTCATGTTTCATGCAATAACATTCAAGGTCGAACTGGACCATCTCTAGTATGTAAGTCTGGACCAAGCACCATCGAAGTCATGGTCATGTTCGCGGCAAGACGACATCTCCCTTTGTCTTCATAGCTATCCAAATGCGGGTAACTACAAGCAAGAAACAATATGCATCCGTTCAACTTCTCTCTTCCGCTGTTACCAGACGCTCTTTTCCTCTCTTCTCGTTTACCCCTGTTCGTCGCACGATATGATCGTCCCAAACCTCTCCAAGACGCTCAAGCCGTCACGGGAAGACATCGCTCCAGACCCAACACCAGAGCCAACGGCCACAGGAACACCACGTCTCATCCCCATCAACGCCAGCGAGATTCCTCGGAGAAGACGACGAGCAGACAAAAGCAGCGTCCTCTCCAGAGTATTCGGTAGTCCAGAACGAAGCACGCCCTTCACAACAGTCTCGAACCAAGGTCTTGCAGGGAGACAATCCTGCGCTTCGGGGCTGACCTACTACTCCTGCGCCAACGGCTTCACTGGTTGCTGCCAGGGAAATCCCTGCACGCAGACGGCGCAGTGCTCGGTCGAAGATCCCATCACAAGTACAGGGTCAGGTACTAGCACCACTCAATCGAGGACGTCTACTGCGCAGTCTAGCAGGACTGGGACGGCAACCGCGAATAACTCTGGTACACGAACAGCGACTGGCACAGCGACCACACGTACAGGAACAGGAACAGGCACAGCAGCTATCACCACCGCAAACGGCACACCTACCGGCACCGCTACATCAACAGGCCTGACGACCACTCTCTCAACACCGAATGCCACACCCGCCCCAAACTGCCCGGGTGCTCCATCGAACTACACAGACGATTCAGGCATCGCCTATCAAGTCAAGTGCAACATCGACAACGGCGGACCCTTCAATCAAACCATCAAAGTCGACGCAGGCGGTTACGCACAATGCTGTTCAGCCTGCTCCAGTTCCAGAGAATGCGTCGGCTTCACTTTCTTCGGCGAGAATGGAAACAGCACCGACGCAGGCAACTGCTACGTGAGATCCTCCATGCAGACTTCCGAGGACTTCAATTCGAACTCGTACGTCGTGGCACTGTACAAAGTCGACCCGAGCGCCGTCGCAACAACAACACCCGTCCCCTCATCTTCCGGCGCGGCAAACCCCAGCCAAAGCAGCGGCTCCAACATCGGCGCCATAGCAGGCGGCGTAGTCGGCGGCGTCGCAGCCCTCGGCCTCCTCCTATTCCTCGCCTTCTTCCTCATCCGTCGCCAGAGAAAAAAGGTGGACGCCCGCCACGCCGCAGAAAAGAAAGCCCCAACCCTCCCCACCACCAACCCCCGCTACCACGACGGCGTCATCGGCGGCCACAGCACGCACCACCGCTCCGGCAGCACCGCCAACGACATCTACGCCCCACAGGGAGGAGGAGGTGCGTATTCCCACGTCCCCATGCACACGCACACCAGGCAGAGAAGTATCTACCGCGACGACGGACGGAACTGGGTCTGATGAGGTACGTGTTTCTAGGTTTTGATCATCACCATTCCTCCTATCCTTCCAACGGAGACTATGCGTTGCAGCCGATGGTGACTGGGGACAAGCGCGCTGACCATTTCTCCGAACTGGAAGGCCATAGCTCGACACCGCCGGGCCTGAGAGCGGAGGGAGGTCGGGGGAAGAGGATTCCGGCGGGGACGTTGAGGCCGCCGCAGATGTTGGACTCGAGGGCGGCTGGTGGGGTGGGTGGTGCGGGCGCGGCGAGCAGGTCGAGTGTTTTCTTGGAGCATATGTCTGAGATGGAGGATACGGTGAGTCTCGAAATATCATACAGCCTTGTTTGGCTGGAAGCTGACGTCCATTCCAGTCCCAAGGCAGACCAACAACCACGTCGGTTACATCTCCTTACTCCTTCAAGGCTGGAGAATCGCCTACCCTGGGCCATCCAGCAGGCTCAACCACATCTCTCGCAGACGAAACCCGCAGAAGACAGCACCTCCTATACTGGAACAACTACGACTCCGGCCAGCTAAACGACCAAGAGGGAAGAGGTCAAATGAGCGCCACAATGGTGCCCAAAACACCCCCTTCTGCAGCAAGGACCGCCCCGCAAATCAGTCCCGACAACAGCGGCGCGGCGCGAGATAGCTCCTTCGTCGTGAGCCCTCTCAGGGGTAGGAAATCCGACCAAGATGGCGGCAATACCTCCGATCCCAGCATAGGACCTCGTCGAGGGACATCCTGATAGAAACATCCATATCTTCAATTAAACCGCTGTGCACTCCCCGCAGGAGGATAATAACCCCCTCCAAACTCCAAACTCGCATCCTCAAATCGATCCTCTCGTACCAGTCTCCAGGGACCGAACCATCCACTCTCAAACACCTTGACCTCAATCGTAGCATTGAAACTCTGTCCGAGATAATTCACCCTGAACCCCTCAGGAAACGGCGCGCTCAGCGAGAAGAAAGTCCCCTTCGGCGCAGAGGCCTTGACTTCGATCTTCTGGCGGAAACTCTGCACGCTCAGATGGAATGTCCGGTTCTCCCAGTCCGTCGAGTACGTCATGAAGGGAGACAAACCCGCCAGCCGCACCGCGAAGGGAGGTCGGAAATCGAGATTGAGATCTTCGCTGCGGTAGCCTAGTAGAAAAGCTTCCAACCCCAGAATCTGGCCTCCTGCGCAGCAGAACCCTCGCCCGTTGTCGTAGTCTCTCGCCTGCAGCCACATATGCGCCGAGGGGAACGAATGCGCCCAGTTCTTCTCGTCGTGGACTTTCGCCTGACCCGAAAGATCTTCGGGAGGAACGTCGATGCTGGGGATATCTAGCTCGAAAGAGACGTCCGAGTCGAGGCTTTGCACATGCCAGTGTAGCGGGAGGGGGAGGTGCACGAGGAGGGCTTCGGGGGTGTTTGTCGAGGTCGACCAGGGGGTTGGGTTCCTTGCCTTTGCTTTGAAAGTAAAATCCCCACTCCACAACTCGTATTCTGTCGTCCTCCCGTCTGCGTCCCACTTCGCAAATCCCAGATTCGGCACGTTCAAGATGAATCCCTTTCCTTTAGCTCGACCTTGAGAATCGTCCTCGGAAACCATCTGCAAACTATCGGCCCAGATTTCCTTTTGGTAGATTCCTTTACCGTTTCTGGGCACGTATGTGAAGGAGACCATATTGGAACGGGAGGGTGCGCCTCTGATTTTGCAGATTACCAGGGCGAGGTGCGCGCCGGAGGGGAGGGAGAATTTGCTGTAGTAGCCTTCGAAGACGGAGGTGGGGTGCGGGCGGTGGTGGTCCATGGCTTGGGAATTGTGGCCACGTCCGGGTTTGGTAGTGTTATTTGACTTGAGATGTGAATGGGTTTTGGGGATGTATGAAATGTGCAATGTCTTGTTGGAAGGAAGGAGATGAGGTCTGTTCGGTGACGTAGTTGAGGACGCTTTTGTGACACGTTTATGCGAGAACTCACAGTTCTTGGCTACAGATAGATTTGCCTCTCATGTCAAGATGACAGTCAAGAGAGAGCATACGAGCGAGGTTAGAGGATCTGCTGTTCTCAGGTCGCGATGGTAAGGTACAGATCGTGAATCGTAAGAGGTAGGGGTCTCTGCACAAGTGGTCCGTGCCCATGTCATTTGCTGCATAAATTCTTGACCTCACTTCCTTCTCTACTTGCATCTCTTTCATCATCACTGAGGGGCAGCAATCGACCGGGAATGTGGAACGGATGCAGGAGAACAGCGTGGCCGAATGACTACAGGACGTCAATTGTCAATGCTGCACAGCCTGTCAACTTTTCCAGACCCTCCAGTACGCATGGCATTCTCTCTGGAGTTCCGATCCGAGAAATGTTCAGAGTCTTGAAACGAAAAGCAGTCTCATCCGATGAGCTTTTCAATGAAGTAGCAGGGCTTCCCAAGGCCTGTCATTCACCTCACAATGCCGCAACGCCATCAGAATCCGAAGCAGAAGGGGGATAGGACCTCCTCCGTGCACGCTCACACTTTGAATTGGCGCATGTGTAAGTAGTGCGGCATATTCTCTTCGATCCTTTCTCTCAGCTGTCTTGCAATATCATCACCGTACAACACGCTCCATTGGGACTCAGCATCATCCAAGTCCAATTCAGGCGGCTGCCGCAACACTGTTAGTAACAGCCCAGTTCGATTCGTTCATGCATTCGTCTTAGACCTACCGGACCCCCTGACGGTTGTTCAATACCTTTCGAGGTATTTATCGTGGTAGTGAAAGCTCGAATAAGAGGATTAGGATGCTGCAACTCCTCAGGCAGAGGCTCCCACGTGTCACTCAAACCCGCCGGATCAATATCGAGGGCAGCGCTCAAGCCTCGCCGGACCTCTTCTGTGCGCCAGAGAAGATCGTCGCCATCGACGACGACCGGGACGCGGTTCAGGTCGTTTTGAAAGTGATCGAAGAGGAGACGCTGGGTTAGTATGCCTGTGAGGATTTTCCAGTCTTCGTCGCTGGGGCTTAGAGCCATTGTGGCGATTGAGCTGGCGTAGATCGATGGGATGACTTGTAGAGGGTTGCGGATGACGAAGATGGGGAGGATCGAGTCGAAGAGTGAGTCGGGTATGACCGTTGGGTTTGCGGGAAATGGCAGGGGTGAAGGATCTCGGATGATGGAGAAGACGAGGTCTTGCTTGACGATCATTTGGCAGTGTTCGTTGGCTAGGAGTGTTCGTCCCTGTCGTGATGGGTCAGTAATGGAAAGATAGTTGCGTTGTGACCGCACCTTTTCGTCTGCCTCCCTTGCGCGTCGAAGCAGATCTGCCTCCGCCCGAGCATACGTGGAAGTGCTCACTTCAGTCTCAAGGTCTTTCTTGCGAGCTGCAGAGTTGTTGGTCCACTTAGTGATGCGCTCAGGACCGAATGCAAACGCGTCCATGTAGGGATGGTAGACTGGCTCCAGATCGGGATGAGTGCTCATGTATCGGAAGAAGAGATGCGATCGGTGCCGCGCCACTGTCCAGCGCAGAAGGTATTCAGCCATCCGCTTCTGCATGTCTCACATATGCCTTCGACCCTTTGGACTTACTGTCGAAGACAAAGACAGTTCGTTTCTTCTCGTCGAGCGTCATCTTTGAGGATGGACGACTTGTGCAAGAAGACTAAAAGGCTGTTTCAAAGAAAGCGGGATCGAGTGTATCAAAAACGCATCGTTTCAATACGCAGTATCCTGACATAAGTAAGTGCTACATAGATACGATGTGGCATGGTCAGCAGAATCCTACTACTGCCGTGTGGTAGTAGGGCCTATGGTGATCCTTCCTCGCAAGTCAGCCGCTTGGCAGCATACGAGCGGAGCGAAGATCTAAGGTGTAAGCAGGCAACGGGAGACCAGTCGCCTTTCGGGGCCACGGTGACTGCGGAACTCTCGTTTGGCTCTTAGTCGTCTCGGCTTCAGGTTAGTTGGCATCGACGGCCTTGGGTTCTCTTCCACGCTTCCGACTTTTGCGTTTCTTGTGACCTTCGGGACTTCGGCGCTGTGTGACGGGGACGATTCAAGAAAGAAATGCCGACATGGATAGGGGTTCGGATTCTGGTCAACGCTTGCCCGTGAAATCTAATCCAACAAATGCAGCCTGGCCGCCCAAGCAGATCAATGAGTGCACACTCGAGACCTGCGAGCTGGTCGACATCTCCTCCCTCTAACAACCAAAGCACTGATTGGCCAACGGCAAGTTCCTCAACAAATATCCTTCCCACTGCGGCTTCGTATTCGCCCTCTGGTACTTCGACCCGCTCGAGATCAAGAGGTCTTCAGTTGCACTCGCATAGCGAATCAAGATCGCTTCGCTAAACGCTGTTCCCATGAAGGAGAAGCCGTATGGCATCCCGCTGAGCGAATGGACCCATGCCGGGATCGTGACGACAGGGTATCCTGCCTGGGCAGCAATCTGGTAACTCTGAGCGTTGTCAGGTGGGGCAAGCAGTGCATCGACCGCGCTGCCGTTGGCCGCGAGAGCAGCGTCGATGCCATCCTCGCGCGTTGTGCGATGGCAGAACGATAATGCCTCCCAGTAGGTGGAGTTCATGATTCCCTTTGTGGCGAGAGAGTCGAGGAATTGGTCTTGCCCAGAGCCCCAGGCTGGTTGGATACCGGGTGTGCCCCCTTCAGTGCCCAGGTTATCGATGTTGTACTGCACAAGGTCCTCGAGCGAATGCATGTCCGTGTTGGTCAACTCCGCAAGATAGGTCTTGATGTCGTTGTAGAAGTCCACTTTGACATACGAGAACTCCGACTCGTTTGGGTAGCCACGCGTGCTGCCGTAGTCCCTATCCAATCCATCGCCGTCAGCTTCAGGTTTGCATGCATTTTGAAGGCGGTGATCGCTCACCAGTTCCATCCGTTTGGCGACACGATCGTCTGCCAATATGGCAACTCTGTTCCGTTGACAATAGTCGCGCCAGCATCCTTGAGAATTTCTACAATGTTCAGCAAGTTGTCAAGTTGTTCTTGATCGGCCCATTGCCAGAAAGACAGCCACGGAATGCCGAACCGCGCCCCCTTGAGAGCTTCTTTTCCTGCGAGCGAGCTCACGTAGCCACCTTTAGGCGTTTTGCCCGTCTGTGCAGACGTATAATTATCACGCGCATCTACGCCGTAGATGGCGTCCAAGACGTAAACAGCATCTCGCACCGTCTTGCCGAACGTGCCGACCGTGTCCATATGGGACGTGATTGGTATCACGCCCGCCCGCGACGTCAGGCCGACTGTCGGCTTGATGCCTACTATAGCATTACGCTCGGCTGGGTTAATGACGCTGCCATCGGTCTCCGTGCCCAGCGCGAATGGGATGACATTGTTCGCCACTGCGATGGCGCTCCCGGTGCTGCTCCCACCAGGATTGACAGTGAAATTGTACGAGTTCCGCGCTTGTCCACCGCGAGCAGAATATCCTTCGGAGTAGTTGCTGGTCCGCATGTCGGCCCACTCGCTCAGTGTCGATTTGCCCATGAGGATTGCACCAGCTTCGCGCAGCTTGCGCACAACGAATGCGTCGCGAGGCACAATGTTTCCCTGTAGGGCCCAGGATCCCGCACAGGTCTGCAATTTATCCTTGGAGGCGAAGTTGTCTTTGACGAGGAACGGAATTCCATACAGTGGAGACGTAGAGTTGAAACCTTGCTTTCGGTATTCATCCAACGTGGCGGCGATGGAGAGCGCATCTGGATTCATTTCGAGGACGGAGCTAAACATACACTTTTAGTATGGAACTAACATAGGCATGGTCAACTTACTTGATGTACTCGCCTGTCTGGAAAGAGCGTTGCTGGTAGCAGTGGACCAGATCCACGCTGGTCAGGGTGCCGTTGGACAAGTATTGCTGCAGCTCGTCGAGAGTCGCATCCTCTATAACCACGCCTTTGCAAGCGGGCATGGCGAAGAGCTGGGCGGCCGTGGCATTTTCTTGCGGATAGTAGTAAGGGAAAGGATTGGTGAGAACCTGCGAGTCTACAAAGGCGGAAAAGTTGGCGGTGCTCGACGGTGAACTACTCGCTGCGACGACGACGACATCGCTTGAGCAGAGCAGAGCAGTAACAGAGACACGTAAAATGTGCCGCAGGTGATAGTGCATCTTGTGAAAAGTGCTCAAGAACAATGAATGGGTCACGCCAGACGAGAGAGAAGTCAATGAAGACGGCAGCGAAGGAGATTCCAGTGAAGGACCCGTCGGCCGTCGCGTGGTCCCCCGAAGGCACTAAAACAGACGATCCTTCGGGAGTTGGTGCCGTGCGCCATCCTGTTCGTTCATACATTGGGCGTAGATTTTCTGTTGCGCTGGGTGCATGCAGACGGACTAAGAAGAAAAAGGTGGCGCGGGAGCGGTCAGTGGCGGGAGGAAGACTGTGCGACGCCAACAGGACCCGACGGTCCGGTCACGTGCGAATCCCACCAGTGGGAGAACTCAACAAAGTATAATACCCTCCTGCACCTGCGGCACAGCTGGCAGCGACATCAGAGCCAAAGGACAGTACACGTAGCTTTCCCTTCTACACTTTACATCACCCACATGTTCCTCATTGACGCCCATCCCGACCAAGGTCGACTAGATGGCCTCGCCGACCAATGCCGAGGCCATCGAGAGCCTCATCGCCAAACCCGGAGCCTTGCCGCCGGGCACTACCGCTGCTTTTCTCGAACAGAGTATTGATACGCCCTCGATCATCGGCATCCTTTTCGTCGCCTCGCTTGTACTGGCCATCTGCTTGCTGCGTTACTTTGCCCGTTGCTATGTCGGCAGGCGATTTGGCCTCGACGACTACTTGGCCTTGGTGGGCCTGGTATGCCTCTCCTTCGCTCGTTGCCTGCCCTTTGCGTCTGCTCACCAGTCTTCTGTCCCACAGGCTCTATTATCTGCCTTCACTGCGCTCAGCATAGTCCTCATCCATCTGGGCTCGGGTCGCCATTTCGTCTACATCGAATACTTTCTCAGCAACGCTCAGCTAAACAAGACCGAGATACTTGACTTTGCCGCTCATATCATCTACACCACCGCACTCCTCATCTGCCGCCTCTCGGGCCTGGCCTTGTACGCCCGCATTACACAGGATGCTGTGTTCATGACGCGCGCTGCTCGTGCCGCCGCGGCGTTCATGATTGCTACCTATCTGGTCCAGCTCTTCCTCCTCATTTTCCACTGTGTGCCCGTTACTGGAACATGGCCCTACTCCTTCCAACCCACATTCGACGACTACAAGTGCCTTCAATGGGGTACTGTTTACGTCACCAATTCTGCCATTTCCCTCATCTGCGATCTAATACTTTTCCTCATCCCATCTGCCATCATCGCTCGACTGCAGGTCACTCGGATACGGAAGGTCAAACTCTGTCTGATTCTTATGCCCGGCGTCCTTGTAATCGCCATAACTATCGCTCGCATCTATCTTGTGGTCACTAGTCAGTGGAACCCGGATGAATCATGGGACTACGACATCCTGCTCGCTGTCGAGGTCTCGGAGATCGGATCCACCCTTATAGCTCTTTCTATTCCAGCACTGAAGCCATTTCTTGACAAGATCTTGGCCTCTTTCCGTGGCTTTACCTCGACATCTGGGGCTGAGGCAAACCTTCACAGCTCAGCCCGACCGCGTACCAGATCTGAAGAACATCCGTTGGAGCTGGAGGAACGCAGCCTAGCTGGGGGCAACCAGTGGGTCACATCTGAACCGGGCGACGAGGAGTTTGTCTTGTCAGGAAAGCTGTCTGGGACAAGAGGCACTTCGAGTAAAACCAGTACGGAAGATATGACTTCTGCCCAAATTCCATACAACACTTGATGGGCACGGGTCCACAAGCCTGGACGACCGCGGCCCGAGTAGAAAGAGTGAGCGATGTCTCCAAATGCGGTCTCACCTGGCGCTCAACAAAGTCCTCGGACACTGGATAAGTATGCGACCCTACCAGCCTGTCCTACTGCACTCACCCGTTTCGAGTGGATATCACAGCCGATTTTACAACGCTGCCGCCAAGCAATACAGCCTGGACGCTCGACGAAATCATCGACCGCGGTCCGAAGACCCGCAAGCTGGTCGGCAAGGAGTGCAAGATGCAGATGAAATGGCAACCATCCTGGAGGAGAAGCTCCTTCAAATGGAGGTGCAAGGGAACGGGCCTGAACTACGACTCCGTCAACGACGTCTTGGAGATTGAGGTTGGCGCAAAAGCCTCCAAATTGGGGAGCTATCGATGAGAGTGTTCAGCAAGTTGTGTGGGCATATCAAGGCATTGGCAAGTGGCACCTGAGAACATCATGGCGCTGAAAGAGAATTTCTACTAACGGTTCGATTAGTGCCTCACCATCACGGGAGACTGTGTTAATCTGGAATAGAACGTAAAGAACGTTCCAGCTTTCGGGCACTTGTGGCCTTTGAAAAAGCGGGTGGTCTTGAAGAAGCAGAAGGTTCTGAAGAAACAGAAGGTCTCGAAAAAGGAGATGGTCCCGAATGAGCAGATAGTCCTGAAGAGGCGGATGGTCTTGAAGAAGCAGACGGCCTTGAACGTGTCGAGGCGTGGTGGATACTGCTGAACTGAGCGCTACTTCTTCTCCGGTTCGCCCTTCTTCGCCTTGTTCTTGTTGTCTCCGGTATCCTTGTAGTCACCTCCCTCGGCTTCGTATCGCTTCGATAATTCAGCAGCTTTCCATGCGCTCCAGCTCCCTTTGCCTCCACCTGGGGAATGTCAATGCTACTTAAACACGATAGGTATTAATTTGGTGTCTTACCTTTCTCCTCGTTCTTGACTTCCTCCTTGATCCTCTCACGAAGCTCAGGATCTGTTGGTTCTCCCTTGGAAGATGGCATTGTAAGCGATATCTGTCAATACGACACTGTTCAAGGATTGACGATGTGTTTAGGAGTCGAGAAAGAACCTGGACAGCTGAATTCCTCCAATTTATCGAGCTCAAGCTATTAAAGGCCAATGCGGCTAAAGGGAAAAGTCATGATGCAATACTGGCGTTTTGTCCCAAACAAAGGATACATAGCGCTACATCATTGCCGAAAAGTCGTAATGCACGTAGGAGAAGGCCAGAGTCGATGACATGAATATCGTGTGGCTTGATGGGAGTGCCTTCTGGCAGCAGATCCGTTATTCGTTGCTTCATGTTTGTTGATCTATCAATCAAGTGGCAGGGCAACCGAGGAGGTGAAGTTGTTCAATTGCGCTAGCTACGGACGACCATAACTGTGTACGTGTCGTTATTCGACTATCACCATAGGTTCAATTGTTGCCCCAAACATCCAACTTGCAGGATACAGGATTGCATATTGTAGGTACATGCATCTATCCCTGATGCGAGAGCGTGAGGTGGAAGATCTTGTGCCAACAAGACACGCTACCGGTGACCCCTCTTTCTTTCCCATATCTTCGCTTTGACTCTTGCATTCTGCCTAGAATAGGCTTCCTTCGCCTTTCTCTTGTTTGAACTTCACCCCAATCCGCAGTGATACTGCCAAATCGTTCAAAATGCCAGATCACGCCTCCGAAGATCCACAGGCCTCGCTCACGGCCTTCATATCCGGACCTCTGGAAGTTTCACAAGCGTATTTTACCAGATATTACCGCCCACGCATCGACGATGCGATCTCCTCAGGCCATAAGTTCGTCGTAGGACCTGTGAGTGGTATCGATGCTCTCAGTCTGGAATACCTGCTCTCTCGGGACGTAGAGCAGTCCCGAATCAAGATCTACATGGCCGCGTTCGAAATCGCAGCGCGCCCCGCTTTCGTGGCGGAGATGAAGAGACGGCTTGGTGATCACGGGGTGATGGAAGCTAAGAGGGAAGATGGAACAGGAGCACTGACTACTTGGGACAGAGATGCTGCCATGACTAGAGACAGCGACTATGACATTCTCAGGTTCAGGACCGAACGCGAACAGAAGAGCATCTATGGGGTTATGTGGCGGCCTCGGGTCAGTAACACGGAGAGAAATTGGAGAAGGAGGAAAGGTGAAGATAGAATGGAAGAAAGGCATGTGGAGTACGTGTCACACGTTGACAGCTGGGAAATGAAGCTGAGGGAGACTGTGCCGTGGATGAGAGCGGAAAGCGACGACAAGAATATCGCGACACAGTGCGATGGGCTTTGCGATGCACACCGCGATGTCGTGCATTCCATGTTTGGGAAGATTGCATTTGGATACGGGAACGACGGCGAGAGACTTGCATGATGCGTATGCAGCTCCATTTGACACGGGAAGCCTGACGGAGCAGGAGACCTCGGTCAATTGCAATACGCTCAGAGCGATGGTCAGAATTGCCTTCGCCTGGCTTCTTTTTACTATCCTTGAGCTCTGCAGAGGCTTGACAGCTGGGGCGACCTTACACGTTATGTGATCGGACCTGCGCGATTCTTGGATTCTGGTGCTTTTCTGCACACAGCCGTCTTATCTAGTTCTACAAGACTACGGTGATCGAGACACTGCCATACAAAACGCCGCGAGGAGGGTGTTGCATATGCGGCTGAAACAGACCAACAATGGCAGCGAAAGCTCTCAGCACGTGGCTGTTTTCGCGCCGCACCCTGGCTGGCCAGATTGTCTACATGCAGCCTTTCCAGTGCGAGAGCTACGCATATAGCTATGGCATCTAGCAAACCGTTCGAGTTGAGGAGTGCCAGGCAGATCTGTCGGAAACACGAAACTCGAAAGACGCAGAAGCAAGATGGATCCTCTCAGTATCACCGCGTCTGTCGTTGGAATTGTTACATTTGCGCTGCAAGCAATCAAACTAGTCAATGACGACTATCAACGTGTCAAAAACGTGCCGGATACTCTCTTGGACATCGTGAAGGACCTCAAAACCTTGGAGCCGTGGCTGGAAAGCCTCCTGGATTCAGCGCAACATGGCAAAGGCGATCCAGCGCGCTTTGAACGTGTGTCCCATGCAGTTGAGAACTGCTCTCGTGTCTGCGAGTCATTCCAGCAACAGCTCAAGGAGTGGTCAAAGCCGGACGCAGATGGTGAGCTTACGATGCGGAAGAGATTCAAGGTCGGCCTCTTCAATCAAGAGCGCATTAAGGATTTCAGAACGATGGTCAGCGACTGTAAAGGAACGTTACTTCTTGCCTTGGTTGCGGAGAACTTGTAGGTCCAGTCGGTGACAATGTACTCTATCGCTGGTTGACAACATCCAGCATCAACCCGCCCGAGGATGAATTTCTCGTCCAGCTGATGAGACGCAGCGAGGAGCTTCTCAAAGAGCAGTCGGGGCAAATTTTGGCGAGACTACAGGAGTTGCAAGCAGCGGAACCACCTAAAGACCAAGAGTTGCATTCTGTGGTGCAGGAAAACCACGAGGAGACTCGGAAGACGCTCGCTCGGATGGCTGAGGGAATGCAGAAAAGGGAAGCGCAACAGAAAATCGACAGCGCCCTCGGCGTCGAAGAACTTCGCCGTCTGCTCAGCGTCACGCAAGCACTCAAGGCCGACTACGCTCGCGTATCTGAGATTCTGGTCGAGCAGGCGCCCAAGACTGGTGACCTGGCGAAGTGGAGCGAACAACTTCGAATGGTACCGGACATTCACACGGTCCGGCAAGACCTCGCAAGATCCAGGGGCAAACCTGTCGAGGGAACCTGTCGATGGATCGTTAATAATGGGCATTTCCAGAGCTGGGTCGATGCAATCCCGCCGTTCGTATGGGTACGTGGTGACACAGGTAAGGGCAAGACTATGCTCTCGACATACCTCTTAGACCAACTCTATGCACTGCAAACGGAGAAACCCAACACCCATGTAATCTACTTCTTCTGCGACAAGCGAGAGGAAAAGCGCCAATCTGCTGCAGCAGTGCTTCGGAGTCTTCTGTGGCAGCTTACCATGAAGCGGGATCTCACCGAATGCATCGAGGCGCATCTGAAAACCCGTAAAGCGCCACCCCTACCATCGGATCATGAAGATCTCTGGCCTCTTTTCGCTGCGCTCATGCATGACGGCAAGTGCGGCAAGGTGTACTGCATAATTGACGGAATAGATGAGCTCGAAGATGGTGAAGATCTATGGCTCGCCAAAAAGCTGTTGGGTCACCGCTCACCTGCTGCTTCTGAACCGCATTTAAACGTCTTCATGGTGCTCCTGACCAGTCGCAGCATACCTGGCTTCAAAGAGCGTGACCCGAGCCAGCTGCTTTGCCTCGATACGGAGTACAAGGACTGCATCGACGCGGACATTGCGAGAGTAGCTGACGCTCGACTTGCTACGATTCCTGGCTGGGGCGACAGCCCCAATGACTACAGGGACAAAGTCCGAGAGGAACTCGTGCAGAAGACCAGGGGATCATTCGTCCCAGTCGGTATGGTGATAGATATCATACTGGCCAGGCAGTACGACGAGTGGCTCTCCACCATTAGATCTCTACCAGACGGCATCGACAACCTCTACAGCAGCACTCTACTTGGGATCACGGGCGAAGAGCGATCGAATTCACCAGAAGTTCTTCGATGGATCGTCATGGCTTTCCGCCCACTGTCTTTGAAGCAATTGGCGAATGCGATTGGAAGCGATGTGGACGACATCGCGATAAGGACTACGGTCCAACGCCTCGGCTCACTGCTCACTATACAAGACGACAACGTGACGCTTTCTCATTCCTCGTTCCGCGACTACCTACTAAGCACAGAGAGTGATCGGTCAACGAGCCTTGCGGCGTTCGACTCCAATGAGAAGCAGCACGTCGAGAGCTTTCGCTTCGATCCGCAGCAGGCGCACCTAGAGATCGCCCAGAAATGCTTGAAACTCATCCAAGAAAGCCATTTGCAACACAGGGCACTCGAGTCGAAAGACGACTGGGAGGGCGCTCCCCTGCTACAGTACGCCGTGTTCAATTGGTTCCACCATGCTCGAGAGTCCGGGGTCGGGGGCAAGGAGATCTTTGAGTCCACGAAATTCGTACTGTCGAAGGCGTCGAGTCTCAGACAGAACTGGTGGACTACATATGTTCGCGAACGCCCTGGACAAGTATGGGAACAGGGCAAACGACTTTCGCCTCTTCATATTGTGAGTATCTGTTTAAACGGAGAAGACCTATCGCGAGTGCGGCAGCGAAGCTTACATATGGATGTCTAGGCATGTCGATTCGGAATCACAGAGTGGGTGAGGGCAATCCTGTCTGAAGTGGATCCGAATGCCTTGAAGATGATCGTCAATGATCCTGATGTCAACGGTGTCACTCCACTGGCCTGGGCAGCGATCGGTAAGTATTTCCTTGCCGCAGTTGCAACAAATTGCTGACTCCATATGCACAATCAGAGGGCCACGCGTCCGTCGTAGAAGTCTTACTGGACAACAAAGCAGATATCGAAGCAACAACAGAACTTTACTCGAAAAGTGGTCTGAGCCCTCTTTCGCCTCGATCGATGACCTCCTACTTTGGGGAGATCAAAGCCGGACAGACTGAAGGGATGTGGAGAGCACATCATACGCCCCTTTTCCGAGCTGCGTACAAAGGCCACGTTTCCGTCGTCAAATTGCTTCTGGATCGTGGAGCAGACGTACATGCCCGTGGATGGGCAAACTGCACCCCTCTGCACGCGGTCGGGGTAGGCGGCAGCGTTGAAGTGCTGAATATCCTTCTGGAGCACGGCGGAGACCAAGACGTGGACGCAGAGCTCAAGAAGCTACACACAACGCCGCTGCTATACGCTGTTGAGCACGGACATCGAGAGGTCGCCGAGATCCTCCTCGACCATGGCGCGGATATCACGAAGCGACAAGCCTTCTCCAAGGCAACTGTGCTGCACTTCGCCGGAGCGCGCAGTCCGGACGCAAGCACCGTCGAACTGCTCGTAACCCGCGGAGCAGGCGTCAGTGCTCGTGATAGCCATCACCGCAAGGCCATCCATCTATTCTGTTGGCATCATTCGGATCCGCTGGCAGTCAAGCATCTGCTGGAGCATGGCGACAAGGTGAACAGTCTCAACAGTCTCAGACAATCGCCGCTGGACCTGGCGATTGAGTGCTCATGCGACAAGTGCAAAGCCACCACGCAGGTTCTGCTCGAATTCAACGGTACAATCAACTCGCCAGTGTCGTCGCAAGGGCCGAAGAATCACCCGGAGCTTTTCAAAGAGGGCTCTTCACAGCCGCTGGCGGTGTACGCTCGAGGGGCTACTGCTTCGAGCACAGTGCTCAGCTCGGATGATGGCCGCTCTGTCATGTCGTCTGGACTTCAGTCGCCTGGTTTGGACGACTCTAGCTCTGTATTGGACCTTGAAAGTCGTTCGATGAGTCGAGTAGACTTGGCGACTGAGCACAGCTATAGCTCGGCCAAGGATTCGAAGCTGGAAGATGATGTCTTGAGTGCTGGAGAAGTATCGACGATGTCAGAACAGTCGGCCGGTATGAGGAAAAGAGATAGGTTCAAGGCGAAGATGCGTGGTATTATGAACTGATTCCAGGGGTTTGGTCTAGACGAGGGACAACGTTACACGAGGCCGACATGGCCGTAATGCAGGTACGATATCATTCATCTCGCATGACACATGTCAAGCTCACAGCTCATCTTTTCCTTTACCTTTGCTGCCGTTATCAAGGCCTTTCTTTACCATGCTCGTCAGTATCTCGTAGGCTACTTGAGCAGCCGCTAGAGCTGTAACTTCGCCTGTTCCGTCGTAGGCTGGTGAGACTTCGACCACACTGGATAGACTGTTAGCTGGGTAATTTGGTTCCTGGCTAGGGATACATACTCAGCCCCAACAATGTTCAAGCTGTCGATGCTACGAAGCACACGAATGAGCTCCCGCGTAGTCCAACCTCCTGGCTCTGGAGTCCCTGTTCCCGGTGCGAGTCCAGGGTCAATCACGTCGATATCGATCGATAGATAGACGGGTGTCTCAGTGCCAACATGGGATAAGATCTTCTTTGCCACGCCAGCAACACCGATATCGTCAATGTCGTCGCATGCGATTCGTACCCAGCCTTGTGCATCATCGTCCTCATTATCCTCGATGTTGGTAAGTCGTGTACGCAGGCCCGCGTGGACCGACTTGTCCTTCGCGATCAGACTCTCGTTGTGAGCAAGCCAAAACATCGTGCCGTGGGTGAAAAATGATTGTTGCGCTGGGTCGTCCTTGTCTATCCATGCACTGGGGTATTTTGCCGGATGCCATGTATCCAAATGCGCGTCAAAATGAACGACAGCCACGTTACCGTAGATCTTATTCAGCGCTCGAAGAGTCGGTAGAGCGATGGAGTGATCCCCGCCAAGGGTTAGCAGCTTCGGGATGTTCCTATATGGAACAGAAGATTTTGCGTTCTTCTCGGGAGCCTTGCTGTGCGCCAAATTGGTAAAAGCCTCCGACATTTGTCGCAGGGCTAGGGCATTGTCAAACGGCGTAATGGGAATATCTCCACAATCGATGATCTTAGCCCATTTTTGATACGGGTTGAGATTTGCTCGTGGATTGAAACCTCTGAAAGCCGTCTGGCGTGCTGATGCCGTTCGAATTGCTCGAGGACCAAATCGAGCTCCAGGCCTGTACGTGACGGCAGTGTCAAAAGGAGCACCAAGAATAGCAATGTCGTACTCCATGTCTGGGTATTGCAGACATCGATGATGATCCAAATGGGCAAATGTCGAAATGCCGCTAAAGCCCCAGTCTGTTCCCCATTTTGCATCAAGGTCGTCTTGAGTCCAGCCGATGAAGGGCTTCTGCGTATCTTCGGGTTCGTTGTGATGATCATGGCACGCTGCGAGATTAACCAGGCTTAACAAGCCCAACAGTAATGTCTTCGTAGCCATTCCTTGATGCCGCCGATGGGGGATGAAGAGAGGAGGTCAATGAATAAGAGAAACTACTTAGCTTTAAAGGGCAGATGCTTATCTCTGCCGGTCCGGCGTGCTTCGCGCCGAGAGCTGCTTCTCTGGCAGTCTTTTTAGTCATATTTGACAACAGACACCACGAAGTATTGAATGTGTCGTCCTGATGGATGTTAGCATTGATGTCGAGAAGGCGAGGTTTTGGCAAGGCTGGAGAAATGGAAGAAGGTGACATCAAGGTGGCACGTGGTCGGCGTTTTGAGTTTCGGCAACGACGCGTGAAGGGTCGCGTCACTCCGGCCGAGGAAGATGTTGCTGTCGAAGTCGAGTCGATGACAGTCTTTTCAACAACACGACTACGACTCCTATCTGATCACTCCGAAGCAGCTACATCCAGTGCATCATGCCTGAGGTATTGCAGAACTCAGAACTAAGTATCGATTTGATGCTCACCAACAATAGATTGGCGAAGTTGCGCGCATCGTCCACTACCTTCGCAAGCACCTGGTCAACCGCACAATCAAGTCATGTCAAGGCTTCGAGGACAACATCGTATACGGCAAAGTAGGATGCTCGGCAGATGAGTTTTCAAAAGCTGTCGAAGGCAGGACAGTCACCGGGGCTGGACAGCAAGGGAAATATTTCTATGTCACATTCGATCGGGCGCCGCATTCTGTGATGCACTTGGGAATGACGGGATGGATCAAGTTCAGCGTTGAAGAGACTGGCTACTACAAGCAAGCAAAGGAGAGCACGGTGGTTGAGGAGTGGCCACCGAAGTATATGAAGTGGTTGATCAAGTGCGATGCTGAGAAGGTGGACGGACAAGATAGAGAACCGGTTGAAGTCGCCTTTATCGATGCGAGACGTTTGGCACGGATACGGCTTGTCGACTGCGACGCTGATAAGATCCGAGACAACAGCCCCCTGAAGGAGAACGGACCGGATCCCGTCATTGACAAACATATCCTGACGGTAGACTGGCTTGCTGCGCTTCTGAGACGAAAGAAGGTACCTGTCAAGGCTCTTTTGCTTGACCAAGCCAACATCAGTGGTGTTGGCAACTGGGTCGCAGACGAGATTTTGTATCAAGCACGCATCCACCCTGAGCAGTATAGCAATACCTTCGGCGACGAGGAGATTAAGCGGCTACACGATGCCTTAACATCAGTCTGCACAACCGCTTGCGAGACTCTGGCCGACAGCAAGCAGTTTCCCGAGCATTGGCTGATGAAGTATCGATGGGACAAGGGAAAGAAGGACAGCAATGTCTTGCCAAACGGGGATAAGATTGTTCATCTTACGGTCGGTGGTAGAACATCCGCTATTGTGCCAAATGTGCAGAAGAAGACAGCGGCAGTCGCAGGCGATGTCGATGGAGATGAACAGGACGATCGGAAAGCGAAGCCAGTCAAGGGCCGCAAACGAAAGTCCAAAGCAGACCAAGAAGACGAGGACGAAGAGGAAGAAGTGCTGCCAGCAAAGAAGGACCGCAGCAAGAAGGTCAAAGCCGAGAAGGCTGAGGTCAATGGAGATTCTGCGGCAGCATCGAAGAAGACTGCCAGGGGCAAGAAAGTCAAAACCGAGACAGCCGAGGACGCAGACGCAGGCGCTGATGTGAAGACGGAGCCGGAAGAGACCAAGCCTGCTAAAGGGAAGAAGACTAAAGCAACGCCCGAGAAAGAGGTGAAGCCTGCTACGCCAGGCTCTCGACGGTCTTCTCGGAACAAGAGCGGCTAGATGCAGCATCCAATGCCGCCAACACGTGCATGTGATCTTATAAAGTAGTGTATACTGGTTATGAAGTGATGAGTTTAATGTCACCAAGGTCACAAGCTGGAGTTGAGTGATGGTGCTCACAAGCCAACGTCTGTTTTGAATCAACACATGAGGATAGTTCTCGAGTGGATTCGTTGGATCAACGATTGCTCATTGGCACCTGATGTTCACGTTTAACATCGAGTCTTCTTTCTCACAGTTGGTGACACGAACCAATCCGCCCCGACATCGTTAGGCGCGGCCACCGGCACGAGCCACGAGCTAATTGTGTGAGCTTAAACCTCGTCGGGTATCTTCGAGTGAGCTACTCGCACCTACTGCGACTCAACTGCACACCGACGAAACACCAGACACACCACCTTCAGACGACCGCCCGTCCTCCGACCTCGAATTTGCCGTCGCATCACAACTGATATTCGATCCCTCTCACAAGGCGCCTTGACGAGGACCTGCATGGGCCTCCGCGCCGACCAGCGATAACCATGCAACACGCCTTCTCGCACCAGAGTCCCTACCACCAGCCCGAGTGGCAGCAGCACCACCAGCACGCCGCACACAACCAATATGCCGCCCAGACCCAAGCCGCGGCGGCGGCTAACGCTGTCGCGCAACAGCAGCAACAGCAGCACTACGGTCGCGCCATGAGCGCTGCGGGGCAGAACGGAGGCAATGCTGCCAGTCTGAACAATACCAGTAACGGCACTGCTAATGGCATGAACTCAGCGGGACCACTTGGTGCTATTTCCGCTGCTGGAGAGCACGGCGGTGCAAGTATGATGGGCGCGGCAGATGGCGCCAACGAAGACAACAGGAGGGTCTTGGAGTGGATCGCACAAGTCCTGAACGTTAACACCCGGGAGGCTGCGCTTCTCGAACTCAGCAAGAAGAGAGAGCAGGTGCCTGAACTGGCGCTCATATTGTGGCACTCGTTCGGTAAGTTCAGCATGAGCGTGCAAGGAGATGGAACACTTGCTGAGAATACAGGCGTCATGACGTCTCTTCTGCAGGAGATCATTTCAGTCTACCCGCTGCTGAACCCGTCTCAACTCACGGCGGCGGCTTCCAACCGAGTCTGCAACGCGCTCGCGCTTCTGCAATGCGTCGCTTCGCATGGCGAGACCAGAGGGTTGTTCTTGAACGGTACGTAAGCGCACATGACTTGAGAAACGCACGCTAACGACAGCAGCCCACATCCCACTATTCCTATACCCATTTCTCAACACGACATCAAAATCCCGACCTTTTGAGTATCTGCGCCTGACGTCTCTTGGCGTTATCGGAGCCCTGGTCAAGAACGACAGCTCCGATGTGATCAACTTCCTCCTCACGACCGAGATTATTCCTCTTTGCCTTCGTATCATGGAGACCGGATCAGAACTCAGCAAGACGGTCGCTATCTTCATCGTCCAGAAGATTCTGCTCGACGATATGGGTCTTCAGTACATTTGCCAGACTTACGAGCGCTTCTACGCTGTTGGCACGGTGTTGTCTAATATGGTCACACAGCTGGTAGACCAACAGACAGTTCGCCTCCTGAAGCACGTTGTTAGGTGCTTCTTGCGGTACGTGACTGCCCGCTGAAGATGTGGTTTTGTTGGCTAACATTTGCCTAGCCTCTCCGACAACGCTCGTGCCCGGGAAGCCCTGCGGCAATGCCTGCCAGAGCCGCTCCGCGATGCCACTTTCTCTCCGGTCTTGCGGGATGATGCCGCAACTAAGCGTTGTCTGGCACAGCTTCTTCTGGCCCTCTCAGACCAAGCTGAACCAGGCATGTCCGGATACTCACACCACCAAACAAGTCTGTCTCGCCCACCGCCGTGATGCTTTGCCGCACGACGTACATGTTGTTCAATGAAATCTCGATTGCTGACTTGTGTTTTACAGGCGGACGTGGCACCTCAAGCAAGGCTGCCGGATTCTACTAGAATCGCATCAGGCATAGCGGTCTTTTCTCCTGGCAGTACGGAGTACTCCATCTTACGATCGATATTCTTCACATGTTACTGCGAAACGAAAGGAAGGACAGGTGGCGTTTGCGGAGGAACAGGTCATTTTTTGCGGCAAAGTCAATATACCCCCTGGCAGCCGGAGGATCTTGGGTCCCTCACTGCCAATGGCTTCAGCATAGCGGGCGGCGTCTGTCTGTTGCATTCATTCCCTTTGGCTTTCTAGCTGGTCGACCGGCGACGAGGGCGAAACCAAAACTTTATGGGTGTAGTATTATGGGAACATCAAAAAGGGGAAAATGGGGCATGGAACGTGTAGATATGAGACATGGCGACAGGACCATCAACTGTACTTTTGGCAAGGCAAAGGGATGGATCGTTCTGGTGTTTTTGCTTGAGCGGAGGAGTCTGTCTTTTTACATTTCATTCGACTGTCATGATAATGGGTTCCAGGATTGGGCTTTCCTACGCCGCCATTCATCTAGAGCTTTCTCTGCCTCTATGCCCTCGTTCTCGCATCTCTCACCAACAAGTCCCCATGTCCTGGCTCGAATGATCTGCTCGACCATCCTCTCGTTTCTTATCAAACTTGCCAGAGACTCTGTTCTTGCTTCTCGAGGAAAGTACCTCGCACTGTATGGATCCAGCCGCTCATCGACCAATCGTTCCCTCGCCCGTGCATCCTCACTCTCCCTCAGAACCTGATCTGGATCATCTGGATCGGGCGACGTCGCAACGCCCGCGCAATAGTTCAACACATCACTCCTCATCTGCCAACTCGGAAACAGAACCTTCTCCTTGAAATGATCGCATGCCACAGGGTCGATTGCTCTCCTACTCCCGATCGGTCTGGGTTGTCTTTCTGCGGTTGATGAAGGATCGAAAGGTTTCGCGCCGGGGGTTTGTAAAGCGTTTAGATTCTGCGAGATGGTGTCGTCTACGGCGGTGCGAGAGATGCGGAGGAAGTCTGTTGCCGACCGACTTGCGTATGAGCGTGAGCTGGGAAAGACAGCTTTGGTTGGGGTGGCGGGTTGTGACTTACCGCGTAGTTGGGTTTGGTTGAAGCAGAGGCGTGGTGTTAGGGTGGGCTGTTCTGGAGTTCGGGACATGATCGGTGATGGTGGAGCTCTGGGAGGCTCAGAGGGCGGAGGAGGGGAGGGTTTCCAGAATGGTAGAGCCAGGATGGATGGAGTTGGTGGTTGTTGGTAGTTGTGTTTTCTTTGGAGACGGTGTTGATGGAGGTGGAGCTTTTGGATGTGGTGACGTCGAAGCAAAGCCCTGACTCTCGATTGGACTTCACGCTACAGACACGCCTCGCGTCTGCCTGTACGCGTTGCTCTTTGACTTCCCACTTCACGACGAGGGAATGCGATGCTTGCGACCAATATCTTCGTTCAATTCTCTCTGTACACACTTGTTCCGTTCTAAGTCGCTGCGAACTGCTTGTCGTCTTCGAATACACCTCACGCGCCAGAACTTGTGGACGAGCACGAGACATAGGACTTTCAACAACGCCCTCGGTGGGACAATCGACAGCATGGCACCGAAGCAAGCAACTTTGGGGTATGTCAACCATCAGCAGACTCTTGGGTGCGGCTCTCTGCACTCAATGCGACGGTGGTGTGTTCAGAACCGCTGACCTTCAACAGCAAGTTCTTTGGCAACCCGGGCGGACCAAAGGCGGAGCCACAGCAATCGAAGTTGAAGTTCTCGTCGAAACCGGAATCGAAGACCAAGACGAAGGAGGAGGGGGACGAAGAAGAGTCGAAGCCACAGACAAACGGAACGAATGGGCATGCGAAGACGGAGGATGTTGACATGGAGGATGCTGGTCCAGTCAAAGGGGAAGATTCAGATGATGCTGTGATTATTAAGGATGAGCCAGCGTCGTCGAACAAGCGCCGTGCTTCTCAGGATGAAGGAGATGCCTCGGAGGACAACGATGAACCACCTAGTAAGAAGCAACGGCAGAGTGCGAATGGGACGAAGAAAGGCGTGGCGAAGAAGTCGACGGCCAGGGGAAAGAAGAAGATTGTCGTCGAGGATGATGCAAGCGAAGATGGTGTGGACGACGAGCCAGTGGCCAAGAAGAGCAAGCCCTCTTCCAAGGCCAAGGCAGAGGACGAAAAGCCTAGCAAATCCACTGCGAAGAAGCCCACAGATGAAGATGGTGATGATGAAGGCCGCAAGAAGACTTCCACGAAAGTAGAGCCGGAGAGCAAGGCATCGCCCAAGGCCACAGCTCCCACAGAAGTCAAAGACGATTCGGACCGCAACAGCAATGAGGAAGCCGCAAGTGACTCTGAAGCTGAAGCCGAAGAGTCTGATGAGGAAGATATCAAGCCAGAGGCAGCAGCCAAAGCTCGTGAAAAGGTTCAAACGACACTCAAATCCACTGGAAAAGACCCGTATCCAGACTGGAAAGCCGGCGATCCAGTACCGTACGCAGCGCTCTGCACGACCTTCTCGAAAATAGAAATGACGACGAAGCGTCTGGAGATTCTTGCACACTGCGCAGCTTTCTTGCGGCAGGTCGTTCGACTGACTCCTGATGACCTGCTCCCAACCGTTCACTTGATGGTTGGCAAGCTTGCAGCCGACTACGCTGGCATTGAGCTGGGCATTGGCGAGTCTCTCATCATGAAAGCCATTGGAGAAACAACTGGACGCAGCCTCAAGATCATCAAGGAGGATCAGCAGAAGATTGGCGATCTTGGTCTGGTAGCGGCGAAGAGTCGTTCGAATCAACCTACTATGTTCAAGCCAAAGCCTCTGACTGTTCGCGCCGTGCACGAAGGCTTGATGAAGATCGCGACCGTGGAAGGCTCTGGATCGCAACAACGCAAGGTCGATGGCATCAAGAAGCTCCTTTCCTCTGCCGATGTCAACCTCGCCAAGGGCCAGACCGTCGACATCAATAAAGACAAGGGTGGACCTAGCGAGTCGAAGTTCATCATTCGAGCCCTGGAAGGAAAGATGAGACTTGGACTCGCAGACAAGAACCTACAAGTTGCCATCGCTCATGCCATGACGGCTCATGCTGTGGCACAGGACGGCAAGAAAATCCCATCCGAAGACGAACTCAAGAAGGGGGAGGAGATCTTCAAGGCTGTCTACAATGAACTGCCTGCTTACGAGGTCATTGTGCCAGCGCTCCTCGAGCACGGCATCTGGAATCTACGCAAGTCCCTGAAGCTGCGACCAGGTGTGCCTTTGAAACCTATGCTTGCGAAGCCGACCAAGTCGATCGGCGAGGTACTCGATCGCTTTGAGGGTAAAGACTTCACCTGCGAGTACAAATACGACGGGGAGCGCGCCCAGATCCACTTTGTGGCCCATGATGCAGACCTGGACTTCGCCACGACCGTGGCGCCCGAGGCCGGAAAATCTGATCGTGGCATCTCAAACATTTTCTCGCGCAACAGCGAAGACTTGAGCAAGAAGTATCCCGACATTCTTCAGAAGCTACCAACTTGGGTCAAGAAGGGTACCAAGAGCTTTGTCCTTGACTGCGAGACTGTCGCTTGGGACACCGAGAAGAAGCACGTCCTGCCGTTTCAGCAGCTCATGACTCGGAAGAAGAAGGATGTCAAAGCCGAAGACATCAAAGTTAAAGTCTGTGTGTTCGCATTCGACATTCTATATCTGAACGGCGAAGCTCTGGTCAACAAGCCTTTCCGAGAGCGACGCGATGCCATGTACAGTGCATTCGATGAAGTCGAAGGAGAGTTCGCCTTCGCACAATACGGCAACACTCGAGAAATCGAGGAGATTCAGACATTGCTGGACGAATCCATCAAGGCTTCGTGCGAAGGTTTGATGGTCAAGATGCTTGATGGCGTCGAGTCACACTACGAGCCATCCCGCCGTTCTCAGAATTGGCTCAAGGTCAAGAAGGACTACCTTGCTGGAGCTGGGGACTCTCTCGATCTGGTCGTCCTGGGAGCGTACTACGGCAAAGGCAAGCGTACCAACTGGTATGGAGCATTCCATCTTGCCTGCTACAACACCAGCTCGGAGCAGTACGAGACCGTGTGCAATATTGGCACTGGCTTCTCAGAGGCCCTGCTGGCTGAACTCTACGACACCCTTTCGCCACTCGCAATCGACCGAGCAAAGCCATTCTACGACCACTCCTCCGGAAAGAACGATCAGCCAGACGTCTGGTTCGAGCCGAAGTACGTGTGGGAGGTCAAGACGGCCGATCTCACGCTAAGTCCAAGATACCGTGCGGCTGCCTCGGAGTTTGGCAGTGATGGCACGCACAAGGGTGTCAGTCTGCGATTCCCCAGATTCATCCGTGTGCGTGATGATAAGAAGCCGGAAGAGGCGACGAGCAGCAGGCAGGTTGCTGAGATGTATCGCAAGCAGGAGTCTGTCGGCAAGGACAAGAAGCCGGCGGTGGATGATGATTTTGAGTACTGATGAGGGAGAAGGTGGAGGGGAAGCATGTGCATACTGTGGAGGGTTGTAGCTCAAGATACCTTTGCTCATGACAAATTAAGAATGCTTATTCTGCGGTATGGTTCTGGCTGGCCTCATCCTTCAATCCATGTGCGATCTATCTCGATCGACCACGAACAACAATTTCTCAATCTCTTTAAGGGAAGGCGACAAGACCGAACGGCTAAAAGTGTTGATAGATCTTGACTGTACATTGATTTACATCGTGCCGTAACTGGCGAGCACAGACTACCATATGCCAAACCACTTCTTCTTGGCCGGCTGCTGCTTGCCCTCGAAGTCAATATAGGTCTCGCCTTGACCGGTCACTTCATCTGCCACTGCGGCCACATTACTCTGCACCTCTGCACTCTGCTTCGAGAAATCAACATCTCCCTCCCTAGCCGCAGGATTCGTCGCATAATTCTCACTCCTCGCAGTCCACCCACCCAAGATCCCCTCACTCTCCTCAATCCCATGAGCTTTCCTGTACTCCGACCTCTTCTTCACATCCTCCACTTTCTGCTTCCTCATTTCCGCTGTCTGCTGACTGACGTACGCGACGTGCATGTTGTATACTTCGCCCCAGCGAGCGAGGAATTGGAAGGGATGGGCCCAGAACATGGAGTTGGGGGGTAGGAGGTCGCGGTAGGGGGTGTTGTTGAGGAAGTCGCTGAGCCAGATTCCGAAGATGAGGGAGATGAGAACGGACTGTGTGATACTGTCAGGATGAATCGTTCTTAGGTGAAAATATTTTTGGAACTTACCATGCTGATCCATACATGGATTGATCTATTCGTGAGGAACCAATGCAGAAACGTTCCTTCTGGGGGCATCATGTGAGGGTATCGCTTCGCCTTCTGCTCCTGGGATAGATCGGGTCCATAGTTGTATTTGGGCTTACTTCGAAGTCGCGATGGATGTGATGGTGGACGGAACTTGTCTGGCTTCTCTAATACTCGTGGTTTGGGAGGTGGTGTCGTCGATGCGTGTCGTATGCTAGGGGTGAAGCGTAATCGCTGAAGTTGTTTTGAGTGGAGAGGGAATCCTCCACGAGGAAATGCAAGGCGGAGGGAAGCCATTGCGCCTGAGCTCGACCGTCACGAGATGAAAGTCAAGTGAATGATTCCAGCAAAACGCGAGTGAAGTCCGGCAGACCCTCAGGCAGGAACGACGCGCCCCACCTCGGCAGCAGCCGCCCGCTAAGTTGTTTGGGCCCGCGCTTTCTCTGGCCAGTGTCAACAATTCGGTCGCCTACACCGCTGCCTCCTCTTCTGCACCCACCTCCAGCCTGCAAACACCACCGCCAGCACCCTCTGCACACACCAGCCAGCACGACCTCGAGTGCCCCCTTCAGCCCAAGCGACACATAACCCACACCAAACCAACACCCCCCACAATACCGCCAAAATTCCGGGAATGCGTGAGATCGTACGTACACCGCCCCTGACCCAAAACGCCCACGCGTGCCCCGCGTCGACCGTTGCGATATCCCAAGAACATGATGCTGACAGTCGTGTGCGATGACAGGTCCACCTCCAAACCGGCCAATGCGTACGTATTCACGCGTTTTCACCGTGTGTCACACGAAGAGCAGGGGTTGACACCGCAGCAGGGCAACCAGATAGGTGCCGCATTCTGGCAAAACATCTCCGGTGAACATGGCCTCGACGGCGCCGGCGTGTAAGTCATGACTTGGGAATACACGTGAGAGAATGGACATTGACACACTGCAGGTACAATGGCACGTCCGACCTTCAGCTCGAGCGCATGAATGTCTACTTCAACGAGGTACGCTGCTCCTTCCATCTCTGTCGCGCCAAGACTGTCGCTAACTTCACGTCAGGCATCCGGCAACAAGTACGTCCCACGAGCTGTCCTCGTCGACTTGGAGCCAGGTACCATGGACGCCGTCCGTGCTGGTCCATTCGGTCAGCTCTTCCGCCCAGACAACTTCGTCTTTGGCCAGTCCGGTGCCGGCAACAACTGGGCCAAGGGTCACTACACTGAGGGTGCTGAGCTGGTTGACCAGGTCCTCGATGTCGTTCGTCGTGAGGCCGAGGGCTGTGACTGCCTCCAGGGTTTCCAGATCACCCACTCTCTCGGTGGTGGTACTGGTGCCGGTATGGGTACGCTCCTCATCAGCAAGATCCGTGAGGAGTTCCCAGACCGCATGATGGCCACCTTCTCCGTCATGCCATCCCCCAAGGTGTCCGACACCGTTGTTGAGCCATACAACGCCACCCTCTCTGTGCACCAGCTCGTGGAGAACTCTGACGAGACCTTCTGTATCGACAACGAGGCCCTCTACGACATCTGCATGCGTACCCTCAAGCTCAACAACCCATCCTACGGCGACCTGAACCATCTCGTCTCCGCCGTCATGTCTGGCATCACCACTTGCCTGCGTTTCCCAGGTCAGCTCAACAGCGATCTTCGCAAGCTTGCCGTCAACATGGTGCCGTTCCCACGTCTGCACTTCTTCATGGTCGGCTTTGCTCCTCTCACCAGCCGTGGCGCGCACTCTTTCCGCGCCGTCTCTGTTCCTGAGCTCACCCAGCAAATCTTCGACCCCAAGAACATGATGGCCGCCAGCGACTTCCGCAACGGCCGTTACCTCACCTGCTCTGCCATCTACCGCGGCAAGGTCTCCATGAAGGAAGTCGAGGACCAGATCCGCAACGTCCAGAACAAGAACACCGCCTACTTCGTTGAGTGGATCCCCAACAACGTCCAGACCGCCCTCTGCTCCATCCCACCACGCGGTCTCAAGATGTCGTCTACCTTTGTCGGCAACAGCACCTCCATCCAGGAGCTCTTCAAGCGTGTCGGTGACCAGTTCACTGCTATGTTCCGTCGCAAGGCTTTCTTGCATTGGTACACTGGCGAGGGTATGGACGAGATGGAGTTCACCGAGGCCGAGTCCAACATGAACGATCTCGTTTCCGAGTACCAGCAGTACCAGGAGGCCTCCGTCTCCGAGGGTGAGGAGGAGTACGACGAGGAGGCCCCGCTTGAGGGCGAGGAGTAGGATCGCTCGGCACTGATGGCTGAAGGCGGAGTGGTCATTCAGGTGTCATCTCCACCGGCGCCGACACCCACGCCCGCTCTTTTCCGCGCCTACCACTAGGCCGTGGTGTGCTCGACGCTTGTTTTCGAGTCATGGAGGAAGGTGGTAACGACTGTGCAAGCGTGTCTTTTTGTTATGTTGTCAAGAGCGTAGCCAGCATTGGCGCTTACTGTGGATAGTGACCTATGCAAAAGCTAATGAGGGCTGACCGTTTCACCTCATCAAGTCTCAGCGAAGTTCCCTCTCCGCCGCACCAACTCCTCAGCATTGAAGTCCTGCGCCGCCCTCCTTCTCGCCCGCTCCGCCCACTGCGCAACTCCGCCGCCTTCCCTACTAACACCCTCCCAAACCCCGCTATCCCACCCACACTCCCTGAACGCTGCTCTGTATTATTTCTCACTTTCCGACGTCTCCGCAGCAACAGGCGGTCCCTCAAACTCCACAAACCGCCAGCCCCCACCACCATTCGGCATGAGCACACACTCCAACCCAATCCACTTCCGAATCCAGCCCACCAACGGGTTCCCTTCGTCCTCGATATCCCAGGCCCGGGTCCCTCGCCAGTCATCGCCCTCGTCGAGAAAATGGTTCCACACCCGAATCCGCCGCGTGTCGAGCTCGTACAGCAGGGTCTCGCCGCCGTTGTGCGCGCGCGTCAGCACGAGCATGCCGGGTGGGATCAGATCTGTGCGGTCTTGACACGCTGGGTCGCGCGCGAAGTCGAAGGCGTCGGCGGATGCAGAGGGGTCGAAGGCGGTGTTGGTGTAGACTAGCGGGAGGGTTTCGTAGGTTAGTGGGATCTCGATGGAGGTGATGAGGTATGAGAGGTGGAGGAGGAGGGTTAGCAGGTCTGGGTTGGTGATGTTGGCCTCCGAGGCGGCGGGGATGTCGATTAAGAAGGCGGGGTGTGGTGGCGAGATGAGGGTGATTGCTGGCGTGTACTGCTGGTCTATCAGAATTGAGTAGAGGCTTGTGAGGAGTGAGATGAGGGTCGCGTGGTGGGCTGGGATGGTGGACATGTAGGCACTTTGGATTCTCACGAGCTTGCGTTGGTCTGCTCGACGTACGTAGGAGAGATTATTACGTATAGCGGCAGGGACGAAGTCACATGAATAGCGTTATGGTAGATTATTATCATAGCTTAGTAGGATGCCCGGGCGAATTCCGACATCCTACCGTCGATGGGGTTACGAGGTAGTTGGCTGGTGGTCTTTGACGACTCCCAATATACGGAGTTGCTATATGAATTCCCATCACTTGTTAGGCGGATCGGGAAGCAAATACCGCTTCTGGCGAGAAGCCAATAGAAGGGCGTGCGGGATACAGTATCCTGGCCTACTTCCCTGAATATCAAACTCCAGGTCGTTTGAGCTCGGACCGAAGCCTCGGGGATAGTAAAGGGGCAAGTACCTAGGTCGTCAGGCGAGAGACGCAAGTTCGAAGAGCAAGGCCTTGAAGGGTGGGCATTAACAGACGTGGCCCGCAGTTCCTAGCAGCGTCTTTATTGGAGACATCAAGAGCAACATGGCCTGGCTGCAGACAACGTCGTTCTTAACACCGAGCCTCTGCAGAAAGATCATCCCGAGATCTCATCCATCAAGCTTCGCGGGGGCGGCAAGACGGCACAAGTTTGCATTGCTCCAAACACGTGTGGAGTCTTTCTTTGGAATTACATAATGGGCAGTGAGTGCATCATCCGTAAGTTATGAGTACATCTCCTCGTGAGAAGCTGTAACTACCCCCTACAAGGACGGGTAGGTGCCTTCACGGAGTTCTCTCGCTCTTCCTTTCCGTCATCCACGTATATCAGGCGAGGAAGGAAGTGTTTGCGAGGTGTTCCATTGTGTGACATCTTCCGGGACTTTTGCTGCTGCTTGCCGAGGGAGAGGGCTTTGTTGTGACTCGTTTTCCATACCTCCGAGTGGCGTTGACAGACCTCACGCGTTGCCATGAGTCTCGCGAAAGACTTGCATGAAGAGAAGGATGTAGACAAGGACGCGGAAGCCATAACACCCGACGAAGCGACGGACTCGAATGAAATCCGGTCAACGACTGAACAGCACGATGCCGCCGTCGTCGACCAGGAGAAACAACCCCAGTCTCAGCAAAATGCAGGTCCGCCACCACCACCGAATGGCGGATATGGATGGGTCTGCACAGCGTGTTGCGCGACTATCAACGCCCACACTTGGGGTCTAAACTCTTCGTACGGAGTCTTTCTCGCCCACTACCTGCAAACCAACACCTTCGCCGGAGCGACGTCCCTCGACTTTGCGTTCATCGGTGGGCTTTCCATTTCGTGCGCGATGCTCATCGCGCCGGTGGCGACGCTTTCGACGAGGTATTTTGGGACGAAAGTGACGCTGTTCACGGGCGTGTTCTTCGAGACGCTGAGTCTGATTGCCGCGTCCTTTGCGAAGAAGATCTGGGAGTTGTATCTTTCTCAGGGCGTGTGCTTTGGGCTTGGGATGGGCTTTCTTTTCGTGGGATCGGTGGGGATACCGGCGCAGTGGGTAAGTTGCGGAATACCTTCTTCATGAGACCAAGAACTTCTCTGACCGCTCTGTTCTAGTTCACGACGAAACGCTCACTCGCAAACGGCTTCTCTGCCGCAGGCTCGGGAATCGGAGGTCTGATCTATTCTCTCGGCGCCGGAGCAATGTTGAAGTCGATCGGTCTTGCCTGGACCTTCCGCGCATTGGGCATCATCGCTTTCGGCGTCAATACTATCTGCACTCTCCTCCTGAAGGACCGCAACAAGATCATCGGCAGCTCACAGAACGCCTTTGACATTCGACTTTTCGTCCGGGCTGAATATCTCCTCCTATGCGGGTATGGATTCTTCAGCATGCTCGGCTACGTCGTCCTCATCTTCTCGCTCGCCAACTACGCGAACGCCATCGGCTTGGGCGCCTCGCAAGCTTCGATCGTATCAGCAATCTTCAACCTGGGCCAAGGCCTGGGAAGACCGCCAGTGGGCTACTTCTCCGACAACGTAGGCAGGATCAACATGGCCGGCGCGATGACATTCCTCTGCGCCGTCTTCACGTTCGCCATTTGGATCCCAGCAAAGAGCTTCGGAGTCCTCATATTCTTCTCGATCGTGGGAGGTGCTGTTGCTGGAACGTTTTGGGCTACGATTGCGCCGCTCTCTGCTGAGGTGTGCGGCTTGAAACACGTCCCGTCAGCGCTCAATCTGATGTGGCTATTCATTTCGATGCCGACGCTCTTCAGTGAGCCGATTGCATTGGAGATTGTTGCTGGGACTGGGGAGTACATTGGCACGCAGCTGTTCGTCGGGTTCATGTACATTGCAGGTGCCTTGTGTATCTTGTTTCTGAGAGGTTGGAAGATCGGCCAGGTTGAGGAGATTGCCAGTGCGAAGGGAGAAGCTGCAGATGAGATCAATGTGCTTGCAGCGGAGAATGACGTGGATCTTGCTGAGCGGGCCAGAGTCGCTGGGCGAAGAAGGATATTGACGGATTTCTGGAAGTGGTGTAAAGTGTAGCAAAAGATGCTGGTTGAAAATTTGCCCAAAGTCCGCGACTACGATTTTGAATACTCAGAGATGCAAAATCTCACAGTGAGGTCTGACTTGACTTGACTTTATACTCCAACCTCGCCTGCGTGATAAGCAAGCACTCGATCAGGGAGTCCTAGCGGACGCAGCCTTGTCACTATTTAGACTTTCTCGCTTAGTATTTAAACTCAGCACTAACCTAACCCTCTCGAATTCTCATCCTCAAAAAATCCGAGCAACCTTTCCAATGCACCTCCACACCGAAACCACCTCGCCCAAATCACCGCGCAAAAATGAAAGTCGGCAAACCCAAATCCAAACGCGTCCCCGTGCGCCTCCGCCACAAAATCGAAAAAGCCTCCGCAGCGAAACAACGCAAGCAACGCAAAGAAGCGAAGAAGAACCCGCAATGGCAGTCGCGGCTGAAGAAGGACCCGGGGATTCCGAATTTGTTCCCTTATAAGGACAGGGTGTTGGCGGAGATTGAGGAGAGTAAGAGGGCGAAGGCGGAGGAGCAGGAGAGGAGGAGGGAGGTTGCTAGGGCGCAGAGGGAGGGGAAGAAAGTGGGTGTTGAGGGAGGGGATGAGGAGTTGAGGGATCCGGAGGAGGAGATGGGTGATGTTGATGAGGAGGTGGATGGAGAGGGTGAGGAGGTGGATGGAGATGAGATGGAAGAGGATACGAATCCCATGGCTGCCCTCGTGGCTTCCGCTCAGGCTCGAGCGCAGACATACCGACCCAACAACACCAACGACGACGAAGATGAGGAAGAAGACGAAGAAGACCCAGAAAGCGACGTCGAACCAAACCTCACCACCCTCCAACCCAAAAACCCCAAACCCACATCCTCGGAACCCACGAAAAACCCCCTCCCAAAACAAGCCCTCACCGACCCCCTCAAACCCCTCACCAACCTCATCACCCGCCTGGAAAAAACCCCCTCGGGAATCCAACAACTCCTCGATTACTACCAACTCCCCCCGCTCGTGACCGCCGGCAGCGACACCGCCACGCGCCTCCTCGTCGACGTGGCGCGGAAGAAGGGACGCTTGGGGCGACGGGGTGTGCCGAATTTGAACGCCGCGGCGTTGACTGTGTTGGGGGATTTGAATGAGGGGAGGTTGGAGTTGCCGGCGTTGCAGGAGGTGCAGGTTGTGTCGAAGGCGAGTGTGAAGGCGGGCAATAAGAGTGAGGTGCAGATTGTGTCGCAGCTCGCGGAGCCGTTTAGGATTGAAGGACTGTTTGGAGATGAGGGCAAGACGGGGGCGGAGATGGAAGTAGAGGATGCTTAGAGAGGATTCGTCACTAGAGTCTTTCGCTTTTCCTTGTTCCATACCGCCGTCGCTATGCATAGATACCCTACATCTATTTTCAGAGAGAACAGGCGCGCCATGCACACGGCGGCGCTTCAGTACGAATGCATACCTACACATCATCTACATCCATCCACCCATCTTCTCACGCCTTGAAACCACTCGCCTCCGACCACCGCTTCCGCGCCGCCTCAACATACGCCTTCTTCGCATCCGCTCCAGCCTGAATATCCTCCAGCAGCTGCGATCCCTCCTGCGCATCCCGTAACGACGTCCTCGGCAACTCCAACGTCGCCAGCAAATCCTTCACACCCTTCGACTTGGTCTCCTCCTCGCCGGGTTTCAGCACATGTCGGAACCTGACGACGGACTGGATGTGTGGTGCGCTTTGCTTGTGGGATTCGAGGTATTCCTCGTTGCACTCGTGCAGGGATTTCGGGCTGAGGCGGGAGAGGTAGAGCTCTTGGATGACGTCTTGGGATTGTTTCGGGAGTGGTTCTGGGAGGTTGTCGATGGCGAGTTTGAAGCGGCCGCCGAGCTCGTGGCATTTCGGGTGGTCTGGGTTGATGCCGTACGCCGCCAGCAGGCACTTGAGAGCTGGGAGATACTTTTCTATATCACGAATGTTAGTAGTTGCATCGTGGAGTCGCTCATACGATTTCAAGGCACTTACTCCGCCTGATGTAGACCTCGAAGCCAGCTATTTGCCCGTCGATATTCTTCGGGCTGAGCTCGAGCAACGGCGACAAATACTTCATCGCCTCCTCAAGTGGCTTCTCGGTCTTCAGCAGCTCCAGTCCTTGCGGGTCAGGGTCTTCCTTCTTGGTGGCACCGTCATCGTCGACTGCTTTCGGCTGCGCCTTCTTAGCTGCTGCAGCTTTCCGCTCTGCCTCTGCCTTTTCCGCTTCCTTCTTCGCCTTCTTGGCAGCCTTCTTCTTCTCTGCCGCACTGTCGCCCCCAGCTCCATTTGCCTGACCACCCTTTGCCAGCTCAGGCTTGTCGTGCAGCAGCAGGTACACCTTGATGGCCGAAAGTGCCGCACGAGTAAAGAATGGATGCTCTCTTAGTTTGTCCTCCCACCGGATCATGTCAATGTAGGCTCGAATCATGCCCTTTCGCAAGCTGAAGCTGTGGAAATCAAACTGATCCTCGTACCAGGTTTCGAAGATGTCGTATACGGCCTTGAAACGCTTCAATGCGAGGCTGAGCTTCCCTTGTCGCAAATTAGATTCGCCGTCTTCGGTGATGTACCATACACATTGCATGTCGAGTAGATCGCCCAAAGGACCGCCCACGGCCTCCTTTCGAGTGAACAGACCCATCGTGTTGACCGCGACCTCGTTCTCGTCGTTTCGTAGCTGGTACTTGGCGCATTTCGTGTTGATGTATCGGTCCTTGAGATCCATTTCCCTCGCCTCGTTCATGGCCTTGGACGCCGCATCAACGTCACCCAGGTGCTTCAACACTCGCGCCCGGGTCATGTGGTACGTGTAGTCGGTCTTTGACGAATTGAGAGAAATTGCCTTATCGATGTACTTCCTTGCTTTGTCGAGATCTTGTGACACGTAGTAGTTGTAGTGCTGCGCGAGGAAGTAGTTCACGCTGAGGGCCCAGTCGTTGGCCTTGTTGGTGCCATTCACCTTGTGTGAGCCATCGGTGCTGCCGTTGGCCTCAGACTTCTCCGCGCCACCGTTGGCTTGCGGCTCTTCGTTCGCATATCCCTCGACGAGCGCCTGGATTGTGCTGAGCTTTTCAGGCTCTGAGTAGAGCTGCTTGACGTTCGCGAATGTGCTTGGGACACCTTTGTTGAACATTCTCCGCAGGTACCCATCAGCATGCGTTCGGAACGCATCGCCTTGCAAGAAGTCGAGTGGTATCCGCCTTGCAGCATCGATGCGTTGGCTCTTGTCTGCGTAGGCTTGGTACACTTCTCTAAACTTCTCTTGGTCTTCTGACTTGGTCCTGTCCAGCCCCAGTGCCTTCTCCAAACCCTCGTAGTATGCCCGCTTCTCAGTATTTCGATCCAGCAGTGCTCTGTACGCCTTCTCTGCTTCCTCCTTCTTGTCGAGCCTCAGGAGATAGTCCGCTCTCAGCTCCATAATTGATGTTCGATCCAATGCGCTCTTCGATATCGAATCCAATTGCTCAAGCGCACGCTGAACATCTCCCTGCTCAGCAATGACAGTATTCTTGTACAGCACCGCCTCTGCATGTTCAATGTCGCTCTTAGGTGGAGGCTGCTTCAACGTCTCCTCATATCGATGCATCACATTCTCAGCCTTGTCCAGCTCCCCGTTCAAGTGCAACGCAACAGCCAAAGCGGTCCAGTTCTGACGCAACTGCGGCCTTGCCTGCAGCATCGTATTACGACTCTGCACGAAGCCCGCATAGTCCCTCATCTGAACCTGCAGCAATGCCAAATCGCGCTGTATCTGCTGGCTCTCCGGATCGAGCTTGAGCGCAAACCGGTACGCTTTGATTGCCTCTTCGTAGTTCTTAACACTTCGATAGAGCAAGCCATACACGTGCCAGCAGATGTGCGACTTCATTGAGTTCTTGAGCGCGAGCTTGCACAGGTCAAACGCCTCCTCTTGCTTGCCTTGGTTGTTGAGGATCAGAGCTTTCATAGCCTGGGTGTCGCCATGGTTGGGGAATTTCCGCAGGATCTGCTCGGCGGCCTTGAGTCCTTTCTTGTACTGCTTCGACTCGTAGTTCTGGACGAGATGGCGGAACAACGAGCCCTCCTTCGAGGGAAGCGTCTGGTTGTTGGCCGCCATCGTTGCGATCGGAGGTGGGTGGAGGGGCGCTCAAGAGGTGGGCTCGTGACAGCTGCTATCGACACATTCGCCAGTGAGTGCGGAGAGGAAGGAGGGCAGGTGGCTTGAGCGGGTGTGTAGCGTGAGTCGTCTCAAGTAGCGGAGCGAACGGCGACGATGCGGTCACGCGAGCGGGCGAGGATGGTGGTGAGGGGAGGCAGCGGCTCTAAGTAGAGAAGAGGTCTGAAACTTAAGTCGTTCCATGAGCTCACACAGCTGATGCCAAGACCAGACCAGCCGTGCTTCACCTCACCTACATGGGGGATCGCTCATTGAAAGGAACTGAAGTGATGGTAGGGTTCAATGATATTAAATTGGTCCCCGAGTAATGAGACGGCGCTCCACCTCTCCAAGTCACATACACATTTCGCTTGACTACAGAAATGCTCGCTAGTTTTCCCACTCCCGTTTGCTCCCCCCTATTGTTGCTCACTCAAAAGGCCGTGAGCGCGTTCAAACAAGTACATGGATTTGCGTGCGCTCCAACTCCTTCCCAGAAGCAATGCTGGACAACTCCGCTAATCTCGAAAGAACTCGCTCCATGTGGCATGCTTATACTCAATGCAAACCGGATCCCACAAATGAAAATCGCTCTCTCGGGCACCGGTGGTAGAAGATCCAGCTCCTGCCCGTGCTATAGCTTCAACTCGTTCAATATCTTCTGTGCCATGTTCTTGTACTGCCATGTCCCGCCCTCGACCTTCTTGAACTGAATGCCATGAAGGCTCAGCAGCGGCACCTTGACCACGACGATTTCGAATCGCAGAGTCAAGTCCCCGCCAAGATCAGATTGCACATGTGTACTCGTTTCGCCAGCGGGTCGCAACGTTGAGGGGCGAGGATGTGATGTCGGTGGGTCCTCCTCAGACTCTTCCTCGGAGTTGGTGTAGCTGGCCTTGTGTCGAGGTCCAGTAGGGGTCTGCGCTTCCTTCTCGCCATTCATGCGATCTCTGAAACCACCGAAGCTAATCTTACGGCGATGGCCACTATCGAGTGGTGGACTTAGCGCCTGACCACCAGATGGTACAGCCTCATCCGTACTCGGCTTGGGCATGATACTCGGTGCATGTTTGCACGCGAACCCGCCCTTGATCTCGCGGTATTCAACACCCAGTTCCCGCAGCACTCGAATGATGTCTGAGCGTATGAAGCTCAAAGGTTTGTTGCTCGTGGTGGACACGCTGAACAAGCCCTTGAGATAGACTGGCTTCATGCCCGTGGGGCTGCTGCTGCCATGGTCTTTGCTATCCACCTCGTCCATCATGTCCTGGTCCGTCTCTTCGGGCACGTCCGACGTTCGAGCTTCTTGTCGTCGTGCGCGGCGTACTTGCATACTCTCCTTGCGAGCGTGTCCCATAGACTTGGCTCGATTGGTAAGGTTTGTGGTGTGTGGTCGAGAGGATTCGACATCAGACGCAGGCTCCCTAATGCTGCTACCCTGGTCAAAAGACACCTTTCGGTCAGTGCTAGCGGAGGGTGTCACTGCAGGTCTCATCGAGGAGCCCTCGGATGCGCCGCGCCTAGTCAGACGCCTCCTCATGTCACTCGAATTGACGCTGATCGACCTTCCCAGACCATGCGTACGCTTGCGTTCGTTACTAGCGTCACCCAGTGGAGGAGTTAGCAATTCGCTTTGCTTGCTGGCTGCGGTCTCTGGCCTGCTGGTCTCCCTCGTTTGGCTGGGCTCTCTGGTACGTCGCATGTTGAAGCTCTTCCTCGGGGTCTCGTTAGTGCCGTAGTTGGCAAGGGATGGAGGAGGATGGCTAGGACGCTCTCCTTTCTCGCGCTTGCTGAACCGTCGGAGCAGCCCAGCAGCTGCACTCTCTTTCCTCGAATGGCCAGATGCCTTCTGCTCCGTTGCAGGCTCCACAATCGTGGGTTGTGTGGGTTGATTGTTCAGGTTCACGTTCTTCAAGTCCTGAGCAACGTCGTCTTCGCCGTGTGTTCGTGCGCGAGGCCTAGATCTACCGCCCGTCGGCTTCTCGCCTGCCATCTCGTATGTCGATGTGTTGGTGACGGCTGCTTCAGGTGGGGCCAGGTCCGGTATCTGGAGTGGCTTCTCGCCTGGGCTCTGTGGGAGAGCAAAGGCACCTGGATTCTTCTCCCTCGCTTCCCTCTCTTGCTTCTCCATAGCCAGGTAGTATATCGAGATCAAAGGATGGAATGCGTTGATGGGGTCCGATCCGAGTTGCACAGCTTCACTTGATGGAGTGTTGAGCGTGTCTCTGCTGGTTGTCGAGCTTCTTCGCTTGTAAAAGCCGAAGACGCCTCGCTTTTGATCGGTGTCCTGAACCTGCTGATGCTGCCGCTTCTCTTGAAGACGGATGGCACGTTGGTAGTCTTCGGACTCGATCACTTTCACAAGCTGCGACGTAATGGTCTCTGCATCTCCAAAGTCGAAGCCGGTCATCTTGTCAATCACCTCAGGGTCCAATGGAAGCTGAATCGGCTTTCGGATTGGAAGGTAGTTATCAGGAGGTCCACTAAAGCCTTTGGTCATCCATGGGTGATTCATGATTTCATGTAGTGTCGCACGATCGTGTGGATTCGTAGTCAGCATGCGTGCGATCAGGCCACGGCATTCTGAAAGCTGTCAGTAGCTGCGTTGTGCAATGTCTGTAGCTCACTTACCAGGACTCAGCCACGGAGGATACTCAACAACGCCCTTCTTAATCTTGGCGTGGAGCTGAGGCATACTCTGGTCGTCGAAAGGCACCTTACCGCATACAAGGACATACAAAACAATGCCAAAGCTCCACACGTCCACCTCTGGTCCAGTATATTGCTTCGCTTGGAGAAGCTCCGGAGCGGCGAAGTAGAGACTGCCGCAGAATGTCTTGAGGTGGTTGCGAGGACTGAAGAGATTCGAGAGACCAAAGTCGATGATCTTGATGTCACCCGTCTTGCTGATGAGGATGTTCTCAATCTTGAGGTCACGATGGACGATGCTGTTGCGATGACAGTAATCCAAAGCGCTCGCTATCTGGCGGCCGAACTTGCGGGCTTGCTTTTCCTTCAACCGGCCATGGCTGATGATATAGTCGAGCATTTGGCCTCCATTGACGTACTCAAACAGCATATACCAGTGGTAATTGGTTCGCACGACATCTCGCATGCCGCATATATACGGATGGTCGACCAGCGTCACGATGGCCGCCTCTCTCGCCGTTCGAATTTCTTTGCTGTGGTCGGCACGCTCACGTTCTTGCGGTGTCCGGTGTTCGCCCTCTGAGCTTTGTCGAGGCACGATCTTGACCGCCACCTGCTCCCCAGTCTCTTTGTTACGCGCCAACTTGACTTTGCCCATGCTCCCCGCGCCCACCGTCTTCCCCAATTCCCAATGCCCCGTGGTAGCATCTATCGTCGTGCGCCGTCTGAGATTCTGAGTATTTGTCGACCTAGTCTCGCCCATGTGCGAGCTCGGAGCCGGGGTAGGCTGGTCATTGTAACGGGACTGAGTCCGCGCGTGAGAAGAGGGATTCCTCATGCTGTCGGCGCGGGGAGGGTGAGCGCTGGAGCCATTCGTGGGCGGATCTCGCGATTCGCCGCTTCTCCTGGAGGTGTCCGGGCGAGCGATGTTGGTCTGCTCAAAGTCATGTCGTGCGACTTTGTCGAGGTTGGTGGAGGGGGCGCGGGTGTGCGAGGTGGGCGTCGGTGGCTGCTGCTGCGACGTGGACATGGACCGGCGCGGGGAGGAAGGCGCGGCAGCGGCAGCAGAGCGGTGGGAGGTGCTGGCTGCACGGTGAGGAGGTCGGTCGCGGTCGCGGTCTCTCTCGCGGTCGGCGGGAGGGGTGTAGTCGGGCTGCTGACGACGAGTGCTCGAGGTACGTGGAAGCGACGCTGCCGGAGGAGCCGCCGCCGACATGCTGGAGCAGCTCGGCGCTGAGTCGCGGAGGGATGGTCTGTGTGGGAGTCGGGAGGGTTCGAAACGCAGTCGTTGCAGACCGAACGCTCAAACGGCGTGGACCCCAGGGGCGCGCTGCGTGGAGATGGGACGGATGGGTGGGTGAGTGATGCAGCGGTGCAGGTGCCAGCTACTGCCAAGCCAAGCGCCGCGAGAGGAGCGGAGCGGCGTGGGCCAGCGGCATGGACAGTCTGTATGCGATGACACTGGACTGGAGGCGTGCAGTGCAGTAGTCGCAATAGCACGGCGACAGCGACAACAGGTGGAGGAGGATCGGCCGGGCTCTCGCGTGTCTGCTGCTGTTGGCCCTAGAGTTTATGCGTGCTCCGGCCTAGGGTCAGACTAGAGCTGCCGAATATAGCTCGCCTCCCGAGACACGAATAACACTGCTGGAAAGGTCTTGTTGGCTGTACCTGTCTGCTAGAGTGAAGCAGTGGACTGTTGTTGTTGTTGTCGTCGTCGGTGCAAGGTGCAGCGGTGGAGCGTTGGGCGGAGGCGTTCGTTGTTCGGCAGCCAAACTCCAGCCACGGCTCGCCGCACAACGGGCAGCTAGCGGCTTCTGGATGACATTCACTGACACCTCTTACATGTGCTCACTGCCCGTACAAGTACTGTTCCATCATCACCTGCGTCACGCTCCCTCTTGCCAAGCTCGCATCGCTCGAAGGATTGCGGCTTCCGTCAAGGGTCCGACGAGTATCTGACCTGCATGTGAGATCTGCTCTGCCACGCCAGGAACACATGGACACCCGCACGTGAACCACCACACGCCTAGGTAAGAACCACTCCCGCCCGCCAAGACGCAGAGTATCTCAATGCTGGCCAAGAACGCAGGCTAAGATGTCCTACAAGCGCTCTCGAGCTGCCTTCGAAGCCGATGCTACGGGTCTGCCCCAACACGCCCAATTTGCGATATATGGCACGCCTCTACCGCCATACGATCCTCAGGCGCGAGATGACGGCAGCTATGTCCCAGTCTGGAAGCAGGAGGTGACGGATGAGCGCGGAAGAAAGCGTCTGCACGGTGCATTTACGGGCGGCTTCAGTGCAGGGTATGTTCTCCATGACTAGTGCTGTTGTAAGCATCTACTCACATCTCTCGTAGTTACTTCAATACCGTCGGCTCGAAAGAGGGATGGACGCCGAGCACATTCGTCTCGTCTCGGTCGAAGCGGGCCAAGGACCAGCAAGATGGCAAGCCGCGCGAGCAGAAAGCGGAGGATTTCATGGACGACGAAGATCTGGCAGAGCAAGCAGAAGCCCAAAAGCTGGAGACTCAGAATGCCTTTGCTGGCCTGGGTACTGCTGAGGATGGCAATGGCGGCAGAGGCATGTTCTCTGATCTATTCAAGACCACTGGCGAGACAAAAGGCGTGAAGCTGCTACAACGAATGGGCTGGAGACAAGGGCAAGGCATTGGTCCAAAGGTTCGACGGCGAGCACAAGGTGACAAGTCTGGCGAGACTCACCTGTTCGCCCTTGAGAACTCGCGCTTGATCAGCTTCATACGAAAGACTGATCGTAAAGGACTCGGCTTTGCTGGAGAAGGCCGACTCAATGACCCCACCAAGCCAGATGCAGACGAAGATGAGGACAGTGGTGACGACGCTAGGATTCTACGTGCCAATCGTTCAAAGATTCAGACGAAGCCGAAACCCTTGAAAAAATCTGGCTTCGGTGTAGGAGTGCTGAACGATGACGGGTCAGATGAGGAAGACCACTTCTCCGTGGGACCGAAAATCAGCTACAACAAGATCATCGGTGCGGACAGGAAGAAAAAGAAAGGTTTACTTTCTTCGAGTAACAACACTTCGGAAGTGGTGAAACCGATTGCTACCTCCAGAAAGCTGGCGCAGCGGACATTCAACGTCACCAACTTCCGGAAATGCCACGATGGACGGCTGCCCTTGGATGGCTTCGTGCTTGCTACAGCATCTTTGACCTTATCCGATGACAACAAATACCCGCCTCCAGCTGTCCCAGCAGATTGGAAGCCGAAGCAGAGCACCGAATCTACCCCAACCGATGCGAAGTATCAGTCGACAGCAGATGCTGCGAAGCTTTCCACCATGGATGCGAAATCGCGGGCGGCTCTGATGGGAGAGCAGCAGCTCCCAGGAAAGTCGATATTCGACTTCATCAAACCAGACGCAAGGGATCGTCTTGCCTCCGCAACTGGCAAGAGTGATCTGCCTCGGGCTCTGGGTGAGAGCGCCCCGGCTGGATTCGAGCAGAGTGCTGCTGAGAAGCATCGTACGCTGTGGGACTACGTCCCCAAGCTCGACAAGCAGACCGCGGCAGCAGCGTTGCAGCGTGGTTTGACGGGATGGATGCCTTACGCTGAAGATGAGGACAAGCGAGACAGGTACAAGTACTTTCTCGAGCTCAGTTCAGGGCTTCAATCCAACCTGCCTACACGACCGCAATCACTTTCTCTCGAAGAATGGAAGAGAGAGATGCGAGAGTTCGCCGACGCAGCCGAGATCTTCAAGCCTGCCTCCGGATATATGGCGAGTCGCTTCACTTCATCCACGAACGCTGGGCCGAAGCTAGCATCTGATGCTCCTGATTCAGCCCCTAAGCAGCCTACGGCGAAAGAGGAGGACCCAGCCGAGAAGGCGGCCAAGATGGGGATGTACGGTCCCATGACGCGCTCGAGCGAGCCTTTCTATCCTACAAGACTGCTTTGCAAGCGTTTCAACGTCAAGCCGCCTCCTAATGTTGCAGCTGGGAGTGCTGCGGAAGCTGAAGGCGAGATGATGGATGAGACTCGTAGGCTTGATGTCGTCAGCCAATCGAGCATCAATCGGATGATGATGGAAGCCAACTTCAACAATCCCAAAGCCCCTGGTTTCGTGTCAGGAGGCACAGAAGGTGGATCCGAGGGACCAACATCATCAAGTCTCAGGAGAGAAGAGGCGGCTGAGGTCAACGTGGAGAAGAATGACGCTTTAGAAGGCAAGCGGGCGGGCGAAGAAGTCTTCAAAGCCATCTTCGGCAGCGATGATGAAGATGAATGAATGAACAAAGCAACCGTATCCACGCCAAATATGTCCCAGTTCTGCCCTCTCCCACTCCATCACCCCATCAACCCCTCCCCCACAACCTCCCCACCACCACCTTCCCACCCCTCCAAACGCCCCTCAACACCTCCGTCGTCTGCACATTATCATTAAACAACCCAAACAAAAACAACGCCAACCAGCTCAGAAAAAACACCACCGCGAACGAAATCCAAAACGTCTGCACCGAGTACGAGACGCCGGAGAGCTGCGTGCTGAAGTAGCTCATCATGAGGGAGACGGGGAGGAAGAGCATGGTGGCTTTGGTGAGCAGGAGGGTGATGCGCGTGAGGCGCCCGACGTCGAGGGATTGTTTGATGGCGATGAGGTTGAAATTCTGGAGTCGGTCAGTCAGTCAGTCATGTCATCTTAGGACCTCGTGGAGAACGGGGAGGGCGGAGGATGTGGTGGGATACGTACCATAGCGACCAACGCCTCCTTCTGCTTGACATACTCCTCCACCTCCCTCAACGCATACAGCTCAATCAAATCCCTCAGCCGCTTAAACCGCACCCTCGCCGCACCGCCGAGACTAACGCCCATCAAACTCTCCCTCTCCACCACCACCGGCCGGCCCACACTCCCGCTCCCGCTCAAACTGACCTGGCTCGCGGCGCTCACGACCTGGGAGTTCTGCAACGAGGCGGCCGAGGCGGTCTGCGGTTCGAGGAGGCGGTCGATGAGACGCGTGTAGGATTCGTAGTGCCGGCGCAGGATTCCGAGTTCGAGCCCGATGGTGTCGAGGCGGTCGATGTGGGTTAGGCGCGGGAGGGAGAACATTTGCGTGCGCAGCGTGGCGAGTTCGAGGGGGTAGCGGGATTCTTTGCGGGTGACGACTGAGAAAGGAGTTAGTGGATGGTTGTGTTGATGCTGCGGCGAGCAGGGGCTTACGGGTGTAGCTGTTGTGCCAATTCTCGAAGAGATAGTAGAAAAGCAAACCAGGAGCGTCCGAGTCTCGATGCGCCGTCTCCTCAGGCGTCTCTCCAAGACGTACACGGATTGGAAGGAGCATCAGCGGGTTGTGAGCTAGTAAAGGCTCCTCGTGGACCGTCGATAGCGAACGAAAGACATTCACCAAATTCCTTCGAATCTCAGACATCACACGGAGCTGGAACGTCGTGAAGTGACCAGCTGCGAAAGGGAACGGATCCTCATTGATGGAGATGACGGTATTGTCTTCGCATAGGACGAGCCAGGTCCACACGCGCATGCAATTCGGCAGATGGCCTGTACTATCGTCCTCGACGTTGGCGGGTTGTTTGGTTCCGTAGAGGGAGTTGAAGCCAATACAGACGTACTGTCTCCCAAAGTCGATCGAAGCATAATGCCAGAGATTCTCCGCAATCCGGTACAAGTTTCCGCGAACGACGGAATCGACGCTGGAGATGGAGGTTTGCTCGGACATTTCATCGATGTCTGCGAGTGCCTCGTTGTCTTCGGACCAGGAGGAGCGGCGACTCCAGAATTTCTTGAACTTGCTTTGGTCTGGTTTTCGCGGCGATGCTCGCGAGGCAGTCTTGCGCGGAAGCTTTGGGTCTGAGGACATCAAGGCCAGCAGGCGAGGGGAGAAGTCGTAGCGTCTTGCGAGGAGTTCGAGGAGGGGTCGGTGTTGAAAGGGATACCAAATATTGAGCCAGCGGGTATTGAGGACGTCGGGTCGGTCTGCGTTGAACAGAGCTGCGATGGAAGATTTCGAAAGGTCGAAGGCGGCCCATGCGGCGTCGTCGCTGAAGTCTAGAATGAAGTTATTCGTCGTGGTGCTTCGTACCGAGTCCATGAGATGGTTTATGTTGGATGGATTGTCCAAGGAACGGAACTTCGCTTGCACCGCATGATCATGGATCGACATGTAATAGTCGTATGCATCCTCAGCACCTCGTCCAGTCGCACCGTCGTGGTTCTCCATGTTGTTTCGATGCAAAGGAACTGCTCCTGTTCCTGCAGCAGCGGATTTCACCCACCTTTTGGCCGACGACCATACACGCCTGTGACCTGACGGACATCCTGTCTGATGCGGCTCATGATCAAGCTGAGTTTCGCGAAATAAAGACCAGAGTCCGTCACGCAGCGTTAAGTCGAGGCAGATGAGACAAGAGAAGTCACCAGCTCATATCTGGTGGCTTGCTCAAGCTGGGGCAAGTCTTCGCGGGGCGCTTCGCACGTGAAAGGCAGGTCCGCATGCAGGTACGCCTCAGGAGTCACAGCTCGGGATATGAGCAATATTGGCCTTTCGCCGGTGGTATTTTAGTTGTTTCATGCCGCAGAGAATTTTCTGGTTGTAGTTGGATCTCCGACGAGGCGAAACAAAGAAAAATGAAACCTACCGTCGGCAGTGTCGTCAAACTGCCAAAACTGAAGTCCGAAGATTACAACGAGAGCAATGACATCGCACGAACACTGGCCGAGAAGACACGCAGTCTTCGACTTTATGCGTTGAAGACGGCACCAGATGCCTTTGCTTCGTCATACGAAGATGAAGTTCAGAGAGACTTGACACACACTCTCGACCGGTTGGGAACTCATAATGCCGCCCACTTCTTTGCTGTCGACCGTGCGATAGATCCGTGGGCCGAGAAGCGTCACAACGAATTCTTCGCAGAATTATTCTCCGCCAAATTCGTGGGATCGATGGTAATCGTTGGGCCACTTGCGAGGGAGAGTTTTTCGGCAAAGAAAGGCCCTCTTTCCGTGGGCGCAGACCGAGACTCGACGAGGGGTAAAGAACCATCCAGCGAGCCATCACATTACATCCTCAACGGCACATTCGTTGATCCAGAAGCAAGGCGATCTGGATTCGGCAGGAGGCTAATAGAAGCGGCACTTGCTACTGGTCAGGAAGATGCGTCTAACCGTGGATATGACTTTCTCTGTACGGTCTTGGTCGACTCGGAGAATGTAGCAGCTCAGGCGCTCTACGAAAAGGCTGGATTCTCGGTGTCGGGTGAGGAGAAGTACGTCCAGCGACCACGGGCGCAGATGGGTGAGTCGAAGTCGGCGGAGGGAGTGGCAATCAAGTTGGAGCTCAGGCGGGCGTTGGCTGCTGAGTCGAAGGCATTGTGATACGTCGGTTGATCCTCTAGCTTTTAGTACGGTAATGAAGGGGGTGGTTTAGGAGTTGATGGTCAATGAAGCTTCCTTTCAACGCCCGTGAGTCACGCACGGCACGGAAATCGAGATCACGTGCAGGCTTGGCGTGTCCCGCACCTTGCCCTACAAAATCTGGACTTCGCCTCTCGACTTCTTCCTGAAAGCGAACAACCGCAACTACGCAAAGCCGTACCAATAGCATCCACAAGACGTTTATTGGAAGACCGCAAGCATCATGTCGAAGATCACGGTCGCTGGTGTGCGTACCAACGTGCAACAACTGCTCCAGTACTCCAACGAGGAGAAGAAGCGCAACTTCCTCGAGACGGTCGAACTCCAGATCGGCCTCAAGAACTATGACCCTCAGCGTGACAAGCGTTTCTCGGGCACCATCAAGCTCCCCAAGGTCCCTCGCCCAAACATGAGCATCTGGTATGTGCACGCACAAGCATAAGAGATGGGAAGGAGCACACTCTGACAGTGTCGCAGCATTCTCGGTGACCAGCACGATATCGATCGTGCCAAGCACGGAGGCGTCGACGCCATGTCCTCTGAGGATCTCAAGAAGCTGAACAAGAACAAGAAGCTCATCAAGAAGCTTGCTCGCAAGTACGATGCCTTCATCGCTTCCGACTCCCTCATCAAGCAGATCCCTCGTCTCTTGGGTCCAGGTCTCTCCAAGGGTAAGCTCACACTCCATACACCGCTATTCATAAACGTACTAATACACATCCCAGCCGGCAAGTTCCCTACCCCAGTCTCCCACTCCGACGATCTGTCTGGCAAGATCACCGAGGTCAAGTCGACCATCAAGTTCCAGCTGAAGAAGGTGCTCTGCATGGGTGTTGCCGTCGGCAACGTGGACATGACCGAGGATGAGCTGATCGCCAACATCATGTTGGCCATCAACTACCTCGTCTCCCTCCTGAAGAAGGGCTGGCAGAACGTGGGCAGCTTGACCATCAAGGCCAGCATGTCCCCACCAAAGCGTCTGTACTAGACGCTACGCTTCAAGGGCATAGGTTTGGATGGGCTGCTTCGAGCGTGTGGCTATCGTAACTGGTAGTTAGTTTGCTCGCCTTTACTGGTTGAGTGCCAATAGAGCCTCGAGTCATCCAAATCTTCGTGCAATTATTTCACACTGACATATACGTTCTGCTGTCTTCGCGACGTTGGTGATGCTCTGCCTGTGTTCTTCAGGCTTTACCACTCCTCCAGTCGCTCACACCACTTCGCTCAACCGCTCAGTCCACACATGGCTAGTACGACATGAGTCGTCGCCGCTTCAGCATTCACGTCACCCAGGTATCCAACTTTTCCTTGTCCGGAGGCGCCAAAGGCCGCTGGTGTCAGAGTCAGGTCGGCGATGGGAGCCGCCGGGAAAACCATCGACTGCGTGTATGACGAAGCATCAGGCAGGTAGACAGCGTCGCTCCGTGGCACCTTCTTGAGCTGTACGGCCTTCTGACTGTAGCGAGGAACGAGGCCCGAGGTGTTGATCTGCTCCATGGCGCCGTTGACATTGAACTCTGTGCGGTTGTACTCTGACATCTGCCATGGCAGAGAGAATGCCGAGAACAGCTTGTCGATATTTGGAGGCGTGACGAAGCTGGGGAAGTGGCAGCCAAAGATGATCGTGCCGCCGTTCTTCACAAAGTTGACGGCCTGGCATGCTGTCAGTCTATCTGTCCCAACGCTGGGCGTCTGGATGAATTTCGGCGTACCTCTGCTCTCAGTCGGTCGTGCTTTTTCTCCGAAAGCGCTTGATCGATGGCTAGCACCACTGGTTTGGCATTGCCATTGAATAACTTGCTGGCCTCGGCGGCGGTGGTGATCTCTTGGAGGTCAGCTGTGGATTTGAGGGCCTCGAGAAGCGACGCCTCCATTTCCTCGTGCCATGGCGGCTTCTCGAGGGCGAGCTGCACGACTTTCGGTCTCGTTGTCGACATTTTGCGTTGTTGGTGGAGTTGAGAAGTAGAGTGTAGGAGAAAGGAAGGCAGGAAAGAGTTTTGCGTCTAATGCGGGTAGCCGTGCTTGCCTATTCTTGCTGGGTTTACCTTGGTGACACAAATGATACCACACAGGCTGGCCTCATCGCTACGTGTACCCTGAGTGTTCCATTCAAATTCATCTCACTCGCAAGCCATCTAGCCGGCCCAAAGTGCGAGCAGAAGCGTGGTCGCTTTTGAAGATTCGGAGAGACAAAGGTTCTGTGCGTTTCACTTGAGCGGAACGACGAGGGCATGAGGGTATTCGCATAACTTCGCAGGATATTACATCACTTGTTTCATACGTTCGACTGAGCGCCTTGTAACACTCCTTGACCCTACCTGTCCCTCAACCCGCACATAGTCATGATCACTTGCAATGTCCCTCCCTGACGACCGACATCACCCACATATCCCACTCGACCTCGACCGACCTTACCCAACGCAGTCGATGTCAAGCTTTGGTTGTTGACCGGTTCCGGGATATATACCATCTCATCGGTACGAGAAGTTGCCGAATAGATGATGTTGCTGGGCTGGACCTTGGCGAGAAGGACAGCTTTGGGGCTGTAGAAGGGCAACAGTCGGGACGTGTCCATTTGAAGTGCAGCAGCATTGACGTGGTTGACCTTGCGATGACTGCTATCGGCTGTCCAAGGTAAGGAGAAGTCCGCGAAGAGCTGGGTCATGTCCGAGAAAGAGGTATTGCTGACGAAGTCGCACACAAAGATGAGTGTCCCTCCACGGTGGACGAATGATATGGCCTAGACGATCATCGACCCGTTCTTCAGAATGTCATGAGGTCGCCTCTGCTAAGGCATGGAAATACCGCTGCTCGTTGACTAGCGAATTGTTCTTCGGTGAGAGCTGAATCAACGACGAGCACGATTGGTCGCGCGATGCCGTTGAGCAGTATATCTGCTGCGCCTTCGGTCGTGACTTCGAGAAGGCTGGTGTTGGAGCGGAGAGCGTCAAGTAGTTTGCTATGCATGATGTCGAACGATGGTAGCTTTGACAGTGCGAGAAGCACGACCTTGGGCTTCGGTGGTGACATGTTTTGTGATATCTGTGGTCTTAGAGATGCGGATTGGAGTGAGAATGAGAACAAAGAACGCGTCCATGTTTACTGGCCTCTCAATTAGTTCTTTCCTGGTCAGTCTTGCCTATTCTTGCAGTCGATCCTGCGTTACACAAAGGCCGAGCTTATTGTCACCTGTCGGCAGCCAATGTCTTTCAGCGGTCAACCAGGAGCATTCTTGTCGGTGAGCATCTCGTGCTGAGTGATAGAGAGAACATGTGAAGCATTGCAGTGACTTGTTGAGAACGGTCTCCATTCACCCACGCCAGCCGTTGATTTGATTCGGCACCTCGTGATTGCTCAGGGTCCGCGCCAAGACGGCGGTCTGAGCACCGTCCAAGTTGCATCTTCAAGGGCACGACTGACCGCAGCGAAACAGCCACGACATCAACAACACCACCACCTTCACATCCGCCCACCCCCATCACCACGACCGGGTGCCTCATATCAGGTGAGTCTTGACCCCTCGCCAGTCGCTGGTGCCTTGCGCATTGGTGCGAATCGGCGGTCAGCCCGTATCGCGCCGCCCAGCCAAATTCAACCACAACACCATCGCCGCCGCAAAGAACACCTGTACCGTCCGTCAAGGCAGTCGAATTACTTCAATCGCCGGGCACGCGATCGGCATCGCATATGTAAAGCGCTGCAGCGGCATAGACTAACTCCAGCCCAGATCGCACTGGTCCCACCACAATACTCCACCCTTTCTGAACCTCTTCCACCACAGACCTCGACAGACACCGCCAACATGGGTCTCACGTTCTCGAAGCTGTTCGACCGCCTCTGGGGCAAGAAGGAGATGAGAATTCTGATGGTCGGATTGGATGCTGCCGGAAAGACCACGATCCTCTACAAGCTGAAGCTCGGTGAAATCGTCACCACCATCCCAACAATCGGTGCGTAACACAAGCGCCGCCATTGAGCTTGATGCCGAGTCACATGCTGACAATATCATTTCGCAGGTTTCAACGTCGAGACTGTCGAGTACAAGAACATCCAATTCACCGTCTGGGATGTGGGTGGCCAGGACAAGATCCGCCCCCTGTGGAGGCATTACTTCCAGAACACCCAGGGTATCATCTTCGTCGTCGACAGCAACGATCGCGACCGTGTGGTCGAGGCTCGTGAGGAGTTGCAGCGCATGCTGAACGAGGACGAGCTGCGAGACGCTCTCCTCCTTGTCTTCGCCAACAAGCAGGATCTGCCCAACGCCATGAACGCCGCCGAGATCACTGACAAGCTCGGCCTCCACAGCTTGAGACAACGCGCTTGGGTATGTCACATCATTGTCTCCCTGCCGAGGTCTACCGGCTAACATTCTTCGCAGTACATCCAATCCACTTGCGCTACCTCCGGTGACGGTCTCTACGAGGGTCTCGAATGGCTCAGCAACTCTCTGCGCAAGGCCGGACACCAGTAAATGCCACGCACGTCATGACAATGCACGAATCATGCCTAGACAGCACACAGATACACACAGTTGATTCACGTGCGACTTTCACCTCGACAATCTCAGAACTCACGTTTGCGGCAGCAGGACAAGCAGAGAGAGCGGATAGGGCAAACCGGATTGGAAGGATTCTGGGGACACACAACACACACAAGTGCTCTCTAGCTTGCCATGGCTATCAGCGGATGTCAAGTGTACTCTTTTCCTCATACCGAAGGTGCTGCGTACTGGTTGATGCTGCATTTACCCCAGGGCGGTGCTTCTTGCAGGGCGTTTTTCTCGAGCTTATCCGGGGATCATGTGCTTGTAACGAGGAACCACCCTCTACTTAGGAGTATGAAAGTTTGCATTTGTTTAGACTTGTTCGTTCTCTCTATCCGTCTTGTCGTGAAATCATTCATCTACAAATTGAAGACACGCTTCAGTAAAAGCCCGCCGAATAGATCCTCACCAGGCGATCCAACACAACGACGAAGCCTATTCCCGCTCTTCCTACCCAACCAATTCCCCGTATCACCCGGCCTCTCGCCCTCATCATCATCCTCACGCTTCTTCCGCGTCCTTCGATCCACAACACACATCCCCCTCGTCCACTGCCCGGAAGTCTCAACACGAAGATCCTCATCCTCGACGAGCTTCCACTCCGAAGGGTCCAGGCCCATACAATACCAGATACACAACGGATCGTGCAGGTCCAGTGCCACATTATCGCCGCTGACGTCCTTCTGCAAGGACTCGACCTTGTCGAAGGTGGAGGTCATGAAGGCTGAGACCCATTCCGCCAGGGGGGAGTTCTGTGCTCGGAGGGGTTCGAGCGTTTTGCGGAAGTCGCCGCGGGTGAGCGAGTGCTTGTGGGTTATGTCCAAGGGGAAGAGGGTGATTTTGAGTTGGCGGGAGAGGTTTGATGGGTATGGCTGGAGGAAAGGTGGTGGGTGGTGGTCTGCTTGCACGCCTGGTGGTGCTGGGGCGGTTGGGGGCATTGTAGAGCGAGGGTTTGGCGAGGAGAGGGCGTAGACTCTTGCGGCTGCGACGGCGTCGGCGAAGGTGTTGAATTCGGCGACGGGGGTGATCTGGTTGCGGAGGTTTAGCTTGTTTCTTATGGGGCCTGGTGGTTGTGTGATCAGGCGGAAGGGGGGTTCCTGGAGTGTTGCTGTGGATGGGTGCGTGGGTGATGGTGCTGGACCTACGTTTCCGCCTTCGTTGATGCTGCCGCCCATGACGACGATCTCTTTTGCTCGGAGGAAGGTCTCTGGGTCGAGAGAGGCGGCGAGCGCGAGGTTTGTTAGGGGGCCGATTGCTACGATGGTGATGGTGTCTGGTTCGTTCTCGCGGAGTAGTCGAAGGATCTCTTTTGAGGATGGCACACGGGAGGGGGTGAAGAGGGCGTCTGTATTTTGTAGCTCTTCGGCGACTGCTTGTTCTTCTGGATCGTTTGAGTTCTCGGCGTGTTGAAAGAGCTCCTTCCATGTCTCTGCTGGAGTCATATGGGAATGCTGAAAAATATGTTAGAGACAAGGACGGAGGGTAGGGTAGTCCATCACTTACACTCTCATGGATACCGCCAAGTCCATCATGACCATCTACAATGTTGCATCAGCCATATATCGAATGGGGCGGCTCGTTACTCACGAAAGAAGTCGGCCATCAAGATCTGATCTGCTAACGGATGATCAGGGCCAACAGCTACAAGAGGCTTGGTTTTCTGAAGGGTCTTGAATCCAGCGTCCTTTCCCTGGGACTTTCTCCAAGCAATTTCCTTCTCGACATGATGGAACAGCGAGACAGTGTTTCGTAGACAATTATGAACATCGATGTTGCCATACGTGACGGAGATCAACAGAACCTCGAGCTCCTCAGGGGTACTTGATAAGGCCAGTAGGATCGCGAGGATATCGTCGACGCCCTGATATCCTTATCAGTCTTATACATAATGGAGTGAAATGAGCATGTTCGTACTGGGTCTGTGTCTATGATGATCTTGCGAGCCATATTGAGTTATGACTCCTTCCTCTTAGAGTCAGGATCTGAAGATCAGAATGAAAATGGCGCCTTTTAGAGTTTTAAGAGATCGAGAGAATATATTTTGCGGGTAGTAAGCCAAGATCGAAGTCGTAGGGAGATATGAATATTGGTATGTATGATCGACGCAAAGGGGAGCTTCTCTCATCAGAATATGCATAGGCCAAGTTCATGCAAAGACTTCTGGCCCACCCTCAGCAGTCCCAGCGCTTTCGAGATCGAGCCGAATTTTCGCTATATCCAGCTTCGGCTTCACAGCCACGAAGTCTTTCTTTCCTTTCTTCTTCAATGTCAATACAGGCTACCTTTAGAGTCTCGGTGCGAACACTCAATGTTTGTTCAGGTCCACAGGGCCTCTTTGCGTGCTCCGGTAGTCTCAGATCGAGATACGCTCGCCCATTCAACCTTCGTTCCGACCACACTCGAGGGGATGCAAGTTTCGAAGGAGTGCGCGTGACAATTTTGCTATGTACAGTCCGGTTCTGGATGCTTATTTGGTATTCTATTTGACGCCGTCTGCTCGCTGCTTCATCTTGAGTCTGGACCGGTTTCAGGATGCTGGCGTACTCGCTCGAGACTTGGCCGACGTACCTCAGCAGATTTGCCTTTGGACAGCTCACTGTGGACGCGTCGTCTCCGTTCTTCTGATAGAACAGATTGCAGCACTCATACAGAGCATCGATCTGGTAGGCGTCAGAAGGGTCAATGGCAGCAATGATGGAGGATAGCAAACATACTTGCTTTTGGCACTTGTCCTCTTTGTAGTTGTTCTTCTGGATGCAGTCTACTTCTCCGTCAGCACTGCACAGCAACGCCAGATACTACACGTTCGCACCTTGAATAGCACATGCTTGGGGATGGCAAGGCGGATCGCTCTTCAGGCCTTCTTCAGGTTCTTTGACCTGTGGCTGCTGTCAGTGACGTACGAGTTCTGCCAGAGTCTACTGTGAAATTACCATTATCACATGCACTTCTGAAAGGCGGAGGCCGTCAGAAGCAATTCCACATGCAGAATCAAGAAAGTAAATGAACAGATTGTCTTTCGTCACAATATCAGTCTGCTTGTCTTGTGAACGGAAGGTTTAAAGGTGAGATCGTCGCTTGGCAGTGCTTCCTGTCTTTGATGCAACACTGACCCCACCCAACATCGCCGCCGACATCGACTTCACTTTTCCTCCACACACCACTCCACTTGTCTACCGACTCTACCACCAGATACTCCATATCGCGGACCGTCGATCTCAAGGTACGTCTCAGAGCCATCGCCCAAGAGACAAGCACCCGTCCCACATCCAGGCATCGTGTCTCACAGCCGCCCACTTTCTCCAGACGTCGATTGACCTCTTCACAGCGCGACCTGACATCCAAGGCTACATTCGTCGCGCCACGAGCGAGCATTCACCTCACGCGCTCTTAGTCATCGGCGAAAAGCTATAAAACCCCCACAAACCTTCATTCTCGACCTTCAACCTTTCCTCCACACCACACAACCAGTTCGCCTCACTTCGATCTCCTTAAGTCCGACTTTGCCTCCTCCCACTCAACACCATGGCGGACGAGAACAACGGTACCCCCTTGGGCGATCGACCAGAAGAGCAGCAGGCATCTGAGCATCTGAATATCAAAGTCACGGACAACAACAACGAGGTCTTCTTCAAGATCAAGCGCACAACTCAGCTCAAGAAGCTCATGGACGCCTTTTGCGAGCGTCAGGGCAAGTCAGCACAGAGCGTGCGATTCCTCTTCGACGGCCAGCGTGTGAACCACTCAGATACCCCAGACACGGTAGGTGGAGTCGTGATACTCCTTTGACATGTGTGAGTCGCATACTGACGACAACGCTAGCTCGAGATGGCAGACGGCGACACCCTCGAAGTCCACCAAGAGCAAATCGGCGGCTTCTGCTAGTCGCGAGACCATACAACTTCTCGGACCAGCACGACTATGGATGCAGCCTTCACCTTCAAGCAGAAGCGCAGACTATCGTCTGACCGGCTTCACACCACCACTACACACGGCTTATGGAATTTGCTTTTGCGGACAGATGATGACGACGAGCATGAGAGACTTACGACGGGCGTGAAAGCTCCAAAAGGCGCCTTCGGCGTCGGCACATGGAGTACAGCTACGGCTCTTTCTCATGGCAGGTGGATGATTTCTCGATTATTCGATGGATTAGCTCGGCGTCATGAAATGCGACTTGATACACAAATATTCGGCATGTTCCAACCCTTTCCTCTTGTCAAAGCAACCGGCGGCCTTCTTTAAATTGAGACTCGCACTCTTAGAACGTATGTCCGTGGCCCCCTTTCTCCTTCGCCACTTTACACAATCCCTGCCTGTGGAAAATATCTCGAACCAATCTTCCCAGCTCGCCAGCAGAACTGCTCCGCTCATGTCACGTGTAGGAAATTCGATCGACGCTCAAAATCGATAAGTTATGCAGCAAATCAGTATCAGGCAACCGCATGGAACAGCTACTGGTAGGAATTTCTCTGCATTTCGAAGAAGTTCATATTCTACCAAGAAATCCTCTAATCTGTGACACATATCTACAAATCTCGAACACCACCATCCCATCCCATCTCATCTACCTACTATTAGCAATCTCCACCACCCTCTTCGCCGCATCCTCAAACTTATCAAAAGCATCCAAACCCAACCCACTCTCCGCAATCGTCTTCTGCCCCACCTCCTCATTCGTGCCCCGTATCCTCACCACGACTGGCACATTCTTCATATCCACCTCCTTAAACGCCAGCAAAATCCCATTCGCAATCATCCCGCCATCCGTCAAGCCACCAAAGATGTTCACAAAGATGACTTTGACCCGGGGATCTTGCAGGATGACTTCGAAGCTCTTTTTCACGGTTTCGGACGTCGCTTTGCCGCCCGTGTCGAGGAAGTTGGTCGCGTGGCCGCCGTGCAGGCGCAGGGCGTCGACGGTGTTCATGGCGAGACCCGCGCCGTTGACCAGCGTGCCGATTTTGGCGTCCGGGTCGTCGAGCCGGACGTAGACGATGCCGTCGTTTTCGGCTTCGAGCTCGGCGGGGTCTTCCTGCTCTTTCTGGCGGAGGCGGTGGACGTCCTCCTGACGTTTGCAGCTGCGGTACGCCGCGTCGTCGAACATGAGCGTCACGCTGGGTTGGTGCAGTTTGAGGTTGCCGGAGCCGCCGACGCTGACGCAGCCGGAGAGGATGATGGCTTCTTTCTCCTTGTACATTTTGGCGAGGCTGGCGATGAGCTGGTGGATTTGCTGCTTGGCGGCTTGGGGGGCGGAGTCGAGTTGGAGGTATTCGATGGCTTGGCTGATGAGGGCGTTGGAGGGGCCTTCTTGCCAGTCGTAGGTGAAGCGTTTGACGCGGGCGTCGATTTGGGATTCGTCTGCTGTGGGTGCGACGGCGATGCAAGGGGATCGTTCGGTGCGGTCGACGATGATGCCGAGATAGAAGCCGTCTTTGGGAGCTTCGTCGAGGGAGAGGGAGATGCCTTCGATTTTGCTGAGGTAGGGGTAGAGAGGGACTGGTCGGAGTTCGGGGGCGATGTAGAGGCTTCGCTTTTGCTGTTGCTGCTGCTGGGAGACTGGACTTCTTCTCGGACGCTGCTGTGATCTCATCATGGCTGGGCTCCTGCGAAGGGTGTGGTATCCGCGTTTCTGCTGGTTGGTCTGAACGCTTACTTGGATCTTGCTCACGTCCCTGCCAGATTGCTCGAGGAGTGTCTTCATGACGCCGCCGAAGTTCTCTGGGTGATCGACCATCGTTGCCCCCGCTTCCTTGAGGATGCTGTACTTCTCGTCCGAGTTATGTTCTCCTCGAGCTGCCCAAGCACCTGCGTGGCCCATGATGCGGCCTGGCTTCGCGGTCTTGCCTCCAACCAGAGCTGCAATCGGCTTCGGGTTCTTGGTTCTCTTGAGGTAGTCCTTGATCCAATCTGCCGCATCCTCCTCGGCCTTGCCGCCAACCTCGCCAACGATGACGATGCCCTCAGTCTCAGGGTCTGCTTCAAAGACTTTCAGAGAGTCGACAAGGTTGGTGCCAGCAATGATGTCTCCGCCCATGCCTATGCACAAGCTCTGACCAAGTCCTGATCGAGTGATCGATGCTACAGCTTCGTAGGAGAGTGTGCCTGATTTCGCGGCAATGCCGATGTGGCCAGGAGCGAAGGTGGGTAGAGGCTGGAAACCGATTCTGCAGAAGCCGATGGGTGCGATGATACCAGGGGCGTTGGCGCCTACGAGTCGTGATTTCGATTGCGTCTTGAGTATGCTTGCTACCTGGAGGGTGTCAGTGTCTCATTGCCATAATCTCAAGGAAAGCTGCGGACTCTCATGATATCGTGAACCGGGATATGCTCCGCGACAGAGACAATCAAAGGAATCTCAGCTTCTATAGCATCCTCAATGGCCTTCCCGCACTGCGGTGCCGCCACAAAGACAGCCGTAGCATCAGGCTTCAGCTGCTCCTTGGCCTTCTTGAGATCCGGCAGCAGAGGAAGACCAATATGCTCTCCCTCCTTCCCAGGCGTGACACCTCCAACGATGTTGGTGCCATACGCCAAGCTATCTTTTGCATTGCCCGTCGCCACACGTCCTGTGAAACCCTGGTAAATGACTCTGGTGTGCTTTCCTATCCGCAGGTTTTGGACGGTATCATCGTATGAGCTCCTGATGGACGAGGAGGTGAATGTTCTTCTTGAGCTTCGTGGGAGAGAATGTCTTGAGGAGTGTGAGAGCAAGGAAGAAGCTTGAGAGCTTCGCAGGGCAGCCATTCTTGCGAGAGACCAGCCTGCCGGCACGCAGGAGTTGAGGTAGTTACAAAGGAAAAGGAGCAAAGCTGTTCAGGTAAAATGTTATGGCCTAGCCGCCCACACACACGACATCATCTGGGGCAGTTCGTCAATGCATCTTATACCGTTACCGAGTCCCGCCGGGAATAAAGAATGTCGATCGAGGACCCGATACCGGGCCTGGGGAATAAATCAGATTACCTGTTCCTGCATTGAGATCCGGGAATAATTGGCGTTGGTGCAAATAGCATGTGTTGTATTTGTTGACGGGAGTGAAGGTCTGCATCCTTACCCCTTTCCCTCGCGACTGGCTGATCTCGTCAACATGTTCTTCGTGATGCTGCTGCGTCACCGATCAACCAGACAAAGACAAGAGCTTCCAGAGCTTCGAGAAGGATTTAGAGTTAACGGAACCCCGCGTATCTATTTGAATCCACGAAATCGCCAATTCACGTGTCTTCCGTGCAACTGCTCGTTCGGGCGGCATAGACATTTCGAGATCATGACTCGCTTATCTGACGCGGCAGCTTCTTCTCTGCACTACTTTCTTCCTCCTCTCCAACCTCGATCACCACCGCCACCATGTCGAAGGACTCTGCCAGAGGCGTCGCGTCGTCCCTGGGCAAGCTGAACCTCGCCAGTGAGAAGGCTGCTTCTAAATCCAAGAAGACTCCTGTCGCGGACTCGTGGGAGGATGATGCGAATGAGAGCTCCGGCGATGAAGGACAGGGCCAAGGCACCTCGACGCCCGTGAGGCCAGGCACGTCGGACATGCCAGACGCACCACCTCCGACGCCTTCATCACCATCGCATACGAGGGAGCGTGACATGGAATATCAGTCATTCCAGTCACTTCAGTTCGGCGGTGGCTTTGATAGTCCCTCTTCGAGACCTGGCACGAGTGGCGACGAGCGGCGGCCTGATAAGACGACGTCTGTTGCTTCGAGGCTCATCGCAGCTGGGATTGGGCAAAAGGCACCCAAGAGGACCAAAGAGCAGCGCGAATACGATCAAGCTATGAAGCTGCAGGAGAAGAAGAAGCGGGATCAGGCGAAGGAGGAAGAGGGAAGGAAGCGACGGGAGAAGGAGCAAGCGCAGAAGGATATTTGGGGTGATTGAGGGAGGAGCCAACGGCATGCACACTACCTGCCGCCAACCGCAATGCCATGTCGTGGTCATGCATGTCACTGCAAGCCTGCACGCTGCAGACGTGTCAGAGGCCTACCATCCCGCTGCAAAGCCAACGTAGCTTCTGCAACACATCAGCGCAACATGACTCCGCGAGGCCGACTTTCTACCACTGGAGAGATCTTGGTCATCGATTGGCCTGTCAAAGCTTAACGAACATTGGCCTCTATACTACTCCTACTCCTGCGAAGAGATCTGGATGCCAAACATGGTCTTCTAAAATACCGTTTCCATTGAAGACGAAGCCATCACCTAGCTCAGCCAGGAGTGAAGCATCAGGCCCATTGGGCATAGGGAAAGGCATGTTGGGCATGAACTCCATGGCTTGACCGTTATCATACTGTTGCGTTGCGCTGGACAACAAAGGCTCTGGTTGTTGGACTGATTGCTCATGATGGTGCTGCTCCTGGGACTGGCGAGTCGATGGCGGTAGGTCCTCTTCAGCTCCTTCCATAGCCAATCGAGCAGCCGTACCGTCATCAAGATACCTGAAGTACAACCGTAGCACCCAGTTCGTCACATCCCAAGTTTTCTGCAGTTCACGGAGTCCAAGCAGGCAGATTTTGGCCCTGTATACTGCCAAGGTCCTTCTCTCGCCCGTCCAGGTTCGAAGTCCCAGCGTTTGGATGCAAAGAGTGTTGAAGATGTTGGTGATGACATGGATTTGACAATGGCCAATATCCTTGGACGACAGCATATCTTCTACGATCCGACAGATCGCCGTCGATGCGTCCACAACGTGGCTGCTACACATCCCACCGTTCTGTTCATTTCGAAGCTCAGGTCGATCGGATTGGAACATCAGGATTCTCAGGTTGTGGTATGCCATCAGCAGCATGTTGACGTAGAAGTTTCTACAGGCTGCGCCGTCGGCGACGCTGATGGGCATGGTGCCCAGATGATCTGCTCGCCATCGCAGCAGCTTTGCATGCAGGTCTGGGTGCTCACTTGCGTCGACCGTCCTGCTGGGAGGGTAGCATGTCTGCAGTACCTCGCCGAGCAAGGTTGCCATTCTCGCCATGCCCATGTTGAAGTTGATGACAACGTCGACGTTTTCCGCCGCGAATGTGGGCATGAAGGCTAGGGCAAAATCCTCCCTCCGCAGGCTCTCGACATCGCAGTCCTCATCGCGGATGCGATTGGGTAGACCTAATGTAGCCGCATTCTGTCTTTCACGAATGTAGACCGCCCACCAGAGCCGCTTTCGAACTCCTTGCGCATGACCCGTTCGATGGAAGCCCATCTTCTGCAGCAATGCAATCGCAGCCCCTATCCAATGCCTCGAATCCTTCTCCGCCAACGGATCGCCTCGCCAGAAGCTCATCAAGAACAAAGACTGTCCGATGACCAGCTTTGAGGACTCGAAGTCGTTGTCGTAAAGAGTCTTTACTCTAGAGAAGAACGCGTGCTTGGCTTCCTGTCGAGACTTGTGCCCAAGTTTTTCGAGCACGGAGTCCTCGCAATGCGTGGCACCGATGAAGAGGAGTGATTGGAGGAGTAAGGCCGGTATGGCGTTGGTCTGCCATCTCTTCCATATGTCAGGCTCATCGACGATGGGGAAGCTGTAATGAAACCATCGAAAATAGGCTGTGAGGAGTGCTTCCTGCAGATGTCGACTGGGAAATTTGAGAGCAGCTTCGCAATTAACAGGTCCACAACTCCATTGATGGCTCGGCTCTGCATCGACACGGTGCCTTCCATGTCTTCCTGAGGATGGATTTGAGGCGTTCTGCACGTATCGCAAGGCGTTGGATTCGCCTAGGAAGATCTCGTCTTCGTCCTCGAAGGCTACAACCGATGTTCCACTCCCTGGGTTGATACGATCTATTCCAGACCCGGCAGGAACTTCTTCATCCTGAGTCACTGCCTCGACCTCTGGCCGCAGTTGCCCATCAGAAGCTGCGGGTCGTGTGTGCGCCGTGACTCTTCGATGTTTTCCACGCATAGAGTCCCTCTCCTCGCAAGTCAGACCCTTCTGTCGACATCGGCTACAAGGTACACCAGCAGATACATCGCACTTAACTCGGTGCGCGTGGCAAGCGTGGCATGCTTGTGCTGCCCGTTTCCTTGGAGGCATCTGAGAGTCGGCGAAGCTGGATATCGGTGACAAGCTCAAGTCGGTTATGGCCGTCCAACTTCTCCAAGTCGGCTATTTGGATCCCTGCACACTGCGTTACGTGAGCGCGTACAGCATCTCTACCTCCACGCCAGATACTGGTCTTGTTCTTCGCGACCGCCTATGCGAAAAAGTTTTTCGTATCAGTCAGCTTCCGAAGTTCTTGCATCTCGCTTTTGCACATGCTCTAGCGGAATTTTGACGTCAGCTGGTCAGAGCGCTCTTTTCTGAACGAGACCGAGCAAAGAGCAACAGCCTGAGATTCTGGAGGATCAACGCGACTATTGTTGGCCATGTAGCCGACTTAAAAAGTGGGTTGGTTTCAACAACGAGGCGAGCTGATAAGTGCAGGAGCGTATATAGTCGTCTCCTTCGAACGATGGAGTAGTGAAGACAACCAATACTTTCTTCATCTCCGGGTACAATGTCCACGCACACCGTCTTCCGCCTCACGCATCGCAACGGCTTCGATGGGATTGAAGCATCCACCGAAGCTATCCCTGAATTCGACAGACATGAACTCCTGATCAAAGTCCGCAGCGTTGCCCTCAACTTCCGCGACATCGCCATTGCCACATCGAAGTACCCCTTCCCGGTCCAGGAAAACGTCACGCCATGTTCCGACGCCATGGGAGAGGTCGTCGAGGTCGGTGCCTCGGTTCCTGGCTTTGAGAAAGGAGATCCCGTCATAGTGGCCTTCGATCCTACTGCTCTCTACGGAACAATCAACAATTGGAACAACGGACTAGGAGGCCCAGTCGACGGCGTACTCAAGCAATACATTTGTGTCTCCCACCAAGGCGTCATCAAAATACCTAAAGAGAGTTCCCTCAAGGAGGAGCAATGGGCGGCGTTGGTATGCACCGGCGTAACAGCCTGGAACGCCCTCTACGGCAACATCCCCCTCCGTCCAGGCCAGACCGTGCTCTTCCAAGGCACCGGCGGCGTCTCCGTAACTGGCCTCGCCCTGGGGAAAGCCGCCGGAGCCAAAACCATCATCACATCCAGCAGCGACGAGAAGTTGAATTACGTCCAATCCACGTTCGGCGCCGACTACACCATCAACTACAAGACGACGCCGGACTGGGCTGCAGAAGTCCAGAAAATCACCAACGGCGTTGGGTTCGACTATATCCTCGAAAACGGCGGATCCGGAACGATTAAGCAATCCATCGAAGCCATCAAATTCGGCGGTATCATCTCCGTGATCGGGTTCTTGTCTCGAGCACGCCAAGAGGAGATGCCGGACGTGGCTGCTCTTGCTTTGTCGAAAGGTTGCGTTGTGAGAGGCATCATCATCGGGTCGAAGCAGCAGCTCGAGGAAGTGGTGCGATTTGTGGGCAGTCACGACCTGAAGATTCCGGTGGAGAAGACTTTTGAGTTTTCGAAGGAGGGGGTTGTTGATGCGTTGAAGTATATGACTTCGGGTTCGCGTATTGGGAAGGTGTGTATCAAGGTCGGTTGATTTGGATGATGTAGATGGTCGTTGTACATCGCTTGGGAGATATCTCATTACGTCTCGTCCATCGACCCATGCTACTCTCTCGAAGAGACATGTCTGTTTTGTCGTGACCTTCCGCCTTGCTGTAACGGTGCTTCCTGGAAACACCTTTTCAGGAGTATCGCGGATCTTCGTGAACGTGGGCGGCAGGTCTCTGCATGCTCCCATGAGACCGTGGCCTTTAATAAAAATTGTCGCCTGCTGGTATGAGAAAAGAGAGCCGTGGCACATTTTCCAAATGAAGTGCTGAGAGATGCGAGGTTCGAGTAGAAGATCTAAAGTCTTGTTTCGCAGTATATATGAAGGTCCGAAAGCACGGAGTCTGTCGTATTGCCCCTGAAATCCACGTCTCTCCAAACCCCTAAAGCTTCGATCCCGAACTCTGCTCCAACCTCTTCAATGCCCGCTCGTAATTCTTGCCCAATTGACGAACCATGAGGTCAAGCATCACGTCTTCTGAGCCACCTGGAATACGCTGACCATTGACTTCCCTGACCATTCTCTCTGCGATCTCTCCCTGACCAGATCGAGTGTATCCCGAACCGCCGAATAGCAATACGGCACAGTCTGCACACTCTTTGAGCACCATTCCAGCGTTGGCCTTTGCTGCGGCGGTCAATCCTCCAAGGGCAACGTCTGCGTCTTCCTTCTTCATCGTTGTCATCTGGTACACGAATTGCTCCACCCAGGCGCTCTGCGACTCCAAGAGGGTTCCAGCCTTTGCGAGTCTGTGCCTCACAACCGGCTGGTCGAAGAGTTTCTTGCCAAACGCCTCCCTCTTCAACACGTATGAGAACGCAGCTGACAGGGCGACTCTCGCTTGTCTCGTAGCGCCGACAGCGATGGTAAGCCGCTCGTGATTGAAATTCGTCATTATATATCTCATGCCTTGTCCTTCTTCTCCAATGAGGTTCTCCACAGGCACCTCGACGTCGTCCAGCTCAATGAAGGTAGTGCCGGCGCTGATCTGTCCTTGAACCTTCAGCCGCCGCATTTCAACTCCCTTGTGGCCCTTGAGCGGCACGACGATCATCGATAAGCCTGAAGGCCCGGGTCCTCCTGTACGCACGGCCATTGCTGAGAGATCCGCCCAGTACCCGTTCGTGATCCATTTCTTGGTGCCGTTGATGATCCACTTCTTCCCGTCCTTACTCTTGACGCCAGTGGTGCGAATGTTCGCCACGTCAGATCCAGCGTCTGGTTCCGTAATCGCAATGCAGGTTCTCTTCCGTCCAGTGAGTAGATCGGGCAGAAATCGCTTCTTGAGCTGCTCATTACCGAACTTAATGATAGGCGGTACACCAAAGGCCATGCCAGTAGTAAGACTGCCAGGTGGCCCCGCCAAACCACTCCTCATCATCTCGTCGCCGTAGATGTAATTGTGGAAGTATGTGAAGTCCTCTACCTTGACGCCAAGGATATCGTGGATTCCAGCATCCTTCAATTCTTTCACTGGAAGAGGAGCCGGCAATGAAGGGATGAGCATGTTATGCTTGTTGAAGTCTCCAAAGACATGCTCTGGAACAGTTTCTTCCTTTTCCCAGTCCCAGGCATACTGTGTCAAATGCTCTGTGATGAAAGCTCGGCATTTTTGTTGCCACTCTCGAAGTTGTGGTGTCATCCAGGGAACCGGCAAGCCTTGAAGGTATGGCGGCTCAGAGAATGGGATTGGAACTTCTGTTGGAATGGTCGCCATGGTGATGATTAAACACGAAGGACAGGGAATGTAGCGGGTTCCTCCAGAGGGCGCGCTTGGAGGTCACTTTCTATACGTCAGGTATTCCACGGTCTGAAGGTCAAAGTATTGCTCCCAAGATGAAGAGTAATCTTGACTCGATGCAATGGTGTCGAGGACGTCGGCCGAGGGTACTGCGAGATCTGTGGGGAGAGCTGCGGTTGCTACACTTGCCGAACCGAGCGAAAGTGTGAGGGCTCACGTGGCTGAACATGCAAGTCCAAAGTCTAATTATCCCCGGGCATGCACGGCGGGAGAATATCACACATTACACTTCCTCATCCGATGCTTCCAAAGCAACGACATCGGGCAGCTCCCTCACATCGACCGTTTGCCGGGTGTCCAGATCCAGAATCCTCAGAACACCCAGGTCCAGTACTCCTGTCTTCAGGACCCGAAACCTCAAATGGGCCTCGAAGCAAGCGCCGGTGGGTAAGGGACCAATTCGAACATCGGCGTTGAGGTCGTGGACATCGGGTGGCTTCGTTCTCTCCAAAAGCGGTGCATTGAAGATGTTGGCTATCAAATCGGCATCGATGGTAGTTGCTTGAGACATGGTCGCTGTTCGAGATTTCCGAGGCCGAAGCATCATCAGTCCGAATCTGCGTGTTCGACCGGAGCGGTTGTTACAATGCACATTCAACTTCAGCTCCTCGTTTCTGTGTGTGGTTGCTGCAGCCGAGAAGCTGAATGTAATCCCAGATGCCCCTCCCTCGCTCGCCTTCGGAAACGTATCCATCGTTGCTACACTGGGATTTGACTGCGTTGAGAGCCCTCGATGATGTCCAGACATAGTGCTGAGAGGCCGAGACCAACGATACACCGGCTTTGGCAGTGTTTGTGAGAGGTCCACTTGTGCCTGCCAGTTGATGCTGAACTTGATGTTAGATCCCTGATCGAGAGTGGCCTCTGCGGATATTGCAATGGAAACTAGAGTTGCTGCAGGAGCTGCTGATGGCTTCTCGCTCTCTAACGCGGCAAGTTTGTACAATATTATCGTTTCGTCCCCGCCGCGGGTGTCGAGAGGTAAGGCAACGTTCGTCAAATGTTCGATCTTGGTGTGAGGCACGTCAAGGTCTACCGCGGTGATGGTAACTGTTCCGGCAATGATATGAGAAGTTTCTAGGTGAAGGCTGGCAATCATAGCGTCCGGCAAAGCAGAATATCTGATCTTGCTGAAAAGTGCCGGAACTGCAGGAAAGGCTCGCTTGGAAGCGCCTCTAATGGGTTTGACAGCATCTTTCAGATGCGTTGCTTTGGGCGCAACTTTTGTGATCCTTGATTCAGCCAGTGATACTTTGGGCCCATGCAGGGCCGGGTCGAATTGAAGAGGTTCCAGCACATTGGAAGGGAGCGGTTCGAAGCTTTTGAGGTATTCCTTCTGGCCAACTGAATTCGTCCCCTTCCCTCCACTGCTGGTGGTGACATTGGCCGTAAAGTAGATCGCTGGACGCTGGAGCCGGGCTCTAGGCCGAGAGAGATGAAGTGTCGGTTTCCATGTTACGTAGGTTCTGCCTTCGGTGGCCACGAGATCCGTGCAACTGCTTCCAGGGAATGACTTCGAGCCCAGGTCATGTTTCCCTTGGGCTGAAGCAGCATTTCCACTGCCTTGAGGTACAGCATCCGTAGCATGAGCGCCTAGGACCAATTCGATATCCGGGAGAATGTCGCGTACTTCGTATTCGCTGGCCGAGGTCTTGAGCACCACGAGCAGGCTTGCTTGTTCATCTACGCGTCTGAGTCTGAGTAAGCTGGAGTCTGCGGTGCAGATTCTGAAACTGTACCGAAGAAGAGGTTTCGTCGTGCAGGTGCTCGCGAGACCTCGTCAGGGGATCCATCGCGAATGAGCGCTCCGGCGTCAAGGTCTGAGGATTTGGGCAGATGGACGTCGAGGAATGCCGATTGTGAAAGCGCCTCGAAGCGCGTCTTGATGTCCATTGCAGACATGTGCGCATTTAGTGCCACGTCAGGGGCGATGGGTGTTGGTTAAGAGCATGTGAAGGCGTCGGCAAGGAAGCCCTGCGTCAGTGTCTCGCGGGCTCTCGCCCCACCACTTCCAACTTGATGGCCAAACAAAACTTAGATCTTGACAACCACTTTCCAACATCTTACCAACACAGTCACGACCTATCTGCTGCATAGACCTGCCATCCGCGACTCACACCACGTAACCGCAACACAACATGGGTGCGAAAGTCCCGCGCAACTTTCGCCTGCTCGAAGAGCTCGAGAAGGGCGAGAAAGGCCTAGGAGCAGGTAAGGCTGAACAAACACCAACGATGCCCATCCACTAAGACTGACTCAATCACAGAGGCATGCTCCTACGGTCTCGACGATGGCGACGATATTACCATGACCAACTGGAACGGCACCATCCTCGGGCCACCTCACGTGCGTACCTTATATCTGACGAGCGATATGACGAAAGAGAAAGTAAACTGAAGAGATGGTATACAGAGCGTCCATGAGAACCGCATCTACTCCCTCCAGATTGTCTGCGGACCGAATTACCCAGAGTCGCCGCCCGAGGTGACGTTCATCAGCAAGGTCAATCTGCCTTGCGTGGATCAGCGGACTGGAAAGGTAGGATGCATGAGATAGCATATGGGAACATGGATGACTGAATCGACGTTTCCAGGTGGACCTCACGAAGCTCCCGAGCATCAGCGTGTGGAAGCGAGACTTCACCATGGAGACGGTCCTCATCGAGATACGGCGATACATGGCAGCGCCGGCCAACAAGAAGCTCCCACAACCACCAGAGGGCACCAACTTCTAGACGACACATAACATGCAGCTGAGCTCCGTCTCTTACGACTTTACTACAGCATTCGTGGCACTTTGATTTTACAGCATAGCCAAGGCGAGGCGTTTCAGGCGTTTAGAATGATGATGAGTCACTCGATAGCAAGAAAGCAATGGACATGAATGAGCTCGGACAACGATAACTGTGTCCAAGTCTTGTTGTAGCATTTCAACGTCTATGTCTAAGCAGCTGCAGGAGTCGCAGCAGCATTGCTATCAAAGGGTATATCCGCCCCACGCACGTCTAATGTAGATAATCTACGTCGCGCTATACACAAGAGCCATAGCCTTTGCGTTCCTGGGCTCAATGAACAAAGCTTCCGCCTCGACGAGCCTGGTCCCATTTCCATCTTCATCCCCCAGCAGCTCAATCCACCCCTTCACCCAAGCCTTGCGGCCTTCCACTTTGGTCGTCTCAGCTTTAAGGACAACATAGCTGTTCTCAGGACACGGCACGCGGTAGTCAATCTTCAAGCTCGCAGTAACACCGACCTTGTTCGGCAGAGCTGGGAAACAAGCACGCGCCAGCCCTTCATCCAGCATCGTCGCCAGGAGACCTCCGTGCACAATCCCCGGGTGTCCACAAAGCGCGGGACCTAAGAACGAGAACTGCACCAGAGTCGGCAGCTCCACATCCTTCTCGCTGAACGTAAGAGGCGGCACTTCGATCTTGTTCTCCCCCAACAACGTACCCCCCGTCAAATTATGTGGCCGCATCGCAGGCGGGATCTTCAAATGCGGTCGGCTCTCCACCATGTTCTCCTGCGTGCGAAGCTTCTGCGCGAGGGGATGGTTTCGAATGTGTTCGTCGATCTCGACGGATGTTGGGGTGGATGGGACGAAGAGATCTAGAGTTTCGGCGTCGGTCGGGGGGTTGATGAAGCCATTGACGGCTTCGACGGCGGGAGAGGCGGCCATGAAGAAGCCTGTTGTGAAGAAGACGACGACCAGGGATGAGGTAAAGAGGATTGAACGTATTCGGGATGGAGGTTTGGGATCGGAGGTGGTGGAGGAGTTGGTGGTATCCTTGGCAGCAGTATCACTCGACCCCGAAGCTGACGAAGTGGACTCAGAGGACGCAGCCGACGACTGGAATCTCCGCTGCTTTAAATACACCCGTGGTATAGAAATTCCAGTGTACTTGTGAGACCTCGCCGCAAGAGGAGGACTAGGAGGAGTTCCGCCGCGTGCTGATATCGTCGCCAGAGACCTCGTCACGCCAACCCCAAAAGCCTCCGAGATTACTGCGGTCCTCAACGCAGGCGGCGACGCGAGCAGCTTTGCGAAGACGAGCTTGGTAGCCTTGTTGGTCGTGTGCATTGTCTGCGGTTTTTCGGCGATGGTACGAGAATATCGGCCGTACGTAGAGGCGGCGACTGGCGCTACTCGTTGCGCGTTCGGCGAGCGTGGGTGGAAAGAAACTTTTGGTGAATGCCGGGTCGGTGGTTCTGCCGATTTCGTAGGGCAATGCCGAGGTGGTTTTAGGTGAGAACGGGAACGGGAAAGGGGGAGCAAAAATATCCGATGTTGGCACGTGCGCTAAGCTTTCATTCACTTCACCTCTTGCGCTAAGAAGCATCTGCTGCGCTTGTGCTATGCTGTCCTGAAACGGCCTTCTTGTGAGGCTCACTCCACTCCAATCTTCATCTCCAAACTCGCGATCATCCCCAGAACTCTCTGCTCGACACACTGCCTCTCCAACCGCGAGATGGCTTGATCGCCTGAGATTTGCGTGGCATCTCAGCGGAAAACACGTCGAAACCGGTCACCCAGGCCAGAGCGCTGCCGGCCGCCCAATGGATTATCTCTGAGCGCTTGGCGCCTCTGCTCTGGCGCTGCCCGCCGCATTTGGCACCGCGGGTTATATTGCCTCTCCAGTTCTGCGATTTCGCCCCCGATCTCCGTCAAACTGGTCTCTACCATGCTGCCGTGCTCGCTGCTCTGCTCGTTGCTGCTGCTCTGGATGCGAGGATTCTGGTCAGTTTTAACCGCCGATCCCCCATCAGAGCCGGCGCCGTCGTGAAGAAGCGTATAGCCAAAATCTGCCGTCAGGGGCTCGGTGGATGGAGTAGAAGCTGCTCGGTCGGTCGTGTGGTTGGTCTGGTCTTCTCCTTCGACTTGCGACTCCTCGTCGACCTCTTCAATCGGGGAAAGCGAGAATGCGGGCCTCTCTATTGGTGGTGATGGCGAGGGCGAAATGGTGTAGAGTGAGCTTGCAGGTGATTCTTCTGGACTGTCTGGTTCTGGTGAGACCATAGCCGTGAGTGTGAGTGTACTGCTTGATCGAGGAAGGCCGGCTCTCGTCGGTCTACAAGCGGTGATCAGTTGAGGTCCATGAAAAGGGGTTGACCCGAGGGGGGTCGATATTTGGTGTTGCGCTGGGAAGAATTGCAAACCTTTGAGTACTGTTCTCGACCTCGTTACGAAGCTTGTATGAGCCACGGGATTTGCGTAACTTGTTCAGAGTCTTGCTGAGACCAGCTGACGGACTCTCTCCTCCCGCAGGCGTCGTAGTAGGATATGCTGCCTCATGCTGGGCGCGAGGAGGGGTGACCATATCGAATCGAATCTTGTCGGCGCGGTTGCGAAATGGGAAACGCATGATGTGGTACGATGTCGGCAGCAGTAGTGGCGAAAAGATGAAGGCTGTGACAGGTTGCCGGAGGGCGATGTTGAGTTGTATACTTGCTCCAGAAGTGGCCGAAGGTGAAGGCTGTGAAAGGCTATCGGAGGATGGTGAAGTTGAGTTGAGTATACGTGCTCACATAGGTGTATGACTTGTCTGCAGAGTTGGAAGCCGTCGACCCAGCAACTAAATAGCTTCTGGTGCTGCGTTTGCCAGCAAACGCTGACCGGCGCACGGAATAGGAAGGAACAACAACTCAAAGAGAATCTTTTCATACCTGGCCTACGCGATTCTGGCATCTACTACCAGATCGGTGCCATCATCATGCGCCTTCTACGCCTCATCTGCGAGCGAGCATTGCTCATTCCGTTCGTTCTTCTCCATGAATGCCGTAATTTCCCTGTCTCCCCTCGCTATGCATCTCAACTCTTCTCATTCACCTTCTTGTAAAACGCCTTTGACGCCTTCAGACTCCTGATGATCATATGTCACATTCATCTCCTCCAATACCATAGTCAGTACTGTCTCATTCAAGCAGAAGATCCGTCGGCACCCGAACTTGGTGGTGCAGTGCTGGCCGTCGAGGCAGCAGAGCCAGCAGCTGTTGGAGTCGATGCCGTGGCGGAAGCTTGGGCACTCTCGTTCTCCTTGGACTGAGGAAGGTCGCCCTTGCGGATCCACAAGTCGATGAGTGGTTGCATGGGCTCGGTGTCTCGATCGGAGAGCAGTCCGAAGATTCTGCCGACGTTGACGAAGTGCACGAAGCACGTGTTCAGCTCGCGGTGAGCACCCAAGTTCCAGAAGTCGAGCCAATGGGACCAGTAGAGGTGAGCGTAGCAGCGGAACATCTGCTTGTACATGTTCTTGATCTCAGACTCGAATCGCTGAGGAAAGCCAGACGTCTTGCCCAGCCAATGGTTGGGATCGCTGGAGACTTGCTGCGGGTTGGGCAAAGTCGGTGGGGTCTGGAAGGTGAGGGTTGGGAAGAGGGTGTCGTCGAAGATCTTGCCAGCGACCCATGTCTGGATGTGCTTGACGTACGTGGGGGCTGGGAGATTGATGGGGTTGCGGTTGGTGTCCATCCAAGAATACGTGGTGCTGTGGTGAATGTGGTTAGCTTTAAACTGTCAATCGTGACGCTCATGGTACTTACGAGCCGGCAGACATGGCTGGACAAGTCTTCTCATTGCAGATGGGGAGCCCAGTGCTCCGGTCTGCCTCTTGGACGATCTTCAGCATGCCACTGAGGTTGCGGTTTTGCTCGACGACTGTTCAAATGTCAGCTGGCTGAACAAGTAGGACATGGTGACTGATCGCACTTTGGTGAGACATCCACTCGCCCTCTTCAACGAGGTGTGGTTTGGCGGCCAAAGTCATGAAGTTTCCCTTGACAATGTAGCCCGCGTACTCCTCACGGAAGAAGAATGGTGGCTTCCTCGTGCCTTGGTTGCTCTGATGAGCTTGCTCGTTGACCTGCATGGTGCTCGCGGATATCGATGGGGATGCTGGCGCACCCGGTGGGAGGTTTGGTGGAGCGAGCGAAGAAGGACTGTACGCCGATGGAGAGGAGTTGCCAGCGCGACTTGGTGGCTGGTTTGGGCTGGATCGTTGCTGGCTTGGTCCACGACCGAAGTTGCGCCTGGCGTTCAGCATGTTAGCTATACTGTAATTGTTATGGCTTGGCAGCTGGCCACGTCGAATGGGCCACTGGGTGTGCCATGGGTATTCGAAGGGAATCTCCACGGGCGGCCGAGGCGACGGCGGCAACGGAATGTTAGCTGGGTCCATGGTAGGCGGTGGATCCATGGGGATGATCTTGGTTCTTGATGTCCACGGCCTCCAGTAGATGAAGATTGTTGCCGGCTATCAGCGCAAGGTGGTGGCGCATCGCCATTCTTATGCGCTGGGCGGACTCGAACCTCACATGGCGCCAGGGCTATTGGCCATATTGTCCATCATTCACTCGAAAAGTGAAGTAGGCCTTGGCGTTTCACATCTGGCGCCAGGCAGCCACACCATTCAATGGCGTTGAGGTGAGGTTGTAGCACGCCTCTGTGAAGTTGTAAGACTGTCCCATGAAGGTAGACAGTCGTACCAGCAGATGCTGAGCGCCAAAGGGAAGAAACGGCCGAATCCGCGCGCACAAAGCGTATTGGAACCCAAGAGCCATCATACTGACCCGGATGTGGAGGTTGAAGTGACAGTGTAGAAGAGCATGCTGCTCCTCATGGAAGCGGATCCCACCATTGCTGAATGTAGAATGACCGGACTGGTGGCGAAAGACAAATTCATGTCCGACACTTACGATCCCAAACCCCAGGCCACCGCAGGATACGGAATAAGGAAGATGTCGTTACTAGAAGTCCTATCCTCAAAGCCAATGCCTCTCGTCCAGTCCTCGGGAAAGGCCGATCCAGCCAAGGGTCCGCAAGTGAAGTGGATACAGTACCTTTCTTGTTCCATTGCCAGAGTGGTTCGCCAATGCTGCCGTCTGCTGTTCTTCTGCTGCTGCTGCTGCCGCCGCCGCGCGGTATGTAATCGTTGGGAGTAGGTGTAGTGGCGGGAAAGGCGGAGACGCTCCTCATGCATCCCCAAGCTTCGTCCAACTTTGACCTCACCGACAATGTAGGGAAAGTCTATTCACTTACAAGTTGTTCATCCAGGATGACATGTTTCCGGGCGAATGGTGGGCGTGCTGACGTCCTTCTCAACGGGTGAGGGTGGTTGTCGGTCGGGATGAGGTTGAAACAGGAGGCCAACAGAGATCGAGAAGGCACGTCTTGAGTTTAAGGAGACAACGGGAGACCTGCAGGCGAATGGAAGGCCCGCACCGCCACCCCGCGCCACAAGTGGCTTGCCGCACGCGTTTCACCTCGTCCTGCAAGCTTCAATGTTGCGATCAGATGCTACCTACATACAAGTACTCCATTGTCCACTCGCCTCGCCTTGTAACTTCGCCCTCGAATCCCCACCACACCCTCCGAATCCGGTCAACATACTCGACACACCGCGACTCGTGCGCCGACCAAAGCACCACCACCGCCATCACCAATTTCGACCCTCAAGCGACCTGCGACAAAGGGCAGAATGTCTAGCGAGCAGCCCGGCTCGCCTTTAGACGACCAGGTTCCAGAGGATGGGGCTACACCAGGAGTTCCTTCAGGCGACAATGCCGTGAACGGCGATGTAGCCAGCGACGATGAAGACGACGTGCAAGGCGGATCAAGACGACGACGAGGAGCCGCCGTTGATGATCAGGAAGAAGAGGCAGACGGTGATGATCTGTTCGGCGACGAGGAAGAAGATGGCACTGAAGAGAAAGAGAAGCCCAAGTAGGTTTTGGGGAGACCTGTCGCAATCCTTCATTGCTAACAATCTGATGCAGCCGACAATTAGATGACGCAGAACTCGACTCGGGCGATGATGAAGGCCGAACAGACCGTGTGGCCGAGGAGGACGCTGTCCAATTTGAGGAGCAGGAAATGCTTACCATGGACATGCAAATCCCGCGGCAACCAGTCCCAGAACCCAGTGATGGAGAGGTACGACCGGACAGCACGTTGCATTTGGGCTGTTATGCTAACAGTCTGTAGATGTACATCCTCAAAGTACCACAATTCATGTCTATAGAGCCCCAGGCCTGGCAGACAACGACCTTCCAGCCACCGACCACCGAACACCACTCGAAGAAACCCCCATCCTCCACCTTCTCTGCCTACAACACCGCTCTCTCCACCGTCCGCTGGCGACATTCTCCCTCCGATCCTTCAGAACTCCAGTCGAACGCGCGGATCAACAGGTGGTCAGACGGATCGCTCACCCTTCAACTGGCCTCTGATCCAAACACGCAGTACGAGATTGATGGTAACGCATTGGCTCCGCCTCAGCGAAATCCCATCAAGCCAACTCCTATCAGCGTAAAAGTAGGCGCTGGCAAGGGTGGGCGTCAAGGGGCAGTTGACGGCCAGTATGATTACAAAAAGGATGCGTTCACATACCTCATTGTACCGGTGCAGGAGGCTGAAGCGCTGCGGGTGACCCACAAAGTCACAGCGGGTCTGCAAGTCAGACAGACCGAATCGGGCGAAGACGATGCTATCGAGCAACTCCAGGCCGCACTTGCTATGGCGGCCAATGCAACCAAGGTTGGAGGAGCAACGGGCACACTTGAGGCAACTGAGTTCGATCCTGAACTGCAGAGGAAGAACGCAGAGGAAGCAGAGCGACAGCAGATGCGAGCTCGAAAGAAGGCAGAGAGTGCCCAGGAAAGGGAGCGGCTCAAGACAGACCGCGTCCTCGGCCGCTCAGGTTTGTCATCTGGTCGCTATGGCGGACTCAATGTTGGAATGCTGGAGGATGACGAGATGGATGAGGGACGAGGAAGAGCATCAGCCGGCAAACCTCGTGCAAAGGCTCGACGTCGGCGTAACAGCGAGTACAGCGAGGATGAGGATATGGGTCGGAAGCGGTTCACTCGAGAAGACAGCTACGACGAGGAAGACGAGTTCATTGCGGGCAGTGATGAGGAGGAGATTGTGGAGGATGACGACGATCCAGACGATGGCATTGTGGAGTCGCCGAGACAGAAGAGTCCAAAGAGAGACCGGCCACGGCCTACAGAGGGAGCAGATGAGGACGAAGATGCCGATGGCGAGCCAGACGATGATGTGCCACAGGCGCGGACGAAGAGACGGCGGATCGTCGATGATGAAGATGAAGACGAAGACGAGTAGCTGAATGTCTGTGTTTGAATGTGTGATTGTACTTCTACGACCTTTAGCGAGGCGCTCAGGCTTGCAAGAGAAAATTCAGAATGGCTTGCGTGCGTGACAATCCTCATGAAACCCTGCCACAACTGCGTGCCATACTCTATCCAACATTTCGATAATCTGATCGTAAAGTCCGACTCGTGTACCTCACATGCTCACGTCCTCGCTAGCCCATGCCCAATGGCCTGGAGGACTGGAGGACTCGTACCCAGCTCATCGAGTGAGTGGCCCTCGACTCCAGCATCGAGGTCACCAAGCACAAGAGCGGAGCAGACACATGTTCCTCGACGCACAAGACTGAAGCTGGAACAGAAAAACTTGAGAAAATATGTAGCGGCCATCCCACAACTCCGATCCAATGTAAAAAACAAGGATTCCACGCAGTTGGTAGGAAAGACGGACGCACGAAAAACCCATTCCTTCTACGAGGCCGGGAACGGAAGGAGATCCATACAAAAGTTTGAATAGCCCTCAGCAAGTCGCCGTAGCGAAGCCTCGATGGTGACATTAGTCACTCTACTGATGGGGGAGAAAGGAAAGAGAGATTTCAGCGTCGTGCTGGCTAAGTTTTGTAGAGGTGTGGGGCGCTTGGGCCAGCTCTTCGCTTGCGCGGCCAATGGGAGATGGGGTGGGTTTGCGACGACACTTCGTCTTTCTTTGAGGACTGGTGTCTTCTGGAGGGATGGGTCGTTGGGAAATATTACTGCGCGTAAGGGGATACCGAACACTGTGACTGCGGTCGACACGCTATTCGTCTTCCATCGTAACATGACGACTAGCGTGTCTTCACACGCTCCGTTGTCGTGCGAGTCCGACTCCAAGTCGCCAAGCACGGCTCACGACAATTCCAAGGATACCGAATTCGGCTCACAGACCTCCATCGCGACAATGAATACGACGCCGAAAAAGCTGAGATTGGATACGATGCTTTCGATTTCTAAGCCCGACGTTCTTCCCCGCGAGATTCCTGCCCAAGACGGTACGCATAGGCTATCTGCGTTCCTCGCAGGGGAATAACCATAGTCCGGGTCGTCATATCGGTCGTCATACCGGTCGTCAGTGGCGACGTTTGTGTCTTTCATGGGCATCATGTTGCAGCAAAGGCAAGACTATTACTCGGAGCGGGCAAGATGTATTTGGGCCATTTACTATTAAGGTTGGCGATGTTACTCTCCTTAAAATCTCTGGTCGTTCTACGTTGTCGTGTCATAGCCTACCGTGACCAAGCTTCTTTCCTATTCCAACGATGCCTCTCTCAACGACTTCGAAGCCGGCCTCGCGAGCCAGCGAGGACGTTGAACGCAATCCGTCCTCCCATCTCAGTGCCCACGATGATGAGTCCGAGACTGCGAGGATTGAACGCCTTGGACGACAGCGGCCTGAGAAGCTGGGCTCGATGTGGAAGGAGGTCGGCTTCGTCTTCTCCATCACGGTCTCGCAACTCTTGAGCGAGTACTTCATATCGGGCTTCACGCTTCTGCTGCCAACAGTATCAGAGGCACTAAACATCCCTTCGGCATCCACCACTTGGCCGGCCAGTGCCTTCTCGCTCGTCGTCTCATCCTTCCTGATACCGTTCGGGCGGTTGGCTGGTACGTACGGAGTGTTGAAAGTCAAACCGACAATGTTTCGCTAACTCGTGCAGACATCTATGGCGGCTTTCCAGTCTACATCGCTGGCTGCGTTTGGTACTGCGCCTGGTCGATCATCGCTGGCTTCGCTCAGAACGAGCTGATGTTGGACATGTGCCGTGCTCTGCAAGGCCTTGGTCCTGCAGCTTACCTTCCAGCCGGTCTTCAGCTACTAGGCAGTACATATCGACCAGGTCCACGCAAGAACATCGTCTTCTCGATCTACGGTGCCATGGCTCCTTTTGGATTCGTGAGTTCTCAACCCACATTCCCCCTTAACCTGACTAACAGTTACACCACAGTTCATCGGTCTCTTCTTCGCTGGCGTATCAAGCCAATTCACAACCTGGAGATGGTACTTCTGGATCGGCGCCATCCTCATCGCTCTTACCACCGGCATCGCCTTCTTCGCCATCCCATCCGACACAGACAATGTGAAGAACAACGGAGTCAAGATGGATTGGTACGGGAGTATCACAATCGTCAGCGGTTTGATCCTTGTGGTCTTTGCCATTACCGACTCCGCTCATGCCCCGAATGGCTGGGCTACGTGGTATATCCTCTTGACTTTCCTGGGCGGTTTGGCTATACTTGGAGTTGCATTCTGGGTGGAGGGATGGGTAAGCATGCAGCTGAACGCATTCTCAAGGTCGATTGTCTCTAACATGGTCATAGGTCGCTGAACAGCCTTTGCTGCCATTCTCAGTCTTCAAGATCAAGTTTGTGCGTCCGTTCATACTCGGTCTGCTTTTTGCATACGGCACGCTAGGGATCTACTTGCTATATGCAAGCTTCTAGTAAGTTAACCCAATTCCTCCAACGATCATCGTTAGCAGAGACTCACAATCCCTCAGCTGCATACGAATCCTCAAGACAACCCCCATGCAACTCGTAGCCTGGTACGTCCCCATGGCCCTCATCGGCATCCTCCTCGCAATCTTCGGCGGCGCCTTCCTCCACGTCCTGTCCCCACGCATCCTGATGTTCGTAACCGGAGTCGCCATCATCATCGAGTCTGTCCTCTTCGCCCTCGCTCCCGCCGATGCCAACTACTGGAGCTGGATCTTCGTCCCCATGATTATGTCCACGGTCGCCATCGACATCATCTTCAACGTGGCCAACATCTTCTTTTCCTCCACTTTGCCGTCTCGTCAACAAGGATTCGCCGGTGCGCTGAGCAATGTCCTGCTCCAGCTGGGCATTGCACTCTTGCTTGGATTCGCGGAGATCATCGCTTCGGAGACAGCCTATCAAGGAGAACGACAGAGCTATCAGAATGTCTTTTGGTTCAACTTGGCTTGTGGCGCTACTGCTCTGGTCATATTTATGGCATTTGTACGCATTGGAAGGGCCAAGGCGGATCTCACAGCCGATGAAAAGGAAGCGCAGCGCCAACGAGAGGAGAACCCAGAAAGTACATGATATCTCTCAAAAGACCTCACGACAAAACCGAAAAGACTGCCAGACAAGGCCACTGAGCACAAGGACTTTCAATACAACTACAAAAACGCTCTCAAGACAACAAACCTCACCCTCAACCACCAGACAACTCCCACCCCATCAAAGATCCTTCGTCCTCTCCTCCGCCTCCCGCAACCACCGATCCACCAGCTCCCGATTCCTCACCCTCAGTCCCACCTTAAACGGCTTCGGATCCATCGTCAACCCATTCGGCAACTTATTACACCCCATACAATCCAGAATCGGCTCATCCCGCTTCTGCCTCGGCGGCACAATCTCAAACGCCGTGATCAATCGCAGGAACGCCGTGTACAGTTCGCGGTTCGCGAGGTGCGAGCCGATGCACATGCGCGACCCGGCGCCGTAGCCGTAGTGCGGTGTTCCCCGTGTCGCGGAGGCGTCGTCGAGGGTTTTGTCCGTGAGGTATCTGTCCGGGGAGAATTCGAAGGGGGATTTGAAGTGCGAGGTGTCGTAGTGCGCGCCGTAGGCGTTCATGTAGAAGGATGTGCCGGCGGGGATGGTCTAGAAAGGGGGAAGTCAGTGTCAGCTTTGGTCATAGGGGGGTTGGAATGTGATTGTGGTGGAACTCACCGCATCGCCCCATTTGATATCCTTGATATTCTTCCGTGGCAGACAAATGGGAATCACAGACCAGTACCGCAACGTCTCCTTGACCAGCGCCGTGATATACTCGCACTTCTCCTCATGCAAGCAGCGTTCCCAGGAATCATTCTCCGGGTAAATCTTGTTGATCTCCTCCAGCGCCCGCGCCTGGATCTCCTGTCCGTGCGGCGAGGAGAGATACGCCACCGTCATGATGAGATTTCCGGGCACGGTATCGAGACCCGCCGAAACCATCGTCAATCCAATCGACATGACCTCCGCGTCGTTGAGCTTCGCCTCGGGATCCTTGAGCACGTTCCCGCTGATACAGGGCTTGTCGGTTCCGTTCGCGATGCGTTCTTTGAGCATGGAGAGGAGACGGTTCATGTACGCTCCGCGGCGTTTCTTGTACTCCAGAGGTTTGTCGTTGTTGCCGGGCCAGAGACGCATTAGCGGGATGTAGTCTGCCCAGTTGGTGGCGGTCGAGCGGAAGTTTGAGATTTCGCGCTCGACGTGCACGATTTCTTGCAGCATCGAGTCGTCGACGTTACCTTCGATTTTGATGCCGTAGTTGAGGGTGAGGGAGGTGGAGAGGGCGTAGCGTTGGAAGTACCTACAACATATCAACATCAGTATTACGTTTCCTCTGCAACAACGATCAAGCTAGAGGACTGGACAAAGTTGACTTACGGATTCGGATCAATATCCACATCCCCATACTTACTCTTCTCCAACATCTCCTTGATCGACTTCTTCGACTCATAATCAATAATCGGCATATAACTCTGCACCGCGGGACGATTCAGGGCCGTCGCCGCGGCCTTTCGCCGTGCCTTGCAGCTCTCATCCCAAGGACTCGTACCAATGGTGAACCCCTCGCTCGAACTAACCACCGTATGAAACGTATGCAACGTCGGCCTCGAAATCAGCGCGGACTGGTTCGTGATCCAGAGGTTCTTGACGCTCTCAAAGGTATTCGCGAAGACGATCCGGCGGTTGCCCAGACGGACTTGGAAGACGGGGCCGTGCTTTTGGGCGAGCTTTTGGGCGTTGATGGCGTGGTTGTCGCCGAGTTGGAAGAGGTTGCCGAAGATGGGGATGCCGGGGACTTCGGGGAGGTTTTTGATTTTGGGGACGTCGGTTTTGTCGATGATTTTGAGGGCGGTGAAGAGGACTGCTATGAGGAAGAAGGGGAGGATTTGAGGCTGGAAAAGGAACGCGGTGATGCTTTGGGGTTCTGCTGATTGTGCCATTGCGGCAGTCTTGCTGAGGGGGCGATGCCTGGATGGGAGAGTGTGTGCAAGGAGACGGGTAGGAAGAGCGTGTCCAACGGTTATATAGAGGAGAGAACAATGCGTAAGAGAACAAAGGTGATGTCCCTCTGTCCGAGTGAACGCCGTGACAATGAGCTACCTCCAAGCCAAAGGTGCTCTTCCCGGCCACTGCCCTGTAGCTTTCGTCATGGTAATGGTTCGTAACCGGGCTACAACGATTGGCTCCTGGGCGTGAAAGAGTCAGACGGAAAATCACCTCGTCCAAGCACCCACAATGCGGGGTCTGCCTTGCATGTCTCCCCCACATTGATGGAGTCGATACCCAGTGACTACGGAATTCCCGCCATGTGACGACTGCCAGATTGAGAAACTGACGTTGAGCTAGAACCGTTCAGGCTAGCCTGATGGCGGAACCGAAGCGAAGGGCGGAATTGAGAAGCACTTCACGTGATATCAGAATCCTTCGGATCGCAATTCGGACCACGTTGAGTTGTTGCTATCGGTGAAGCGGTACAAGAACGGACGAAGAACGTGCGTTTCATCGGATGAGAGATCACCGAGCTCCAAGAGTATTCGATCAACTTTTCGGCTTCAATACATGCTACGGCAGTGATCGGCTCAGAACTTCAACTGGAGCGCGGGTTCAATGCGTCCTACGCAATTTCCAAAGCCAACGAGAGCACCGTCTTCCTTTCCGCACACGCCTGACAGTGTGACAATGTCGCCATCCTCAAGGAACTTGCGCTTCTCTCCACCTTCAAGCTCAATTTCCGTCTTGCCGTTCTCCGTCTGCTCCAGCAAGGCCCCCTTTTCGGCTTTGGTCTTGCCACTGATAGTTCCGGACCCCAAAAGATCCCCCACGTTGAATGGACACCCTCCGATGGTGTGATGCGCAAGCATCTGGGGGAATGAGAAGAGCAGCTCAGTTGCTGACGTACGTGTCAGCGTCGTCGTCTTACCCGATGGTATAGTCAGCGAGAATGTAAGGTCAATCGCGTAGTGTGACTTGCGATCCTTCTCGTTGAGGTAAGGTAGCAGTACGGTGTCGTTTTCAAGTCCGGTAGTCGCGAACGGCTCAAGGGCATCGATCAGGACAACCCATGGTGAGATCGTGGTGCCGAAATTCTTGCTGTTGAACGGTCCAAGTGGCACATACTCCCAGGCTTGAATGTCGCGAGCAGACCAATCGTTCATGAGAACAACCCCAAACAGATGCTCTGGGGCGTCATGGATATTGACCGGCTCGCCAAGGGCTGAATGTTTGCACACGAAGCACCCTAGCTCGAGCTCGATATCAAGCTTCTTGCAGGGGCTCAGAATAGGTTCCTTCTTCTCGGCGGCTGGACTTGCCAGGATCTGTCCGGTTGGTCTTCGAATTGGAGTGTTCGAGACCACGACAGAACTTGCGCGGCCGTGGTAGCCGACTGGAAGATGTTTGTAGTTGGGCTGAAGAGCATTCTGAGGTCCACGAAAGAGGACTCCCACGTTGTATGCATGGTTTAGGCCGGCATAGAAATCCTAACATCAGTGAGTAAGCAGAGGTCGGATTCGAAGCGAGAGCGAAAGTTCCACTTACTGTGTAGTCGCCAATTTGCATGGGGAGATGCAGCTTGCATTGCTCTAGCGGTACCAATGCTGCTTTCTGTAGCTGGTCATCTTGCTGGAGCACGTCCGGGAAGGGGCCATTTTCCAGAAACACACTTTGCAAGTATTCGCGAACCACTCGGTGAACTGGACGTCCGAGAGCCGCGAAAGCATTCAGAGTTGGTTGGGAGAAGACTGCTTGATGAGGTTGGACAATAGACAGCTTGGAGAAGCCATTGCCATGGGCGAAGGCATGCAGATCCAACGCATAACTTCCGATTGCCACAGCAGGACGAGGCTGTGCGGCATTGGTAGTCGAGATGATACCAAATGGGATGTTGTGGATGGAGAAATGGCTCTTCGGATCGATCTTGAGCCAGCTTTTGAGTGGCGGCATGTTGGAAGATTCGAAGGAAGATGGTACAGAAGTCAAGGCGGTCGGTGCTCGGTCACTTTCACGTGAAGGGAATGGCAAGTGAATGTATCCGGAGCGAGGAGCACCATCATGCGATGAGCTTTGTAGCCTTCGATGTGGTGTACCAGGTACAGCATGGCAGGCAAGGCCCATCGGCACAGGAGACGTTGGGGAGAGCGGAACGACGCCGCGCTCTCCAGCCTTGTCTTTCCGTCGGCCGTCGGATACCAACGGCCTACGAGGGGAAGCTGGCACACTGCATGTGCGTTCCGTTGCTCAGTGTCGAAGCTCTCCAGTCGTGCGGAATTGCCTCTGCTCCATCTCACGGGGACAATGGCATGACGCGCTCATAAGCCTTTGTAGGCCACCGCTCTCACCGTACAGTATCCTCACCTCTCCTTCAACCCATTCCATTCCTGATCCCCAACCATGCCCGTCACGCCGTTTAACCACCCAGAGAAATACACCTACCAAAACGGCTTCGGCAGCTACCACGAGACCGAAGCCGTCGAAGGCGCCCTTCCCATCGGCGCCAACAACCCCCAGAAGCCTCGCTATGGCCTCTACAACGAGAAGCTCTCCGGCACCGCCTTCACCGCCCCGCGACACGAGAACCAGCAGACATGGCTCTACAGAATCCTCCCCGCGAGCGCACATTCGCCCTTCGAGCCTCGAGAAAGTGCCACATATGATCTGAATCCGGGAGGTCTAAGGGATGCCAAATGGCACCAGATCCCCAATCAGCTTCGCTGGGATCCGTTTGATATGGACGAGACGAAGGATTGGATTCATAGCTTGCATTTGGTTGCTGGTGCAGGAGATCCTTCGATGAAGAGTGGGCTTGGGATCATGATCTATGCGGCTGGCAAGGATATGGACCCCAAGGCGGCGTTTTACAGTGCAGATGGAGACCTTTTGATCGTGCCGCAACACGGGGCATTGGACATCCAGACGGAGCTGGGCAAGATTCTTGTTCGGCCGAATGAGATCTGCATTATCCCACGAGGCATCAGGCATAGGGTCACTCTACCTGAAGGACCTGTGCGAGGGTTCATCCTCGAGCTGTACCAAGGCCATTTCCAACTCCCAGAGCTTGGTCCCATCGGATCGAATGGTCTCGCCAACGCACGAGATTTCCAAGCTCCAGTCGCGTACTTCGAAGAAGACACAGAAAGCGAACACACCCTCTTTGCCAAATTCTCCGGAAACCTCTTCGCAGCTAAGCAGAACCACACCCCCTTCGACGTCGTAGCCTGGCACGGCAACTACTACCCTTACAAATACGACCTCGGCCGCTTCAACACCATCGGCTCCATCTCCTACGACCACCCAGACCCCAGCATCTTCACAGTCCTCACCGCCCAATCCGACCACCCCGGCACCGCCATCGCCGACTTCGTCATCTTCCCCCCGCGCTGGCTCGTCGCAGAAGACACATTCCGACCCCCCTGGTACCACCGCAACACCATGTCCGAGTTCATGGGCCTGATCCACGGCCAGTACGACGCAAAGACCGGCGGCGGGTTCCAACCGGCCGGCGCCTCGCTGCACAACGTCATGAGCGCACACGGCCCGGATGCATCGACGCACGAGAAGGCCAGCAATGCGGATCTCAAGCCGATGAAGGTGGGCGACAACAGCATGGCGTTCATGTTCGAGTCGAGTCTCATGGTCGGCGTGACGGAGTGGGGATTGAAGAAGTGTAATAAGGTGCAGACGGATTATAATGCCGAGTCGTGGGAGCCGCTGAAGCCGCATTTCAAGAGGCCTGCGCCGGCGAAGATTGTGAATGGCAAGGCGAATGGGACGAATGGGTCGCAGGCGGATGCGAGTCAGCAGCCGCATTATACTTGACTTATGATAGTGAATGAATCCGAGAGTTACTTCAAGCGTTAGCATGATGTGGGACTTTACTTGATGAATTGATTCGATGATATCTTTAAGCCTGTAAGCTGTATCCATTCTTCTTCTTCAAGAGTATCCAAAATCTACTCTATCCACCCACCCATCCAACAATCCAGCCAATCTCATGACAACCAACAACACTATGTACAGTGTAGGCCTCTTATCCCTCTCCCTCCCCCCTTTCCATTTCAATCTTCCCCCAATGCATTATAACCCCCAAAACAGACGACCGACCAACTCCATCGTTTTGAATGCGGCCGTTGGAAAACAAGACACCCAAGAAGAAACGCCATGCTGTGGAAGATGCTGCTGCTGCTTGCTCATTTCGACGACACTCATGTTCAATTCCCAGCCCAGCCCAGTTCAGTTCCGTGTCCAACAAATCTCATGTAGAGAGAGAAAAACAAAAGCGGGGAAGAAAGACGTAATCCAAAAAAAAGAGGAGGAAGAAGATGACCGAACTCGTCCGGCGATGAGCTGACGCCGTCAATGCTCAAAAATCCATGGACCAGCGTTCGCGAACTTCACGCTTCGTGTGTTCGTGGATCCATTTCGGAAGCTCAAAGTCAGGGGTATACCAGCTGTCAAACAGTTCCGGCCGTATCGTGACCATGGCGTCCTCGCTATCGTCATGTCGATGGCCTGGGATACGGTGGGCGGCGTCGGTGATGTCTGTTGTGGCTCGGAAGATCTTGCCTCGGACACCCTTGGGGGCGACGTCGTTCCAGACTTTGAGGCGGTCTTCGTCGTAGAGCACGGCGGATCGCCTCTCGTACGGGTCGATGTAGACAGACGATTCGTCACTGCTATGTGTGATGACAGGAGGTCCATTCTCTTTTGGCCGGTCAATGACATAATCAGGCGCAGTTTGGCTGTTAGCAGGTATACTGCTATCCGAAGCAATGGTCGACAACTGCGGACGAGAAGCCGCTCGGTTGGTCAATGGCCTTCGTAAAGGCACAGGAGCAAGTGATGGCCGGCGAATGACAGTATTGGTGGAGTCTTCAGACTCGTTTAGATTCAGAACGGGCGACGGTCGAAGCTGTATATCTTTCTGTGGAATCAGGATAGGGCTTATTGCAAAGTCCCTCTCGCTGGTCGTTGGGCTTCGTTGGCCATGGGGTCCGTTAGACGTCCGGCTGGAACTCTCGCGAGACATAGGAGTCGCCATGTGTGGACGATTGCTGACCTGTCTAGACATGGTCGAGCTGGAGGGGCTCAGACAGCTGCCTCCACTATCGCTCCTACTGCGCGGAGGACGCAGCTTGCCACTCATGACTTCTGCGACGGGAGGGGGCTGCATCATCCACATGGCATCTTCTCGCGAATGAACTTTCGTAAAAGTAGCCGGATGAAGGTCATTGATCGGAGGATTGCGGTACGTTCGATAATCCGAGGAATGGGAATCCTTCGTTCGAGCGCGCTGAGGCCGGGGGAGACTGTTGCCGTTCATGGACCCGTCCAAATTGCTAGTAGATCCCCAAAGTTCCTCATCTTCGCGCTGATATGAGCGAAAGTTCCCGAGGCTACCATTCCTATCCCCATTCGTACTCGAATGCGCCAGATCGACCATGCTCGGTTCCCCGCTGGCATTGCTGCTAGCTCTCCCAGCCTTCAACGCGCGCTGACTGTCCCCAGTATTGGTCTTTCTCTTGCCCCTCGAAGAAAGCGCGGGTCCCAGCGCAATCTCAGTCTGCCAATGGGGGTTCGTCGAAGACGGCGAAGGGTGTCGATACAAGTTCGGGTGTTCCTCCTGCAGCAGTTCCCTCTCCGCGCGAGTTCTCGCAGCCTCCTGCTTCCTCTTCTTCCGATAGCGAGCCTCGGAGCATGGTGCACATGACAGGTAGTAGAATATGGCGGATTGGATGCCGCGATGGATGGCCATGGCCAGTTGTAATTGTAGGGTTGCGGTGTCACGCAGGGTTCGCGAGCGGTATTGACAAGCTCATGGAGGGTTGATGCGGGTCTATATTTGTTGGTCGAAATGCATGCTCGTACATTGGGTGCGGCGCAGTATGGCGGTGGAGTCGTTGTTGTTGTTGGTGGGTCAAGGAGCGGTGGTGGGCGGTGGAGAGAGTAAGTCCTGTCAGATGGAAAGCGCAGGTCGTCGACGCGGGAGTCGTGGCCAGGGCGGTGGTGTTGTTGTTTGTGCTGCGAACCTGCGCAGTGGGAGTGAGGTGTCACCAAGGGCGGGAGGGTGCAAGTTGGCCGTGCAGTCAATCGTAATTCCGAGTGCCGCCTTCAACGTCAGCCCAACGCACGCCTGCAGTCCAGACCAGACGTCTCGTAAGACGTTGGTATGGCAGGAATAGCGAATATGTATGCTGCCCCCAACAACAAACCCCAGACGAGAAGGAGAGGGAGGGCGTTATTCACTCACGCCGTCCACGAGGCCAACCCCCATGCAGTCCACAAGTGTGGATCCCGACCCTCGGGCACTAGCGCATGACATCTCTTGAGCCACAGTGCTTGTTTCTGAGAGGAACGTGCACGATATAGGGACAACCACACGTACTAATCCACAGCGTCACCTGAGTGTACTTGCTGCTCACCGCTCTGTGTCATTCGGTACGGTATGGTCACCAGGACGGCATAGTTGACAGGCAACCTGTACACGTTCTTGATGCTGAAAACTTGGGTGGTCTCTTTCGGCAGGTCGAATGCAGCAAAGCCTCCGGCGCGAAGGACGCCTCTTCTGGAGGTTCTATGGTATGAGCGTGGCCTGATGAGCAGCATCTCCGACCATGTGTACTCTGGTAAGTTATGTCGACAGGATCATCGTACGCCTCTCATGACTATGCTACGCTAGAACGCTTCACACGAATAGGTAGTTCCGGATCCCATTACCCAACGACGATACATCATGAAGCTACGCCTTCAAGCGCTTCTCCTCGCACTTGACGCAGACAGGATCCTTGGACTCGCCGCGTAAGAAGTATCTGCCATCGACGAACTCGCCGTTGCATTCCTGTCACACCGTTAGCAGTTGATCGGATTACCATGACTGACAATTTGAGACTCACCGTGCAAACAAAGCACTCACTATGCCAGTCGGTGCCGAGCGCCTTCACAACCACATCGGTAACAGGCTTCTTGCACTTTCGACACTTTGAGCTGTAGCGATTGGTATGACAGCCCACACACCACGCATAGCCATCTTTCTCCACGAACGGCATCGAACTGTCGAATGGGTCGCCGCACTGTGCACAGAAGAAATGGCCGACATGCCATTCAGCTCCACAGGCCACAATCACTTCACCCTCGATGGGGGTCTTGCAACTCTTGCAGCGAGGACTGAAGAGCTCGTGGAAGTCCAGGTGGCAGTAGAACCTCAACGTCTCGTCACCGTCACCAGCTTGTTGTCTGCCGAACTCCTCATCTGTCATGCCTTCTGGCATTGGAAGCTCAATACCAGCTTCTCTCGCACGAACGCGCGTGAGTCGCTCACTTCGCTGTTTGTCAGGCTCTGGATAGAACGCAACACACTCCAGGTTGGTATTGCATTCGTGACAGACAAAGCATCCTGGATGGAAACGTTCCCCCGCTGCACTCAAAATCCGACCAGCGATTGGTAGCGCGCAGTGAGCACAGAGAGCTCCCGACTGTCTGATAGAGGGTGTGTAGTGCGGCATTGACTTCGTGGGTAAAGGTGCCGTAGCTGCATGATGTGGCAGCGGACGTGTTGACGGCAATGGTGGTTGCGAAGACTGTGTCCGAGCAGGAGGTGCTCTGGTGTCTGGTCCGCTGACGTTGATAGATGGTGCTTCAACGTTGATCGAAGGCGTACTGTTTGATGGATCGTCTGGCAGCACGATTGAAGGCACTGACGGCTCATCCGGCAAGTTGATCTGTGGAATCGATGGTCTTGACGACGATGGTCCACCTGGCAAGTTGATCTGTGGAATTGGCGGCCTCGACGAAGGCGCTTCATCGGGCACATTAATCTGCGGAATCATCGGCCTCGAAGCTGGCCCATCGTCCACTGCGATCCTTGGAATACCAGATCTCGAATTCGCAGACGAAGGCACATTCGGGAACGTCGCAGCTCTGCTCATCTTCGAAGGCTCCGGTTCAGGCTCAGCGGCTTGCTGTTCCTCCAGAACCACCTCTTTCGGGGTTTGGAAGTTCTTCTCAAAGCTGACAATCGGTCTCCCAGGCTTGTCACTCACAACCGTGGGCCTTGGAAGATTAGGACTATAATCCTTTCGAGTCTTGCTTGTTGCCGCACGGATATCATCACCGCGAATCTCTTTTCCGTCTTTGGTAGGTGTCATCTTTGGTGCAACTTCGTCCGCGTCATGCTCACTCGTGGATGGAGGTGTAGGTGGCAAAGCTTCATTTGACATATACCAGGGATTCCGGCTTTGGCTAGGCGGGTTCCTCTGAATCTCCACGCGTTCGTGCCTCAGATCTGGCGCAGGTGGCAGGGTTTGCAGGGTGGGCGCTGAATTAGAGCGCTCCATCTTCTCATACTGCGCTCGCACTCTTGCGAATGGGTTCTTGCGAACATGAGATGGCAATGGCCGGGTCGAAGTTGTAGTATCTTGCTGCTCCCCATTGGAATCTTGCGGCTGCTTCTTGGGCGGCGACTGTTCTTCTGAAGGATCTTCCCATATCTTGTCATTGGGATGCATGTACATCTTCTTCTCTCCACTCAATATCCGCTTGCTCCCACTGCTGGTCCGGCGATGCGCGACCGCAATGTCGTTGGCAACTGCTTCTGCGAGATGGTCATAGCTCTTGGAAGAGGATTCCCGCCTCTTGTGCACGGACACGACGCCGTTGGCGCTTGGTGGGCTCACTTTTCGGGGTCTTTCGAATGTGACCCTTTTGGTGGAGGAGGTTGTTGAGCTGTCCGAATTCGATGTCTGACTGCCATCTGAGGCGCTGCGTTGGCCCTGCACCGAGAAATCTTGACTCTGCCGTCTCTGATAACTTCCCTTTCGCAAGTGAGAGCGATAATCCTTCGGCAGATCCGGATTCGCGAATACTTTGGGCGCATTCGCCGCTTCAGGGTTTCGGTGTTTCCACACGAGCTCAGCAGCTTCATCCTGTGCTGCGGTATGAATCTTTCGCTCCTCTTCCAAATCCATATCCTCCAATGCCTGCCTCAATGACTTCGCCTCTTGCTTCTCCATCCATCGCGATCCACTCTCAAGGTACGGCATGCTTGGTGCGTGGCGAATAACATGCGTCTCGTCGGTTTCTTCGGTGGGAGGTAGTGGTGATGCCGACAGCGGCCTGGCGAGGGGACGGCCAGCAAATGGGCCTGGTGCTGAACACATGCTCTTCTTCGCGAGATTCGAGTCCGTTCGACGATGGGAGAGTTGTTTCGCAGGCATGATAGGCATACTGTTACTCGTCGGCAGAGCCGGTCGATCTTCATTCGTAGGCTTCACTTCCGCGGGCTGTGTCTCGGTGCGCCTCAAGCTGCCGAACTTCGAAGTAGGAGGTGGTCGCGCGCCCGAAGGCCTCGGTGGTTGCGCATTGCGCAGGTTGGAAAGGTACTGCGCTGTGTTTGCTGCATGTGAGCGATTGTCCTCTGCAGCAATCGTACATTCTCGCAATCGCGACGGTCGTGGTGGGGTGTGAGGGAGGGGGATCGAAGACATATGAGACTGCTGACCCATTTGTTCCTCCGACATGGACGTCGGACGCGGTTTTGGTCTGTCTTTGCTCTTTAGCATCGTGCTCCCGTGAACTGGTCGGGTTGCCAAGGGAATCGCTGGAATGCGGGCGTGAAAGACAGCAGATTAATGCGTACAGCTGCAACGAAAGAAAGCTCAAAAGAACTGCAGAATCGACGGTAACGACGGAGTGGTGGTGATGATGATGCGAGAGTGGTGAGTAAGGAACAGCCTCCAACGCCTATCTATGCAATGCATCCGCGGGCTCGTTGGGAGTTGGAGTCGTTTGTCGAAGTATGCCGTTATCCCAATCAACACAGACGTTGCCCGAGCGACTTGACCTCTGCGGAGATTATTCACAAACCCTGAACCTTCTCAACGCCACACCCGCATCGCCTATCTTGCGAACGAAGATGGCTACAGTACATCGCGTGGTGATTGCATCCTCCAGCAGTATTCTTCGTTGTTTGATTGTCGTCGGTGGAGGAACGCAGTTGCAATTCGTTTCAAACGACGAGATGACGCCCTTGGATGACTGCAATGGCCAAATCTCGGCCGCGATTTGCGCCCAGGATCATCGATATTCAAGTGACGCAAGATCGAAGACACATCCTCCGCTCGTTTGTCACTTCACGAAATGAGCATCGCAAAGTCTTCCGAGCCGACGGCTTTGTGCCTCAAGACACTTCAGAGTGAAGAAAGTCGCCATCACCTTTTCGGAGTTGCAATCCGGATTCGCGGACATTTCTCCGGTCTCACCTTTTCACCAGTCCATCGACTGACCAGGACGCAAGATCTGCGTCCGCGCGAAAGGCCTTCAACGAAGTCTCAGGACCGTGCAAAAGAAAATTCGTCGCACTGAGAGATCGAAGATAGGAGTTGGCCGCCTCCAGCGAGCAAACCGGGTCAGAGTCTCCCAAGCGGTTCCCCAGCACAAGCGCTCTCCTACAAGGTTGTTCCTGTTGGACAGTACAGTCCAGATGGGCAGGCTGAGACGGATGCCTAAGGCATCAATGCTAAGAGTCATGTGACTGAGGGGAGCTTACCTCTCCTCAGTTCTCCTGCTTCCTATAATAAACTAACACAATTATAACTAGGTTAGTTCCTACTATTGTTTATTAATTTAGTTACTTCTACTATATTTAATACCTATATAAACCCTATAGAGTAGTTTTAGCTTAGTAGATTATAAGCCTAGGTTAGTAGTCTAACTACTTTAAAGATTCTAGTAGTATAGGTTATTCCTATACCTATTAGACTTTAAAAGAGAAGTAGAAAAGGAAGGTAATATAAGTTAAAGCCCTATATATTATATCCCTAGAAGATAAGGATATATTTTAGCCCTAGAAGGACTTATTAA